TTGAAATATATTTGCTTTGGCCACTTTCCTATATTTAATTATGTATTCACCAATTAAAAACAAATTTTCTATTACGAATGGGAATAAAAAAGCGAAAATAGAAAACTTTATGCGGTATTCTAACGTCTATCTGATTAGTTTTAACATATGTTTTACAGATTTATTGTGCAACATTTATATGTTTATCCAAATCACTTAATTAATCTTCTACATCCTTTCGCACTGCTGATGCATAGAATCTTTGATATTTTGGTATTGGACCGTGGTATACATATAATATAGGGTCGCATAGCTGAAGTCGGCCGTTATGTTAAAAATCGTGAATTATCGGGATCTAAAATTGTGTCTCTTTACATTAGCACAAAACGTAAAATACACGCGGTTTTAAGTATCGCGGATTAAATCTTCCCTTCCGCCATGACATGCTTCTGCTATCCTGGTAGTCAATCCGCAATTTCATTCCAATAATTGTACATTATGGTGGATTTTACGGAGCTTTCTCGTGCTATGGGTAGTGTAAATGAGATGGATAAATGGGATAAAAGGTGCCATGTTTAAATGTCAATTGTATATAGAACTGAGCGACATGTTTATATTATAAAAATTTGCGGAATGTCCGTCATGTTGCGGAAATATAGCCAGTGGGTAGATTAATAGATCATTTTTCCTGTTTTGTCGCATATTTATGCACTTTTCGATCTTCCTTCGAATTATCCTTGGCCGTATATAAATTTGAATTAATCTACGTTTCTCCTTTTAATTACCAACAAAATACAATGTTTAGGATATTTAACCGTTTTGACCAAAATATGTTTATTTTTTACTAATTTTTATGGATGTCCTTATTTCTGCTCGTTGACCATCACTTGTTTTACACAAAGGTGGACTTGTAATTCATTTTCGATAATAAGCTTTCGAATGTCAAAAATTGTTTTAGGCCGACATGATATGCTTTTCGATTCTCTCCAATCAGATATGACGTATTAGATTCATCTTTATTGTGATAACTTGATTTGGTTATTTTTTAAATTGTTTGATAGAGTCCGAGGGTTATTATTTTTGCCGTATTTATACGAATAAAGGACTGTTGAATTACCAAGGTTTGGCGTCATACAGTTACAGAGTAATTGTCGACATGACTGACAAACCTTTTCAATGTATTTTTAGTCAGTACCATAATTCGATAAACACTTCTGAATGTGGAAAGTCGTTTGTAGTATTTTTAGAGCAAGAAATACTTTACATGCGTACACATACTAATTTACACGAATCCAGAAAATTGATTACAGTACATGCTCCATTTTTGTGTTCAAACACCCATATTTTCACGTATTTTGAAGTTACAGTTATCACGCGTTGTATATCAAATTTTCCTGAAAGATTTTTATCCTCCTTGAAATATCTTAATTTATCTTATTTAATAATAAAATTGAAACTGTTATGTGATTGAATAATATCGTTTTGTATATCGTTATGTTTTAAGTTTTAATCCAATATACTGACATACTGATTCAAGCGATTAATGCGAATTAAATACAGGATCATATTAATAATATACAGGTCACAACGTGATTTTATGGAATTCGTATTTGCAATTCTTCCTATTTCCAATATAGTAAGTACATTTCGCAGAAAATTAGCCAAATTTTATAACTTGTGGTTTTCGGGATTATGTTAAGTTTTGTTTAATCTAAATAACTTGACACACCACAAAAAAACTTTATCATATCGCTAAAATTTCGCATAGTTGGCATTGTACTTTCGTATGGATGAGTCACATCATGTTGTTATTAAGTGTAGATTTTGGAAGTTTCTTTGGAAATATTACTGTGTAGAAGAAGTAGGTGTAGCCGTTACCTGGATAAATTGGAAAAGTCGAAATTTTAAACAATTAAAGCTGGTGAGCTTTGTACTATGCCTAGACGCATCAACCCTAGAGCTCGTAATTATATTTTCAGGTCTAATTGGCTCTGGGTATAAGTTAACACGAATGGGGCAACTCATATTTATAAATTCAATATTCCACAAGTCTTATTCCCTTCCAATTTCATACTATAGTTACCGCTTTGTGATGTCATATTGAATCACGGTTCTTAAACTGTGTCTGATCCCCAATTATGTAATTTACCTTATCAGAGTTGATATCGTTTTCCGAAGTTTAGTAAATAATTTTATAGGTTGATTTGCCAACCCTTTAAACAGTAGGGAAACTCGTAAGAGATATATCTCCATCTCTGGACCAAATACGAGTTTCATATTTTTCTCCCAAAATATAAACACATATAGGTGTTGTTTAATGGTGCGCGAACGATTACGTAAACTGTGGTAGCTTGCTTTTAACCTATTTATAAACATTTTTATGTTTACAGGCATTTTGTGTACAACTATAAAATGCGAATTGAAAGGTTTTATAGCTCGTTAGCATTCAATTAGCCTTTGGTTTTTCCGTAGTATGAACTTTTTAAAAGACCATCAGTTGAGGTTTGGTATGCTGTATATATAATTGGCACATAAAATCTATTTTTGATATTTTCTTGGAATTAGTGCTCGAGTAAACAAGATGTACACTTATATTCGGGAATAAATGTTAACCAAGCGTTGAAATTTTAGCTTGTCCGAGCCTCAGAGTCTTGTTTCAAACTGATCTGATATGACATTTCAACTGTCTGGTTAATACAAAATAAAAGTTCGTCGCAAATTCAAGTCGTACATAATAATACGGCATAATGAAAGTTTGTGGATTTTCTACCTTTATTCTAAGTCATCCCAATTTTTTCGATGTAAAATCGGTTAATCTTCGAGGCTCAAGAAATCCCTGGCGTTACCGCAATTATTAATTGATACCAAATGTATCACCGTGCCATTCCAGCTATTATTTATTTACACCTTTTTTGTTGTCTTTTACGTTTTATAAACATAGTTGGTTTTATCTTACCTGGACCATACATAAAAGGTGCCATCGATATACTCGTTTTCCATGGCCCATTCATGACGGAACTTGGCATTGAAAGTCAATGTTTATAAACAGATCACCCGTGCTAAATAAGGAAGCGTAATTCTGATAGATCATTTCAAGGGTGATTGATTTTGAAGAGATAATTTTTCCTGAAATGCAAACATACCCTTTTCAGTCGTGTGGCAGTTTGTGACGTCATGCTACTGGCTCTGTTGAGGCCATTATGTCACAATGAAGTAATGATTAAAAGTAGAAAAGTCGATTAAAAGGTTCGATGCACCCCTACTTAGGACGGCTGAAGCGACTTTTATGGCAAATCATATTCAACGAGGTTTTTTAGCAATTTGTGTTGTGTGATGCCAATATCTCGATCGTTTCGCTTCCATTAGTATCTTGAAGAATTAGAAATTTACTCTTTTGATCATTGCACAATTGGTTTAATGTTGTTCGCTACTATGCTTTATTTCATTTCAATTGCTATTGTTGTGTGAATAAAATTGATTTTTTGTGCGTTATTTTCACAGTGTTCCTATGGATTGAAAATTCATGGAATATATTTTTTTAGTTTAAAATTAGATTTTTACAAATAACAATACAATCTTAGACGTACATAACTAGCTTAACTCCTTTCTTCTTTGATCTTGGGTGTCAATAAATATAATCAATCAGAGATATCATAGCGTACTAGTGACAAGGGATCACTAACCCCTTGAAAGAGGGATTACAATTGTTTAAACCCCACGCTCTGTCGGCAATAAATAAAGTTAATTCGACTTAGCGAAAACCACTAAGTACTGAATTCCGGCGTCTGACAATATTACGTTATTCGATATTTTGCTTCGAGAGAATGGCTGTAATTTTACTCGGTAGCACCGTTTTGCGGCATGTCTGCCTAACGAAGACTTCTAAAAGATGCTGATGAATACTGAGTAACTGAATATATCATGTTCAGATTGGGTTTCGGTTTTGATATGTAAAGTAAAAATATTCGTTAAGGTATGCGTCATTTCCAACTCATTTTTTTTATCAAACTCAATGGATGAGTAATATTTTAAAATCTTTTGTGGATCCGTTATTCTCAAACATTATGGGATCTTTAACTTTTGTTGCCGACAATATTAATAATACTCATCAAATAGACAAATAATGTAATGGCCGGAAAACTACGGACCATAACTTTTCATGGGAATATCTACAATGCTATTAAACCCCTGTTAAATACGCTGTAAATATAATGCAGTAAAATTTCTAGATTTTGCAGTGATTTTAATGCTGAGTTTTAACATCGATTTACATTGATTCATCTACCCGGCGACATGTTATCATCGCAGTTCTAAGGTCTCGATACTTTTCGTTTTCGCTAATTATCGTTTAGTTAAATATTCTTGAATATACAGTGTCTTTGTATGACCGTTAGTTAATGGTCGCTTAAAATATTTTCATAGGATTTAAATATTTGGTTTTTGATTACATTACAAATATCGTTAAAGACCGCAAAAATGGTTTTATCGACTTCCAATCATTGTGGATGAACAAATAAACGACATTTTTCGTTCTATTGTGCGTCATAAAACCGCACCTGGGACGACATTTTACGTTGTGTATTTTTTGCAACCAACGTTTGTCGAAATTCACCTACTTTTAAACATAAAAGGCTCATGTTTAATTTTGCCATTATTAATCGTCTAAAATGTATCATAAAAGTCGGTGTGAATTTTATCGCAAAAACAAATAGTGTCTGCTTTTGGCCATTCAGAATATTTTATAAAGTTGACTATGGAGATTTTTTTTTGTATCTAGTGTTGCATAGAAGTACCTTTGTTGAAAGATGTAAGTTTAAAAACAAAATTTGTTTTTAAAGCGCGTCAGATTCATACAAAAAATGACAATTTTTTCTAACGTTAACAAATTTATGATATGTTATTTTGTTTTAAGTATAAAGCCATTATTAAACTTTGTCGAATTTGGTGTCGAAGTTAGTGTTCCTAACAGACATATTGTTGATTTCTCAATAATTTGGGCAAAATCTTTTATCTTTCTTTAGGTAAAAGCTATCGATCCGGATTATCCTTCCCAGGAAGGACAGATCGTTTACACAATTTTTAGCGACAGTGTGCAACCAGACAAAATAAATCTTAATCCTTCGACTGGTGAAATTTGCATCAATAAAGAGTTGGACAGAGAAACAAAATCAAGTTATCAATTTCGAGTTAAAGCTACCGACAAGGTAAATTGCAAATCATATGAACGCTGATATAAGCTGGTTACTTGTTGTACATTTTTTTATCTCCAATTTAAACGTTGCGTCGCTAGGTAAACAGTTCAATGAATTTTAAAAGGATAAAGCATATTTAAATATGCTGGTTTGGTGTCTTCTGCCTTTTGGTGTATACATTTTATTACCATCCGCAAGTTTTGCTTTAAATCCCACTTTCAATGTTGACTATACTCATTTGTCTAATGTTTTATACCTAATCGAACCCAGAACGCATCATTAAATTCTATTTACTCGCTGTGTTTTAAATCACCTTTCGTGAAAAAAACTTTACCGCAAATGTACAACTACCGTTCAAATTTATATTTTCGCGAGATACTGTGGATTTTGAGTATTATTCTGTATTTTTTGTTGACTATCGTTTCTATTTTTCATGCTTTTCAGTCTGGACAACACGACTTCGCTCAAGTCTATGTTGAAATTTCTGATATCAACGATAATCGTCCTGAATTCCATCCTGTCGAATACGTGGCCAACGTCGCGGCTGCTACGTCCATGGCGGGAAATCCCCTGACGCAGGTGATCGCTACTGACGCAGATGACTCTTCCGAAGACGGCAATAGATATGGTATCATCGTGTACGAAGTGGTAACTGGGAACAATCAAAAACTCTTCTCGTTGAACAATGAGACTGGTAAGTTCACGATTGTTGTGTGATTATCATCTCAACTGATGACTTGGACTATTCCCTTGCTCTGAGTCTAAGCTATCCAGTAAACACACACGGCAAAGACTAAAACAATTCTTGCCTAACACACCTATGATTTTGAGCATGACAGTTTCAAATAAAGTAGTTTATTATCAAGTTTCTAATAGAGATAATCGTTGCCTTAGACAGAAGTTTAGTTCCAAAAGAAACATTACAGCCAATAGTTCTTCTCTGATCGCCACATAGATGTAGCTCGAAAAAGTAATGTAGAAATAGCTTGCTTAGCTCAGTATCTCTTTAGTTCAGAGATAGTAACTGTTTCACAACCGCAATGCCGATCTTACGTACAAATCAACAATAAAACGAAGTTTAGCTTTACATACATACTGCGCACAAGATTTTCATATTTCTTTTGTAAGAGGAACGCCCATACAACGATGTAAGACGATTGTCGAACCACGACTACTTATTTGGGTGCCTGTCCAACATGCGAAAAGCTAAATCATTTATTCGTTTCGGATGCATGGACTTGACAGTGCTGAAATTCGTATCTGGCCAGCGCTTGGATAAAACGGCGAATAGTCAGTCCAACCGTTTTTGCAATAGTTAGTATGTTTGCATCCAACTGCATGAAAAGGAAAAATGAAGGTTGCAATGAAAAAGAACGTAACAACATCTTTCTTTCACAGGATATATATCAATAGCCAAACCTCTTGCTGCTTACGGAAACACAGTGATCCAACTTCGAATCCGTGCAACTGACGGTGGCGGTAAATCCAGCGACAGGGACGCAACTGTGACAATTAGTATTCTCAATGATACGGTGGAATCTACTGATGGTCCGGTGTTTGACAAACAAGTATATCAATTCGATGTTGATGAAGACGAAAAACATGGAACTAGAATTGGGAATATTGCTGCTTCTTGTAAGTTCGATTACGAGGTACCGATACTTCTGTAGTATGTGTACCAGGTTAGGGTTAGGCCATAATTTTATTCCGACTTTCCTTATTTTAGTTCTATTACGAGTTCGGGTTTGTGTTAGCCAAGTGAATAAACCATAGGCTTCCGTCCCTTTACACCACAACTTGAACAAAATCAGGTGTACTTTGGACTAAAAATCAGAATAATAAGAATATGACCCCGACGTGATCTGAACACGCAACCTCCTGATCTGGAGTCAGACGCGCTACCGTTGCGCCACGGAGTCAGTTGCTTCGGGTTTGTTGCAATTCAAAATATAACATAGGTAAAATAGGTAGGAAATGAAACGAAATGTGGGAATTGATAATTTGGTAAATAAATTAGATATTGAATTTGTAAAAAACACCGATCTCTGCACGTCTATAGATATCGTACTGAACCGTAAACGTAAACAAAAACCTTCTTTTAAGTTAAATGGTAAGCAGTAAAATATTTAAAAATCACCTCATCCCAAAAGTTGACCCCGACGTGATTTGAACACGCAACCTTCTGATCTGGAGTCAGACGCGCTACCGTTGCGCCACGGAGTCAGTTGCTTCGGGTTTGTTGCAATTCAAAATATAACAAATTACACACGGTAATTACCAAACTGGTAATTAACGATCACAATCCAAACGCCGTGATGTACAGCTGGTGATAATTGATCTGATTCGTATATACACTGATCATTCAGTAAGAATGCATTTTCTCTCATATGCATACGATTACAAAGTACGGTGGAATCAGAACTTACTCTTATAATTGCATCAAGTCGCTCCGAACGAGTCTGTTGGCACAATCGCTCCGAACGAGTCTGTTGGCACAATCGCTCCGAACGAGTCTGTTGGCTGGATATATAGCGGTTTAAACGTATGCTATATGATGTGGGATTCAAATCATTTGGTTTCGTCGTAACCTAACGCTGAGCAGGGATTCACCCTCATTCTCCTGTTTGCTAAACCATCGTAGTTGAACCAAAACCTGTAGGTAGGAAATGAAACGAAATGTGGGAATTGATAATTTGGTAAATAAATTAGATATTGAATTTGTAAAAAACACCGATCTCTGCACGTCTATAGATATCGTACTGAACCGTAAACGTAAGCAAAAACCTTCTTTTAAGTTAAATGGTAAGCAGTAAAATATTGAAAAATCACCTCATCCCAAAAGTTGACCCCGACGTGATTTGAACACGCAACCTTCTGATCTGGAGTCAGACGCGCTACCGTTGCGCCACGGAGTCGGATGCTCTCGGCGGGTTGCAAATAGCAAATGACAAACGGTGATTATTATTTAAAATGATAATTAGTACCCTGTAAACGCGCACAGTTTATTGCAATTGGCGGCGGGCTCTTATAAATATAAACAATGACTAGATGGGAAGGATGCATTTCTCTCACATACATACAATTTGTTGATATTGCACCCATCAGGTATGAGTGCTTTACGTAGTTTCATCGCAAACACGGCTCTAGTTTATAAAATCAGAAATTTTGATGCCGTACATGCTATCGGACTCCTTGCAGAAAAGAAACATTCAATATTACAAATCGGAGTCGTCCAAAAACTTGACCCCGACGTGATTTGAACACGCAACCTTCTGATCTGGAGTCAGACGCGCTACCGTTGCGCCACGGAGTCGTTGCCACCGGTGGGTGGTTTATTGAAGTATAAGATAATTAATTATTGTTTGAAATGATAATAATCGGGAAGCACGTTTCGAACGCCGTGTCAACAGCTGGTTACAACTTAGCCAACTTGTTTAATTAAAAGTTGGCGATCGGAAAGAATGAGAACGAGTCTGTTGGCACAATCGCTCCGAACGAGTCTGTTGGCACAATCGCTCCGAACGAGTCTGTTGGCTGGATATATAGCGGTTTAAACGTATGCTATATGATGTGGGATTCAAATCATTTGGTTTCGTCGTAACCTAACGCTGAGCAGGGATTCACCCTCATTCTCCTGTTTGCTAAACCATCGTAGTTGAACCAAAACCTGTAGGTAGGAAATGAAACGAAATGTGGGAATTGATAATTTGGTAAATAAATTAGATATTGAATTTGTAAAAAACACCGATCTCTGCACGTCTATAGATATCGTACTGAACCGTAAACGTAAGCAAAAACCTTCTTTTAAGTTAAATGGTAAGCAGTAAAATATTGAAAAATCACCTCATCCCAAAAGTTGACCCCGACGTGATTTGAACACGCAACCTTCTGATCTGGAGTCAGACGCGCTACCGTTGCGCCACGGAGTCGGATGCTCTCGGCGGGTTGCAAATAGCAAATGACAAACGGTGATTATTATTTAAAATGATAATTAGTACCCTGTAAACGCGCACAGTTTATTGCAATTGGCGGCGGGCTCTTATAAATATAAACAATGACTAGATGGGAAGGATGCATTTCTCTCACATACATACAATTTGTTGATATTGCACCCATCAGGTATGAGTGCTTTACGTAGTTTCATCGCAAACACGGCTCTAGTTTATAAAATCAGAAATTTTGATGCCGTACATGCTATCGGACTCCTTGCAGAAAAGAAACATTCAATATTACAAATCGGAGTCGTCCAAAAACTTGACCCCGACGTGATTTGAACACGCAACCTTCTGATCTGGAGTCAGACGCGCTACCGTTGCGCCACGGAGTCGTTGCCACCGGTGGGTGGTTTATTGAAGTATAAGATAATTAATTATTGTTTGAAATGATAATAATCGGGAAGCACGTTTCGAACGCCGTGTCAACAGCTGGTTACAACTTAGCCAACTTGTTTAATTAAAAGTTGGCGATCGGAAAGAATGAGTTCTCCCATAATGCTTCTAACAGGCATACATTTATTTGATAATGCACACAAGAGGTACGACGTTATTATAGCCTACTTTCATGGGTTTAATTTCAACCTGCGATTTATTCTGAACAAATCCCTTTATACCAATGTAGCTAATGTATCGGGAATGACTGGAATATTTTCGGATCGGTGTATATCGATTAGTTCGCTACATCCTGGTCTGTGTGGTAAGCTTAGAACTCGAACCCAACATATTCAACAACCATTCTCCGATGATAGAAAGCATGGATTTATTTGCTCTACATTTTGCTTTTTGTGATTTTTTTTATCGGTAATATTTTTGTTTGTCATATTTGGGGCCCCATATCTTCAAATTTAAAGTCTAGCCAGTGGCTCAGTAGATAAACGTAGCACATCTTGTACCCATCGTGTAAGACTAAGAATAAGACTCGCTGTCGTTGGGGCACGATGCGAGCATGTTGCTTATCGGAACATAGTGAATATTATAATCAAAGTTCGTACAAACTTTCTATTCAAAATTTGACCCCGACGTGATTTGAACACGCAACCTTCTGATCTGGAGTCAGACGCGCTACCGTTGCGCCACGGAGTCGGTCGGTGGGAGCGTATTGCAAATAGCATGTGTAATACGGTATGTTATCTAAAATGTTAATTACCACTTTGCAAACACCGTCGTGTACGATTGATTTCAATTGCCCGACTTGCATAAACACTGACCAGTCGGAAAGAATGTATTTCTCTCACAGCATGTAATTCGTTGATACTGCGCACAGACATACAATGAAAGCTCTTGCACAGATAATCATCCGTATAATGGAATATGATTAATATGGAACTGGAATATTTTCAGAATGACCCCCCTGATTAATTGCTCTGTACAAGGTTGTCCATTTGGGATTCAAATACCAGATATTCATTCATCACCCTTCTGAGGCAACATAATCATGCCCAACTTCAATTATCTCGCTCACATACGGTAGTATAGTATAGAATTGTAAACGTGAAAATTCAATAAGTTATACCTGAATTTAATTTAAACAATTTGTCAAAACGTCGTTGATCACATCCCATACAAAAATAAAAGTGAGACTAAAACTGGAAAACTTGACGCCGACGTGATGCGGACACGCAACCTTCTGATCTGGAGCCAGACGCGCTACCGTTGCGCCACGGAGTCAGTTCAACAGAGCATGTATGTAAGCATGTATGTATGTAAGTGAATGTATGTTATAAATACATGAAATAATAATAACGATGGCACGCTCCAAACATCGCTTGCACAGCTGGTTATAACAGAAATAATTCTCATGATTACCAATGAAGTTATTGGCAAAAAATAATGCATTTCTCCCATATGTGTTTAATTTATTAGGTACTGCGTTTATGATGTAGTTGTATATTGCAATCAAACTTGGTTTTATGTGTCCTTTACACCGAGTTTCACTCTGAAGAAGGCTTCAATCCACACAACCATCCACTTCTACATATGTAACTGTTATCTATATAACTTGGCAAACACCCCCCAAATCATGATCACAAATTAACGTTTTGCGAATACTGTAATGGAATATGGTAGTGGAATGTGCTGTAAATTCATTAAAATATTCTATTTATGATTACATTAATATGTTTTAAAAAAGGACCGCACTTGATCAAAAATCATAACGACTCAATAGACTTCTTGCGAACGGGGTTGACATAAAAGACACTGATGGGTTCGTATTTACCAAACTTAAGTTCCATCAACATTGCTAATGAAAAGTAAGTGTCAGAAGTGGGATTCGAACCCACGCCTCCATTCGGAGACCAGAACACCCAGTTAACCTCAGTGAGGGTAAGAGAACTCGCTCGCTCTTGAGTCTGGCGCCTTAGACCACTCGGCCATCCTGACATCGATATATTTCGCACATTTTGCTGCATATTAGGTAGTACTTACTTAATGATAAATGAGTTCGTCGTTCGTTGACGTCGATGTACGATGCTGTCACATACAATAACAACTTTCATTTTGGTATTATTTTTTTGTTTTGTTTTTGCCATTTAGTGCCCGGATTCGGAAATACCGCATATAAGTGTAATTTTCTCTTTTTATATCGTCGATCGTTTATAATTCAAATTGACGTTTTCTGATATAAAACCTCGTCCACATTTTGGACAGTATAGCTGTTTTCCTGGCCGCATTGAAATGTCTTCAAGTATCGCGTAAATCGGTATATCTATCAGTAGCTCTTGGTAGTTTAGTAGTCATCCGTAATTTCTCTCAGAGATCAATCTCCTCGATTTGTGAGTGACTGCCCGAGACCTTGCTATGAGAAAATTTCCTTAAAAAAGCTAAGTAATATTTTCGTTAGAAAATGATGTAAAATCGATTCTCTCGTTTCTGCTGTTTCAAGAGAATGTCAGTTACGAATGACATGCTTGTTTAAGCTTTTTTTTTCGTCTGACTCCGTGGCGCAACGGTAGCGCGTCTGACTCCAGATCAGAAGGTTGCGTGTTCAAATCACGTCGGGGTCAAACCTTTAATCATCGTTAATTGTGTAACATAGCCACCAATTTAACGTTTTGAAATTTATTTAACGTTTTTAGTTAGTGGAGTTTGTAATGGGGATCAAGACAGTTCAATTTTTAAAACCTGAGGCATGAATGCATAATTTATTTGTTCATGTTCCTTTATAAATTGTATTCAATCAAATCGTTTGTATTCAACCATTATTATCATTCCCTAATTATTTAGGGGAGCATATACTTAAAACATGTCGCAACAATGGTAACGTGAATGTTTATCAGTGGTTTGTCATTTATGTAATTACCACATTCTTGTAGCTAAAAATACAATTCTTATCAAAGACGGCAGTAATTAAATGAGTTCGAAGTCCTTTGCTCTATTTACCAAAACAACATCGATTCGATAAATAAAGTTATTTAAATGTCTGTAATGAGATATAGTAAGAATACTGAACATGTTTCGCTTGTTTTTGTGCTCGAAGTATTTACACTTTTAAGCATATTGAAAAACGTACAAAACTATATATAATTTTTGTCTAGAGACTCTAGTATATAAATATTCGAAATGATCGCTTTAGCTTTTATTATCAACTAATGTGTAATATTCTAATGACTTACGATACATTAAACATATCAGACGTTTATATTGGTATCACCATCAAGCTTTGAATATCCTGAGGGCTAAAATATTTTTTTAATGTAATCTATCACAAATTTTAAATATTACGTTGTTGGGCGGAATAGATGTATACTGGTCGGTAATGGTATTCAAGTCTAAACTTGATATAAATAAATTGCACTCTTTTGCACTCAATATGTTTCCTGGCGGTAATATAGATAGGCGAAAATAAGGCATTGGGGTGGTAGAGCATTGAACTAAAAGACTTGATAGTTATTTCGACAAATCTTTTTAAATTTTGATTTTCGTGCCATTTAAAATAGAATAACGGTTGTTGCAAGACTATCATATGTTTAAGTCTATTTAATATTCAAATTTTGTTTCAATTATAGTCGACGTAAGAAATCATTACCATATAATATATATTTATTAAAGTGTTTTTACACGCAGAAAGATTAACGAAACAGATTAATAAGCTATGTCTAGTGCGAGTAGTAAACTATTTTAATCTTCTTTTCAGCACCTGACGATATATCTTACTACATTCGAAGTGACCCTCCAATGTCTAGCTGGTTTTCAGTTGATACCAAGACAGGCGATATCACAGTAGCTTCGTCGATAGATCGTGAAATATTTTCTGAGGTCAATTTACAGGTTAGTAGAAATACTTACACATCTGTACAATTTTGAATATTTTATAAGATACATTCCATATATCCTATATTTCATAGGATTTTGTTTCAATTTTTCATCTTCAATTTTTCCCATCAAGATCATGGCATCTGCTGGAAGTCCTCCGGTGTATGGATTCTCCACTATGATAATAACAATAAACGACATCAACGATAATTCTCCTGTTTTTACCGATCAAAATCCTTTCCTTGATCATGACGTCATCAAAAGCGTCACAATACCGTATTCATGGAACACACAATCTCCGATATACACGGTCAAAGCATCGGACTCAGATGCTCAAAATAACGCGTTGGTATGTTCATGTTTCTTTATCAACGTTATTTTTACCAAATTGAGTAGCATATTACCTTATTCTCAAATTGAATATCAAAGTTAGTACAAATTTTCACAATTTATTGATCTACGGTAAGTCAACCTATTCGAAGCATCTGGAAAGCACTCAAGTAATATTGATATAATAATATTTAAAAGAAAATGTAAAATAATGCATAAATGTAAAATTTGAAATAAGCTTAAAAGATGTGTATAGTATTTGAATTTGTAAATGGTCAAGAATCTAGTTTTGATTTAATCAATTCATTTATTGCAGATTCGATTTAGTCTGATAGACGATGCTGGACATTTCTCAATCAACATGAATTCTGGAGAAATTAAACTGAGAAGTTCCCTTCCTCAAGAAAACAGAAATTACAGGTATTTAATTCCCATATAAGTATAAGTTTGCTTTGAAAGACTTGTTTACATCATCCGAATGTTGACGGAAGGACTTAGCTCTTTTACTTGACTATGCGTTCTCTTATGTGAAGTACGCCTTGCACGAAATACTTCGAAACAAGTATAATTATAGAATCTATAAACAATTCAACATCCTATATGTACGGTATACATAGCTTTTGTTGTTAAATGACAATGCAATTAGCGACAGTCATATCCCGATTTTTCGACAGGGGCATGCGTTACAAAACCAAACGTGATTTTTATCGTTCGAAAATTGCAATTCTAAACGTGGGCCAGTGAATCATTCATGACATGTTCTGGACCTGATATGGATCAACGTGCATGGTTATATGTTGAATTATTGCATGTTATATACGTATTTCCGATTTGAGATGCACTTATCTTCCGTGCAGACCATCGACCGATAACTTATTATGATATTATTGCTATACGTCAGTTCCGTAACGAAACTTACTTTTCGTAAAATGCCAGATACTTTCATAGCATATTGAATAACGCCGTATCAGCTATTGCAATGAACTAGGTTACAGATTCAATTGGATGGTATTATGTGTATTTAGAAGATCTTCTGTTCTGATATCGAAACCAATTATAAAAGAAAATAAAGCGACCTATTACAAATTTACGACCCAAAATCGCAATAACACGAGTGAAACGTAAAATCACTACAATTTTATATCGATTTGATTTACTAAAATGTCATTTGGAGTTTTAGAGTTTTAGGAGCATTTACTGCGGGGTTCATTCCATTTGAAGATATTCCGGTTCGCCGTTATTCCGAATCGGAGTAAGATAGGTGTCGCCTCGTTTTCGTCTCTCGTGACTTTGAGGATCATTCGATTCGCTTATGTCATCGTACGGTTCGTTGCCATATTCTTCCATCTGATTCTCACTTGTCATGATCCCGACTTCACCATACCTTACTTCTTGCGCGAAATTATTTTCATAATGAACAAACGGTGGTGGTAACGGCGGAGGTTCCAAATGTTCCTCAAATTCAATGACGTCACGATTTGCCTGGTTTTCAATGTTCATTTCGTTTTCGTAGCAAGTGCTATATTGTGGATATTCGACTTCATGATATTGTATAACGTCGCCGTTGTATTGTTGTGCTGAAGTTGAACTGATGACGTCATTCACGTGGACTTCACTGTATTCAACATTTGGAACAATGTCACCTTGAAACGTTGGTATGATCGCACCATCAGCATTGTTCTAGATATGATGTTAAAAACGTATCAACGGAAATGTCGTAATATAGTCTGTTTACGTATATAACATTCATTTTTTATATGTCCTTTGATAAACATGAACACTATTTGGAATATATTTGATATTCAATATTCGACAATATTATTTTATAATATATCAAGAATAGTAGACTATTCGGTTTTTGTCATCCCTGACCAGTTAGTCAGTCGGAGCGGTCCAGGTTCACGTTACTTTAAAGTATTTATGATCTCGCGCTGAACAGTACAATAAATATCCATGGTTACCCTGATACGGTCAATAGTGGAATATCCATCTCTTTTATCGACTCGTTCGAGACCTTCCACGTTAACTGGTGATCTGGTAGCACTGTTTATTCCCATCACTCCATCTTGACTTGTGTAATATACGACATCCAGAACCAATTCATCTCCCACTGTATCGCTTCCATTGTTATTCTTAGCTTTCTTCGTACTGGAATTGGACAAAATATTTAGAGTGGTGTTGTAGCACACCAAAATCAGGATTATATATATCTAGTTCCTATATACATTCGGCGATAGCACACTGAACCTTGCGTGATATACAATTGAACTTGAGCAACGAATCCACATGACTTTACTTTTGGAAGTTGATCTCTTATTAACTAGTCTGTTTAAGCTTTCTATATTCTGAATTTTATTCGATTGAATGGTAAATTATGCACATATACTAGTAAAATGGACGCAACAACGAATATTCTCAATTCAATTGGTTTTGAAATATTCATTCTTCTTTCATATTCATGAAACGTTGAAAATGCAATAAATTTTTTTTAAACACCATGAGTTTGTGGCAACAAAAGAACGGAATTTTGGAGATTCTGCTCTTTTTTTTTATTAAATTTACTTTGGCAAATCATATTCGAATAATAGATTGAATATTGAATCATTACCGTCGTTGATTGCACCAATAAGCCACTAGAACAATCATTTGAATTATAACCAGTACTACAATGATGACGGGGAAGATGTAAAACAACAGTTGCCTCCATTGTTCGTCTTGATGCTTTTCAACATGAAGTGGGTGTGATGTCATAGTGGGGGAAAGGATCGACGACAAACTGTACGGAGTTGTCGGATTTTCTGTAAAACAAAGTCGTAAATCAGTGTATTACAAGAATGTATCTTCCTGTATGTATTGTAATGACGTTTGGCAGATTTTGTTAGTGCAATAAAACGAAATTCTTCGAGTACGACCCGTTCACAATTGCATAACTCTGTGTTTCAACTTAAGTATAGAGAATAATATGCAACCATTAATAATGAAAGTGTCCACTCACCACCGCCGCTGAACTGAAACAACGTCTTATTTTTTGCTGACGAACCTGTTAAATAGTTTTGGTTCTTACTACTATGAACGTATAAAAGCGCTTGATTTTTTTTTATTTTACAGTGATTTTCTATATCAGATGTATACAGCCTAAATGTTATAATAATTTTCGCCTAGAATTTGGAATCTTTCTGCATATGGGTGTATTAATCGTGAAATTACTCAAGATTGTCATTCCTAAGGATAAATATCACGTTGCCTGAAAAGTGTTACGTAAATTTTTACTACTGCAAAAACCTTACAATCTTACTACCATTCAAGTAAGCGATATAACGCGAATCATATGTCTGGATCAGTCGTACTGTCAAGCAATGCGCAATTAGGAATTTTTTGCAAATTAACAATATAATATACAAATAAAACAATGTTACCCTTTTTATAACTGGGGTCGAGTCGCTTTTTCGTCAACCTTTTCGTAATTCCTGGTTTAATGGGAAGGCTCGAGGTCGTGGTACCTGACGAAATAATGAAAAAAAAAATGTGTAAAATATTGAGATTTACTCGCAATACAGATCATGTAATAAGTGCAATGCTTCCGGTGAAATCAAGCGACACAATCATCGTAGTATTTCATTTTGATCATCATTGAAAATCCGTAAAAAAAATTCCTTCAAAATTTTTACCACTAATGATTTACTTAGTGGAGACTGTATGATTTATATTGATTATGGATTGTTGGGAAAATCTCAGGAATGTTTCGTCAACATGCGATACGAAATACAGCATGAGATATATTCTACCTCAAATGGCAGTTGGATAGAAAAATACTCGAATTTAGAAATATTTTTTGTGAAAGAATTTACTCGAAGCAAGGTTAATCACTCACACTCACTCAGAAGTGAAGAAGACTCGAGAGTCGAGTTAAATTACGGACAAATACCAAAATATCAGGAGTCACTGAAACTATATAGATTTACAGAGGTTCTTAACGTCGCCATATTTAGAAAATTAATAGCAATGCTGATCGACAATGAAACTTGGGTACATCATGTGAAACGGACAATCATTTTATAATCAGTAATTTTTCTTACTATGCTTTGGGCATTCAGTGACTTCGTACTTGAATACTAATTGAGATTCTTCCATATTGGAACGAAACAATATCCTGAAGTTTTCTGTTCCATATTTAATTATCGTTTTGCATATGTTACCAGATGTATTTTTTGATTTTATCAGACAAGATTTTGCTGTAGAATTATCCGTCTTATTTGTACGGAAATAGTAATTGTAGCAATCTGTTTTTGGCACAAATAGAGGCCAATCTGGATACCTTCTTTCTAAATATGAAAATAATAACAAAAAAAATGTATAATTTCAATCAATAATCAATAATGTTAGGCGTAATATAAGATTTTGTATGAAAAAATACCGAATTCCAGTCTTGTCACCGATTCGCAAAGCATTTTCTCGAAACTCAGAGCTAATAAATCTTATGCTTGCGGCTGGTAGGTAGTCATTAGATAACAGTTATCACGTAAATTTGCTTGGACACCAGTGATACCTATAGTTTGAATTTCATAAATAAGCACACGGGTGTAAAATAGTCCTGGTAACATTTTGTGTGTATTTCTCATCTATTCTTATACAGTACGGTGAGCATCGCATTTTTAGTAACAGTAAAATATTAGTCTATGCAATGCGTTTTTAGACGTTACATTTTAAACGTATTATAGTATAGTATTTACCTTCAGTGCCTTGTCCTGGGACCAAAACGTAGTCGTCACTAGATCTGAAGAAAACCTTCATCAAATTCAGATGAATAATTACGTTTTTTCTTTCATACAAAGACTTGTCGAAAATCCATTCCCGATGTACACGACTTTTGTCGCCGAATTCGTCTACTTTACCTGATGCGTTTTGAACCTTTATAAAACTAATCTCTTGACACGTGGAAAAAGTGAAGAAACACAAAAAAGCTGAAAAATTAAGAATATTTAATGATGCCTTCTTACCCATATTATTTTATTGCAGAGGACATAGAAGTAATACACAAACGCGAGTTATCGACAGAATTATTATTAAATATATTTTGGAGTTGGCAAGTAGCGCTTATTGTTACAAACCAGTAACTTGCTTGTTACTTGCATCACAACTCAACATAATTATTCGTCTTATTGTAATGCTCGATAAACATAATTTTCTATATCTCTTACCAATTATTGTCTGAATTTTCATTCTTTTCTTACATCAATTGCAGCTGTAGTCTTCGATGTGAGATAATATCTAATGCCTGTGATAAAGTTCACGAGAACAAATCCTTTTTTATTTTAACTCTATTGTTCGATTATCACCCACATTATAATGCTGTCTGTAGATTATATACTACGAAATCTTTACCCTTCTGCCCAACAAACTTTATGTCGAGTAAAATTATTCCATATTTTGTTATTTCACGTTTCCAATCGACTCATAGAACGAGCAGAAGATCCAGTCCGTCGTTTCCATCAGGCAGCCACAACGTGAAGTAAGAAGTGTGCACTGTTAATTATTTCAGTATATTCACTTGAGTATGTAAGTAAGTCATGTATTGACTGCAATCGTACAAAATAAAACAGCAGTTACAGACAAAAAAAATAAAAAATAAAATTGGTAAGGGTATTTAATTGATTTGTTCAAATTGAAGTTTGCTTTGTTCACTGCAGTTGATCTTACATACTAAGGTAATATCCTTATGGTTATAGATTGTTTATGGAAATTGGATACCCACGCAGAGGTATGACGAATATAAAGATAACTTGGAATTCAGAATTTGCTCCTTTTTCAGATTTGATATTTTGTTCATCTTTCAAGGCGCTCATTATTATCGTAATGATCAAATACTAGAATCAGTAAATTCATGTTCCGCGCTACTTCTGAGAATTCATTTGGCTTAGTGATCCAATCATTTTTGAACTTCTAGAAATTGGCATTTTTGTTTCAAATATTGGTCATATCGTCATTCATGATTTTAGTTTGAAAATATTACAAAGATCAATTCCGAATCAATAAATTATAAACGGAATCATCCTAACTAGTTGATACATGGATATTTATGACAGTTATACGGACCTCGAAGATTACTCTTTCATTTTTCGAATACTCCCTTCCACTTTTTCGCATCCAGCAATTGTTTTCTTTAATACAGGTATTTAAAAGGTTCGCACTATCTTTCCAACAGACAGGGTAATTTAAATTTACTGTGTGTTCTTGGAATGGGAACGAATATAGACAGGAGAATAAGAAACCAATACTAGGCGTTCCTATAAAGCTGTTAATTATTTTATGTTCATATTCAAATATCCTATATAATTTTAAAATAAATGACATGTTATAAAATAAAGGCGGGTATCACGACTTTCCTATTTTAGTCGTCAATTCTAACTCCTGCTGTCGGTTTGTGACGACGTGATACTTTTGTCTTCAATTACAGATTCTCTTCTTGTTATCGCACGATTTCGTGCTTCGACATAAATGCGTGCAATATGCTGCATTCCGTTCGGTGCAAATCTTCCAAATCCAATAGGAATTAGAGTTTTATCATACATGGCCTATTAATTGTTTGTATCTGATATACTCGTGCGATCCCAATTCACCTAAATAGCAATTAGGCGTTGTCATTATATTTTCAACTTTTTTTTATTATATTTGTGCTCAGCAATGTATTAACAGCTATACCCATGGCCCAGAGTGTGATAATTCACGAATCGAACTTGAAGATTCGTTCTGTCGTCCAAAATTTGGACGCATAAATTGCCAACGCTACCCCCTTTCGAAATTTTCGCATACTCCCTGATTTGTTAACTGCTTATACCCCGGCACAACGCATATTGACTCATTTTACTGCAATAGAGAATCGATAATATCGGCTGCTTGATATTAGAATTTCAGTTGTATTATTTTAGACTAACATAGATTATGAAACCAACCTATCAGCATTATTTTTGTTTTGACTATCATCAAACCCTGTGCTTGTGGCAGCTGACTGCCTGCAGCCCTTTGCCCGTCTAACCCCTTTTTTCCAAACCCTTCGTATAAAATATTGCACGTTTCTCGTGAAGTTACAACAATGTTTATTAAGAAAAATGAAAATTGAGTGAAAATAAAATGAAATAAGTTATTGTAGTTCTATGTATGTGGCTGTATCAATGAGATCCAACTTTATCGGTTCTAAATACCCATCATTATTGTTCATTTCATTATTCGCTTGTTCAATATTACAGTAGTCAACGACCTGGTTAGAACTGATCGCCACGTCTTGATCTTGGCGTTTCTTTTTTGGTTTTGTCACAGCTGTATATTTGACAATATTACAATATTCACTATCGTTTTCTATATTTTCCTTTTCCTTATTCGGTGCCAATGTTTCAATATTGTAATAATCAACAACTGGGTAGGCTGACTGGCTAGTACTAGGAAATTCTGTTATTTTGCCAACTTCCGAAGCAGAAAATTTCTTTTTCGCTTCTTGTTTGCGGTTTTTGTTCATTCTTGCTTCTTCTAGGCATTCCCATGATTCTTTTATGTTAGAATAACTTATATCGTCGCAACTGTAGCATGTAGCTAGTCTTTTCTTAGATGGTAACGAATGACTTTTCATTTCTGTATATTCTCCGTCGGATAAGTTGTTTGATGCGACAACATCATAAATCACTTCGTTTGATTTTCTTTCTTTATTTTCGACAAGACAGCCAGTTGATTTTGCTCGGGTTAGTTGCGATGACTCTCGCCTTTCATTCTGTAAAATCTATATGGATAATTCAACGACTCATTTCGAATTCCTCTTTTTATTGATTTAATATGAGATGAAGAAATCATCTCATTTCTATTCTGAAGCAGTGTGATCAAGACAGCTCAGTCAGAACATCAAACACATTTATCAACACACTTTCGGTTGCTTAGATACTAATGGCGAACGAAGTTGCAAACAATGATAGATAGCGCGAACCCCATTCAGTATTTAGTACTTTATTTTTTTACCATACTGAAAATACACTTTATACGAACAATATAATTATAATTAGTAATAAATAAACGGGCGTGATTTCAATACATTTACTCAACTATGGGAGTGTAAACCATATGGCTGGTTCTGAAGTATTTGCTAACTTGTTGGCCGCGAGTTTATTTAATTGTGTTATTGTCCCACAATCTCTGTATAAAATGATATTCTTGAGCAATGTTTTTGTATAAATGCAAATGTAATTCCGGTTCAAATAACGAAGTTCTGATCTGTTATCTAAGATTACAGACATACGTTTTGTCTATGCACAATTGCTTCATATCCTTCATCGCCATGTCGTTCTTCCCGATTCGCGCTTTCTTCATCAAAGTGAATGTAGTGTTCGTTTTGTGCACCCATATTTATGCCATTGGGACCTTTACTTTTACTGTGTCAAAAACATAAGTAGCCATTAAAGACTTGAATTTAAACTTACAAGATGTTACCATTTGAAAATGGTTGTTTACTTACCGTAGTCTATGGCAAACCAGTACTAGTAAACCGCACAAGATTATTATAGATGACACAACTACGATAACAATAAGCAATGGAAGTGGAAAACCACCACTCTTTTTTTTATTTCCGTCGCCAGTTTCATTGGACACTGAAAAAAAAATGAAAGTTTAGCTTGAATTGGAGAGTGAACTTGACTGAATTCTGAAGTACTGATACTTATAACATGTTGAAAATATAATTTTTTTGCATAATGAAAAGGTTGATATGAATTTTAATTGTAGCCAGATTATTATACATTTTATTGTATTAAATACGATTGGTTGAATTTGGTTTATCTTTCCGTACCATTTTTATTAATGTCCGTTATAGTCACAATTGACTCCGTGGATGTTGTCACCAGAGTTGTCGATAGCAGTTTTGTCGTTGGTTGCGATCGAATTTCTTTGAGTGAAAATAGTAGCCATAAATTTTTTTGCTTTTTTCACAAAAAATACTTGAAGATATCTATATGTTTAACCTCCGAAGTTATTTAAGTAGGTCGCCACTCGCTTCTATCAGCAATGGTTTTCACAATTTCCCATCCCGTAATATTAGAATTACAGCAAAGAACAAGGACAACAGTCGAAGTTTAAATTTGTAGTATCGACAAAATTCAGTAATGTGATCAAATCGTATCGGCCTTTAATTAATACTAAATAAAAAGAACTGTGAAAGCAAATGTAACTCACCGCTTTTGCATGTAATAGTATTATATTCGATGACAATGGGATTTAATGGTTTATCAAAGATTCCAAAGAAACGAATCCTGGTGTTATTCGTCGTTGTATTAATACTACTACATGTGTTGTAGTTTGTTTTCTTAAAATCCTCACAAGCTGCATTTGAATCTGGTTGCTCAAAAATGGCATGACATCCTGATTTCAGTGCCTCGTAGCCATTTTCTGCACACGAATAATATTGATCATTTAAATTTAAAGAGTTTAATTGTAAGCATTGATATTAAATTCACTCCTACCAGGTTGTGTGACGACGCGACGGGCGCCTACAATAGAACAAATAATTTGCTGTCTAATTTTTAATTAAAATTCAACATAGCAAATCAGGCCATTATATTTTTCGCGCTCACAATCTGATGTGGTATTAACATAGACTTAACATGTAATTGATTTCTGACCTGTGCTGAACAAAACATTTCCATAGCCCGGTTCTCTGTCGATTGATAAGTTAAGAAGCAAGAACTCTTTTTTGGGTCTCAGTTTAACGTATTGATTTATATCGATGTTAACCGAATAAAAAACATCTCGATCAACCGTCGTCTCCAAAATCCATTTACCGGATCTGTTGTTGTTACTTTCATACGTCATATTTATCAAACCATTCGACGACGGCACTTTAGTACATAACACTGAAAATGAGGTTGCATCATTTAAATAAGTTCGACCGATTTTACGGTGAATCAATAAATGCTTTTCTTACCCACAAATACAGCAATCATTGCCGGTCCACTCCCCAAATTTGTAAACATCATTTTCATTCTTCAGTTACAATTTGTCAGAAAATCACAATGTTATTGTATATAAATATATATACGTTAAATTCAAGGTCTGTATGAAATGTAGCCGTGGTATCTATTAGTATTTGATTCAAACAAACGCATCAAGCCGAAAGAAAACTTTTCTTCAATGAAATATTGCAATACTTATCAGATCAATGCAAATGTTGGATGTATAAGTGCTTGAAATGAGAGCGTTGCTGTAGTCTACTATTGCTTATACTTCTGGTTTTATTGAAACGTAAATCGTATTCTTTACTACGTTATATGCAATTTCTATCTCAATTCCAACGTACACCGCAGTTGTTCTGGTATGTGTCCTAGCCATTCTTCAACGATCTTGCCACTACGTTGGCTTCACCAGTTTGCGATCTCGTTTTATTTAATTTTTGCATCCGAATCTCATCTGTGACGTCTCACTCCTTATAAACGTGGAAAAATAATATAAAGGATAAATTAATGCATCTTTGCAGTTTCGTTCATGTGTTTAATTTTAGAATTCATATAATTTGTCATTAACCGCATGATTATCCCTGTACTTGGGCCATAAAAGAATAGTTCGGTCTCGATGATAGCCATACTCGTATCCTTTTTAGTACGTGTTCTGTTTCAGAAATGCCTTTCAAGTTTCATTTTATTTGTTGCTGATAGTTTACATGTCCATGCGTGCTTTACGTCAGCACGTAATCGAGAGCGGTTCCTGCGTGTTTCATTCCTCGAAACACAATTTACGTCGCTTTAAGCGCACGTGTTCGTATCTCAATTTTGGTGAATTCCCTTATGAGTTATTCAAATAAACCGCATAGCCAATTTCTACAAGACTATATATGTCTGACTTCACAGCAAAGTTATCCAAGCTATCCAAGTAACGCAACCAGTACTGTGTCGTCACCAAATGACGTAAAATAAATGTCATAAAACATACTTTGCTTTGTTGCTCTCTATCCGTAGTAGGATATCAAACCTATTTCTGAAATGATTTATCATGTGATCGTTGTTAGATTCCTGTCCGCTCGGAATAGGGATTTTTCATATTTAAGTTTATGGAATGATCTCGGCAATTGCCTCACTCAGTTAAACGTTTTGCAAGTTCTGCTTCTCGCCGGATGGCACACCGAATTTGGCTTCATTAATTACGGGTATGTCTGTGCAATAAGCTCTAAGTCATCTTATCCACTTTTCTCATATTGCACTATAATTAACAATATTGTTTGTTAGATTATTGGCACAAGTAATTGGTCAAAAACAATAGGAAAATAGAGGAGTCATATGCAACATTGCCGCATAGAAATCACTTTTCAACTATTTTGTCTTTTAAGATAAGATTATTCCTAGTATATATTATTATTATAATAATATATAATTAAGCCTTCCAATCCAGTAAATTTGAATCATATTATTTTTATTTAACAGTGTTTTGGTTCAAGCTTCCGATCATGGAAATCCACCAAAATCTACTTCTGGTACAGTCGTTATCCAAGCTCTCAGACCAGATGGAAGTTGTCCTACTTTTTCTTCCAACATTTATTCCATTTCTATTCCGGAGGATACGGATTTGGCTATCAGGTATAATTTTATATTAAAACATGTAAAAATATGATGAATGAATGATACTATTATAAAGCTTCATAAAGTTGGATTTTTGATCAGGTTACTATGCGCTTTGGTTTACTATCGTTTGACTGTTTACAGATTTTGCAGCAACATGCATTTTGGCACAGACAGTTTATCAATCAATCATTTCTATTTTAGCTTCAGAACCGTTTCTGCTACCCCCTCTGCTGGTATAGTTTATCGTTTGGTTCCGAGTGTTGATTCTTTCACTTTCGGAGTATATTGGGATGGATCATTATATTTGACTACAAAACTTGATCGAGAAGTGAAGGATCGATATCAGTTTGAGGTTGACTTTTATTGTTTATAAATTATTCCCTCATTCCATGCCTTGCTAATCTAAAATATAGACAATTGTTCGAATTGACCTTTAGCTGAATTTTTGAACATTATTTGTACATGTACGCTATTCAAGTCATCCGTAACTAAACTTATTTTCATTCATTAATGTCAATTTATTTCGCAATTTAATCCTTCTTACAATTTGGTCATTCCTAATTTAGCTGATGGCTGAAGGTTCTCAATCACTAGACTTCACAACACCTTGTGTTGCCATGACAACCATTGACATTACTGTGACTGACGTCAATGACAATGTACCATATTTTGATCTGGAATCAACAAGATTTAGCATTCAAGAAAATATGCCAAAAGGTTAGTTTTTATAAATTATGAAAAGGTCTCTAGACAAGCAGATTGCTACTAATGCTAGAAAATTGTTTTACTTTGTCGGATTTGTCATTGGCTCAAAACTTACATTGATAAGTTTGTGAATTTTCATAATAGTGTCATTTCTATTTGAAACTTTCAGGTTCAAAAGTTGGTGTTGTTACTGCAGTTGATAATGACATTGGAAAGAATTCTGACTTACGATATTCATTTGCAACTGAAAATCCTTATTTTCAAATCGACTCCGTATCAGGTAAACAATTACAACAAACTACTTTATTGGACAAAAAATCATCAGTTTCATTGTAATTGAAAGAAAATGTCTTTTAACTGACAACACATATTTTATAAGTTCATTGTCCCTCATTTTACAATTTCAGCCTAGACAAGCCCAGATAAATTTGAACCGCTTATTTAAATTCGAACTGAGAAATACTTTATTTGAGTTTTTTCTTTTGCGATTTGTATATAATTTTGCTATCACCTGCTCTGTATGGATAATTATAACCATTTGATTTTGGAAGGACATCGGTTTTTCTATTTCTGAATAGCCAAACTGCTTTTCTGCACACTGATGCATTAATTATCATCATTCACAGAATAATGCAAGTTTGTTACAGAAATAAAGTTTAAGTATCTTTTTATATTGTTTACATTTCTTACATTGCTAGGTGAGATAACAACCACTCAACAACTTGATCACGAGTCAGCCTCCAGCCATCTTCTCACAATACAAGCTAGAGATTTGAGTGAATCACCACTCATGTCGCAAGTATCGATCCGAGTATATATTGAAGATCAAAACGATAATTCACCAAAGTTTTTGTATCAATTTGCACCTGTGTTGTCAGTTGTTGTGGAAAAACAACCCAAAGGTCAGTTATCCATAGATATTTGACTTCTTTGTTTGTTTCCGTAACAACAAAAGATCTCAATGGTCATGTAGCAATTGAAATTTTCGAAATCTAGGTACCGGTATATGTCAAATAACTCAATAGTTATTTCGTACATTGTGCTAAGTATTAGGACTACGCTCATTATCGCACCTCTGATTACCCGCATAGGTTCGCAGATTCGAATCCCATGCAGGGATAATTATGTGCGAGAGGATTGCTGGATACTTTGCTGCTGTAAGGTGGTTCAGGTAACTGCTGGTCGGTTACGTCTTCATCCACCAACAAGTCCATGTATCTGAAACGAATAGTTGGCTAACTTATCCCATACCCGACATGGACTGGTAACCAGACGAGAGGCAGTCGTTTGCCCTATGATTAGGTATGCATAAGTGTTATCGCCTTTTCTCTTCTCTGGGGTAAATATGTAAATTCTATCCAAATTTCATTTGTCAATATTCCATTCATACTGGGTTATAGCCCACAATCATTACTTGCTCCTTTCTAACTTTCTGATAGTCTGATTGCTGTTATTTTCAGGTACTTTCATATCTCAACTTCAAGCAACTGATAAGGATATTGGTAATAATGGATTGATAAAGTATTCAATCTTATCAGGAGCTGATAACAATTTACAAATTGCCTCTGACACGGGTAGAGTAACCACAAGCAAACAACTTACTGCTGTAAGTATCAATTGTTTCAATTTTGCTTGCTCTGCCATTTTTATTCATTTGATGTATTTGGCTCGACAGTTAGTGCATTCTGTTGTGCGCTATAAATATTCTTGATATCACACATTCGATTACACCGCATGGGTTGGCAGGTTTGCATCCTGTGGAGAATTATTATGGGCTTGAAAATTGCTGGACTCGTCGCCAGGGTTCCTGAAGGAACGGTGCCTTTAGCTTACTCCTCTTTCAGATTATATAGGAAAATACTCACATTTCTGTCTTTTTTCAGGGAAACTCATACTCACTCACTATTGAAGCTAAAGATCAAGGTTCCACTCTACGATCTTCAACAATCAGTCTTGAGGTAACGAACTTACTCATTTCTGTGTTTCATTTCATTATCCTCAGTAATTTATATACCTTCCTACTCTGTCTCTTTCTTTTCAAATACTAAAATTGATTTTCTTTTTACTTCATGTTCCAGGTGAAAGTTATTCAAAGTACAGAAAATCGTGCCTTAGTGGAAGAAAACAGCTATGTGTTTTATGCTGCCAGTGAAACAAAACCTGGAGATGTCTTGGGAAGGTGGGTCAGGATCGATTTAAAGTGCCCATGTATTTTGGGTTTCCTTCTTTTACAAGTTTTCTACTAGGCCCTTTTGAATGGTTTTCTCATCAGTCTCATCAAATTTTGGTGTATGCTTATGATGACCTATGTAGCTTTACTGTGATTTGGCTAATTGTACGATTAATGAATAATTTTACAAAAATTTGTTTTTCAGCTTCGAGACTAAAGCTCTTACTACCAGGTATGCATAACTTCTGTGTGTTATTATTATTACATTCTCTAGTTTCATTTAAACACAAATTAATAAAATAATATGTTTGATTATCTTTCAGAGTTGCAAGAGACGTACACAATGGTAATGTACTTTTGGCAAATTTTCGAATCACGGAAGGTAATGAATATGATGTATTTTACCTCAATCAAAATAATGGAGAATTGTCAACAACCAAAGAGTTGAATTACGAAATGATGCCACAATACAAAATCACGGTAAAGATTTCGTTTATCAATAAACATACCTGAAATATAATTGTTTGGTACGTTTTTGTGTGATCTCATTTGTATATAAAAACATATCCTATGATGGTTCAAGATAGTGCAAACTCAGGATTGCAAATATATATATATGTACCTATGAATGAATTCAAATGGTCTATGTTGCTCTATGTTATACCAAGGACCACTGAACTAGCATGCAGTGTTTTGTAAGTTTATTTCATGCCTTTTTATTAAAGTATGATTGTGACTGTAGCCTGTTTCGTGTGCTACAGAATACTGTATAATATTCTTCAATGATTAATTAACATCAATTTAATCTCTTTATCCTCAAATTCAGGTGACAGCAGAAAATTCTGTGAAACCTGATGATATATATACCATGTCAGCACAAATTAATATAGAAGATGAGAATGATTATTCACCTGTGTTTACGACTGCTTCTTATTCTATACCTGTACAAGAGAACATTGCAAAAAATACAAAGGTATGAAGATAGGATTGGATTTTCATATTTATACTGAATTTCAGAAAATTGGGAAAAAGTACAAGATATCTTTATCATATAGTAATAAAAGTTTAGTTTACTAGGACATGTATGGGATTGGCAAATAACGATATACACCAACATTGAAATTAGATTGTCCCCATGCATGGTGAAAATCGAATAATGTACTATTAAATTTTACAGATTTGGAAGTTTACTGCCGTTGACAATGACATTGGTGAGAATGGAGAAATCACTTATTCAATTCTCAATCAAACAGCAAGCATTGGAAAAAATCCTCAAACATTATCACAAAATCAATTTTTTTATATTGATTCTTATACTGGTGAATTATATACTAAGGCTGAAATGGATCGAGAAACTATTCCCTCATATACATTAGTTATCAAGGTAAAGCTGATAAACCCTTTTTTCGCTTATTTTAACTATTCTTCATAAATCTCAGTGACTAATTTTAATACTGTAATACAAAATTACCCTAGGTGCCTGAATTGTTGAAACTACCTTTAAGCAATAAAATGCATTTTTTTTTTAGAGAAACCATAACAATTTAAATGAGAATATTCTTAAATATTTCATATTCAAGGCAATCTGGGAAATAAATTTTCCTTGCGTAAATCATTTTTTAATGTTTTCAGGCTACCGATGGTTCTTCTACAAATCCCCGTTTTACAACTGTGTCAGCTCTTGTAACTATTCAAGATATGAATGATAAATGGCCTAGATTTTTATCACGGAGTGATGTTTTCATTTTGGAGGTATTCAAACAAAAGCAATATCATCTCTTGAATTTTTCTGTCTATTTTTTCTCTTTTTTTCTTTATCAATAGTTTTGCAACTTCTCTTTATTCTTCGAAAATTTATAAACAATTAAGCATGATTTTGATGTGATACATCTCTACAACATGCTTAACTAAATATGTCTGATAAGTTTACAACATCTCACTTGTATGACTCATAAAAGATTGTCATTACTAATTCTCGGGATAAAGGTTTCTTGGGGGAGAGGGCAGCCAATAAGACGACTTAATCATATGATGAACCACAGTCTCTCGTCTGGTTACCAATCCATGTCAAGTATGGGGTTAGTAACCGTAATTGACCAGCGGTTACATGAACCACCCTATGACAATGAATTGTCCAGTAATCCTCTTGAACATAATTATCCTCCACGAGGTTCAAACCCACAATACAGGGATGGCCAATTCGAATAAAGTATTCGAATGTATTCGAATATCTCGTCATTCGAATATCGGAATTCACGTTCATAAGAATATCGGATATTTGTGTGACGTCACACATTTTCGACGCCGCTTTCAAGACGTTTCCGTTGAATGAAAACATTCTCGATAGTACCTTGCGCGTGATTGTTTTCATCACTCTTCAGCGTAACGTAATATTTAGACCCGTAAACGCCTTTACAATTGTGTTATTTTCTCTAAAACGAAAATTTTCCACAAATTTGTTCCACGATAACATTTATTTTATTTTTGTACACCCACGGAATTGTGAATCTGGTAAATACGTTCATCGGCGGCGAGTTTCTAAAGACAACGCAACTTTTTGATTGAAAAGCGGCAATTTAAAATACTGAAAATAAAACCGTAAACAATATAAGTTTTATTGAGGCCCGCGCAAATTTAAAAAACGCTTTTCTAGGCAGTGAACGCAAAATTTCGTGTGCCTCTGGCACACATTATGTTTGGTCGGCGTTTAGAAACATATCGTCACTAATTGAGGGCGGGATTTGCCTGATTATCCATTATTTTAAATTGCCGTCAAATATTTTCGTGTTAACACGATACAAGGTTTGAAAGGGTTGTGAGGATGTATATAATATAATTAATCTAAAGTATATTCAATCAATTTTATTTTGATGAAATAAATTTTACTCTGAGATATTACAGCATATTTAGGGATTTTTCGAACGGTTTTATCTAAAAATAATCCGAGTGGCAGCATTTCGATCGAGCGGAGTCACCGTTAACAAGTACATCTAAATATTTGCCGAATTCGCAAAATACGTATCAAAACAATATTTAATCGGACAGTTTACCTCACGTTTTTATTTTTATGACCGCGGATTGCAATGGTATATAAGAGTGGTGAGGATTTTATTTTGTCGACGCAACCGCAGGTTAAATTGAAGACAATTAGATTAATTAATAAAGCAAGACATTTTAAATATGCCGGTGTCGGTCACGAATTCATCACTTTGCACAACAGAAAAATATATATTCGTTGTTATATTATTTGTTGTAAAAGTCGACTCTTTCAGCAGGTGGCATAATCGCGGCGATGAATATGTATTTTTAATTCACTGCTAAACGTTCATTGTATGAAATGAATTATACTCTACACTTAACAGGATTTTATATAATTATTTGAGATTTTTCTAACGGCGATAACGAGTTGGCAGGATTGCAAAAATACGTATTAAAATTAAATACATCAGGCAGTTTATCTCGTAATTTTAGGTCACAGATCGCCGTGAACGGAATAGTAATGTTTCTTTTTTGACGTAAGAAGAAGCAACCGCGAGTTACGTTGGACACATTAAATTAATATATAAAGATATTTTAGAATCTCGTAGTTGTCATAGATTGAATATTTTACGTAACAGAATGATCATCATTATACGCTGAAAAGGGTTCCCTTACATTTGAACCCATGACATTTGCACCTGTATGCTATTGCACCTATGGAATTTTTTTTGTTTCACGGATAGTTAAACCCATACTAACCCTAACCCATGGGTTTTAGCACCCGCATATAGATTGAACCCGTGGATATACGCATGGGTTCAAATGTACATGGGTTCAAATGTACGGTCACCGCTGAAAAGACGACTCTTCTAACGAGCGCGTAATCGCGGTGGTTGTTACAGGCGGCAATGGGAAATTCCGATTTCGAAAATCCTGGCTGCGCGCTCGCAGTGATGGTCATCTATTCTCTACTAATTTATTTCTAATTCCAAACACAACAATATATTAAACATAATACCAATATGGTTCTCATAAATTAATATACAAATATACTGGTAGGTAGTAGAATACTCTAGACCCAAATATTAGAATTTTTAAAGGCATAATGGATTTTCGATTGGTATTGCCAATAAATTTTATTACTCTCAGAAAATATACACAATTATCTGAATACAAGTAGTATTTTTGTCAATAGACTTGACTATTATCGTAATATCATGGTACCAATGATAGAAAGCGTCAGACAACTCCTTGGCTATCTTTTCATATGGTCATTTGTACAAAGTGAATAATTTTAATTAACTGACTGTGTCACAAGTTGCTATTATTTTTTATTGATAGCTATAAACTATCAATTACTTTGTGTACATATACTGTTGGTTTGTGGCTTCATTCTGATATTTCTATTGAAGCTTATTTCCTAATTTACTGGGTTTTAATCAACTAAAACAAAAATGTGGTATTTTCGATTTTAGAATGTATTCGGAATTCCAGATTCGAAAACATTATTTTAGAATGTATTCGGAATAGTTTAGTATTCGGAAATGGCCATCCCTGCGGCCACAAACCCACGCTGGGTGATCAGATGTGGCATGATAAGCATATTCCTAACATTTAGCACAATGCACTAATCAGCAAGCCAGGACTTCGAGTTACTTTGAATTGTCTTTCCAATGTTTGATTCTTGACATTTGATGCACTCATCTTCTATATTTCAGGATGAACCAGTCAAATTTCCTGTTATAACTGTATTAGCAGAAGATGACGATCTGGGTCCAAATTCTCATGTTATTTACTCTATAATAAGACAATGGGATATGAACGGTAAAGAAGATGAAAGTTTTCAGATCAATTCAAAAACAGGTAAAATGTTTTCACTTTATTCTAATTGCATCATAATGTTTATGGAATGTAGATTCTTATTTTCTATCGTTTTATTTTTGAGGTAGATGAAAAATCGCAAATGATTCGCAATAAAAAATATGCCATAATATTAAATGTTGTAAATATTCAAACATTCTTTGAAATTGTATATTAAAGCTGTGATTGGGTGACAATGATGACCATATTATGATATTTTTGTTTGTCATTAATAACGTTATATCTCCAATGTGATATTTTGTCATGCATTCTTTCCTAGGCTTTTTTCAATACTGCCTAGTCAAATTTTTTTTTATTGTCTCAAATAACTCGCTTTGATTTTTCTCAAGGTTTGATAACATTGGTGAGGAGATTGAATTATGAAATGTCAACAACTCATTATGTGAATATAAGTGCTACAGATAGTTCAGCTATTGATCCACTTACGTCACATCAGGTAAGATTCCATTAACTGTTTTATTTTTGCTAATTTTACCGTTTTTTTTTAACTTGAAAGTTTAAGTATTTTCTGTTTTTAGCTTCTTGTTGTGAATGTGGTCGATGTGAATGACGAATCACCAAAATTTTCTCGAGATTTGTATTTTGCCGAAATTGAAGAAAATCAAATCACAGGAAGTCTCGTTACTAAAGTTACTGCAACTGATGGTGATTCAGGTAGAATTTCGATTCTAATTTTCCTTGATACCAAATTATACCATACCATATTTTTATTTTATTTATGGAGCACTTGGAGAACACTAAGATTGTTTTGCCACAGTGCTTGTAAGAAAATTGTCCACAGTTATTGTCGCTATACTGAATGCTTTTCAAGTTTAACATATTAAATTGCACTTCAGTTGTTATTTGTCTGCTTTTGAGTAAATTTTATTAATTCCTAATTGGATTCTAATGGCTTTGCATCAGGCAAATATGTACATCCTTCAGAAATCCTTCAGAATTTTAGCATTTACCCTTTGATGGAGTAGGAGAATCGACGATCTTTCTACATTTATTTTGTTAGGACATTCAATTTGGACAAAACCAGGTTTAAATAAACTGCTTTTAATATGATAATGTTAACTCACAGGTGAAAATGGCAAAGTAACTTATGAACTTCATGATAAATCAGATTCTTTCAAAATAAATCAGGACACTGGTGTTGTGGTGACAACGAAACAACTTGATCGAGAAAATATTGAATCATATTCATTGACTGGTAAATAAACTGCTTTTGTTTCATTCCATTGTAAATATGTATTAGTCCTGTATTTAGAACAAGTTCCACTTTTATTTCAAGGAGACAAAAGTTCATACATAAATCATGATACGTATTTTCCATATTGCAAACCATAGCCTATCGTTCAATTACTGGTCCGGTTCTGGCATATAGCTTATCACATTAGTAGTGCTATCATTATACTCGACTGAATGTTCAACATCTTGATGCTGACATATTACCTGCAATTCTTAAGCCACTATATATCATTTGCAAAATTAGTATTCAATTTTATAAGTGAATTTGATGATGTTGTCATTTATTATGTAATATTACTATTTACAGTGTATGCACATGATGGAGCATTTCCTTCTCTTTATACGTGGTGTACAATCCACCTCACTGTGCTGGATACAAATGACAATTCACCTGACTTTGCAATCGATGGTGATGCAGTTTATACTGATGCAGGCTCACTCATCCTGGGAACCATCGAAATACCTGAATATGAGCCTGGACCTGCTCTTGTTTACACTGTTATTGCATCAGATTTGGATAGCGGGAGAAATGGAGAAATTTTCTATAGCATACAAGGTGGGTGAACTTCAGGAAGTATTGTTTTATATAGGATTTTTCGTGAGAATGTTGATGAAATCAGTGATTAGATGAATATGAATTTCAATTTCTCCAGATGGAAACACAGACAATTCCTTTACAATGAATTCAACAACTGGTGAACTCTGGACAACAAAGCGATTGGATCGGGAACAAACCAGTTCATACCGGTTGAAAATTGTTGCGACAGACAATGCAAGTCAACCAAGAAGTAGTGATGCAGTCTTAGATATAACCGTGCTAGATTGGAATGATGAAAATCCTATTTTTACTGAATTATCTTATCATGCAGAAATCAGTGAGGGATTACCACTGTGAGTAATACTGTATTTTTGAATGACGGGGATACCATTATGCATTTTTTTGCCAAATGTTCTGATAAATCTGCATAATATTTTCAATTTAATTCTTCTTTTTTCAGGGGTCAATTTGTTTTGACTGTTCATGCAGATGACGCAGATTCAGGATTAAATGGAAAAATAACCTATTCTATTGATCCTGGTACAAGAGAAAATCAAGAACCATCATCCACTGCTCCTGAAGGTAATTAGTAATTGATATTAGCAGTGATCTGCTAAAATGGGTGATGCTACATATGACAATGTTGGTTAATATCATATAGTTTTCAAAATGAAAATTCAGTTATTTTTTGTTCAACACATCTTATTAAGTAATGTGTGGTATTAACAATTTCAAAATAATCGATATCTGTCTGTGACCTTGTCAAGTTTTCAGATAAGATTGTAAATTTCATGTTTGAATCTTATATAAGCAAAAAGTGTTACGAAAAATCACAGATAAACTAAGGTGGGATATTTACAATTACTTTTTGATAATTGTTCAACATGTGTGCACCTAAATCCATTGACCGGTTTTTACAGACAGATAACTTTTCTCTCAGCCTCGCCAAATAGAAATATATGAATTCAGAATTTATTGGAATATTTTTTGGAATTGCGTCAAATATTTATATATTTTCATTCTCATTCTAGAGAAAATTGTTGTTGGATTTTTAAAAGACGTCTGTCGTAATCAGGAACCTATGTTCACTACTCAATCCCCTTTCATATTCCACCATTTAAATTCCAGGTTTATTTTCCATTGATCCTGAGACAGGAGTAATAACAACAACAGCAATACTTGATCGTGAAAAGAAATCTTCTCATCAAATTATTGTTCAAGCCATTGATTCTGCACCTTATGGTCCCAGGAAAACATCAGTGACTGTTAATATTGATGGTAAAAACATTGATTATAATGGACTTATGCAAATAAATAGATTATTTAGTAAGATAAGTAATTAGAAATGAATTTCTATGCCTTTCTATTTCTATTTGTTGTCAAATGTTATAGAAACTGATATTAGGATAGAATAGGATTTATAATTTATCCCGGGGAGAGGAAAGTTGATAAGACGTCTTAATCATATGGCAAACCACGGCCTCTCGTTCGGTTACCAGTCTATTTCGGGTATGTGATTAGTTAGCCAGTTATTTGTTACAGATGCATAGACATAGGAAGTCGCAACTGATGAGTGGTTACGTGAGTCCAGCAATCGTCTTGCACATAATTAATATTGGATAGATAATACGATTTTATGATGAATATGTTATGTTTACAATCATATGTTACTATTTCTTCATTTTATTTCAGTACTTGACATCAATGATAATCATCCTATATTTACTGATACATTAATTATAAAAAATGTCAGTGCATCTATCAGCATTGGATCTGATATTACTACCTTATCAGCACAAGATAAAGATGATGGAGATAATGGAACTGTCTTTTATAGGTAAATAGTGATAAATTTATTTTATGATGGTTTGGGAAATATGTAATATGATATTTCATATTTCAAGTGTCTTTGAAGAAATATAAGTTATCCCGATAAGCTCAGTAATTTGAGGTTGATTTCCTGCTTAAATATTTAATCAAAATACCTGCAATAAATCCAATTTTATTCTCGCAAATGAATGGCATGAATAAGCGTCATATAAAATAATGAAATTGATGTTTTCAGTTAGCTTAAAAAACATTGAAAATATATTCCCTAGTCAGTGCAATTTTCCGAGCAATATCATTTCCTAATATTCCTAGAATTACTGGTGGCAAAACAGCTCCATTTGGTTCTTCCATCAACAAATTTCAAATTGACAACAATGGACAAATAACAACCACATTTGCATTGTCTGGTGCTTACACATATTATCTGAATATAACTGCAAGTGACAATGGGATTCCTCCGCACACGTCCGATGCTGTCGTTATTGTAAATGTTGGTACGTTGATATATCTTCTTACTTATAACGCTGTTATGTGATTTTTTTTTTACGAAAATGGTAGCTCAGGATTAATAGCATGTTGGCGTCTTCCCAACCAGGTTTAGGATTGTTGTGACCACACACTGATGACTCTCATCAACTCATTTGCACTCAAAGTTTTGCAATGCTTTTTTCTTATAATAAAGATGTTTATGTTTGCTCTTTATTATTTCCACCTGTTTTTAATTAATTAACAACCTTATCTATCATGAAGTTTTTTATAAAAAAAAATTGATTTACACAAATATAAAGCAGGAAAAGAATTTCAACAACAATAAATGATTAATGAACTTTTTTTTTATATTTTTAGTACCATTCGACATTCCGAATTTCTCCCAAGTTCTATTTCAAAAACCAATATATCAGGTTGATATGCATGAAAATACACAAAAGGATAGCAGAGTAACTCAGGTATAATTTACTTTTGGTTTTTATATGGTTCACACTGATCCACCAGCTATTTGACATATAACTTTAAAATTCGATTTTTTAATAAATGTTTGACGATACTTTTTCTTTGTACTCACGATACGCAGGTTCGAGCAAAGTTGTTTGAAGATGGTAAAGAAGTTGAGGATGAATCATCTGTCAATATAATGTATGATTTTGCTTCTGGAAATGAAGATAAAACATTTGTCATCGATAATGATGGTGTTATCACTGTCAAAGATCCATCTATGCTGGATTTTGAGTCTTTGCCTGAGTAAGTACATAAAGAATACTCATTAAGCAAATGAAAACTAGCAGATGCTGTATTAGTAATAGGTAAAATTCTCACTAGCTTTTTTCTACATGTTTACTATTGCTGTGATTATATGCACCTTGTTTATCATCGATTGCCTTTGGTGCACAGTATAGAAAGAGAGAGAGAGAGAGCAATAGTAATTTATTTTCGAAAATATCATCAAAGGACACATTGCAGTAATAAGAATAAACAATAATCATAAGATATAATCGTAAGGAGGCAAGCAAGACTGCAAGGTCAACAAGGTCGACTGATCCCAAAATTTCCCAAATTTCAAAATCTATGTAACAAGACTTGGTTTGAAAACAGTTTCTAATGCCATTTTTAAAGAAAATTATGTTTTATTCAGAATTCGATTGATCGTCTATGCTGCTGCTGTCCCAACAAACGGAGCAATCAGTGGTCCAATGTATGCCCATTCTACAGTCATTGTTAATTTACTTGATGATAATGATAATTCACCACAATTTGCACAAGATCGTTATGTAACGGAGGTTTGGGAAGAACAAGATGCAGGAACATATGTACTACAGGTTGGCGGAGTTAAATAAAATCATCTTATCTTCGTGAAAATTACCGTATTTGCCGGCAAATAAGTCTACCCGGTGAATGAGACGAGGCCCAGTAAAATCGCATCTAAATCGCAATCTTAAATTACCATGCAACGGCTTCTGAACGGTCACAGCGTTTGCGTATTCCTAAAAATAAATAGCCGGGAATTCAAACTGTCTTTCAATTTTAATCTAATTGTGCTTAACGTAACTCGCAATTGCGTCCACTGATCTAAACTAACACGGCAATTTGGGGACATAATAATGTGAGATAAACTGCATGATTATATTTAGTTTTGATACATATTTTTGCGCTCTTGTGAATTCGTTATCGCCGCTATGAAAATCCCAAGATCTGCTATAAAATCCTGGAAAGTAAAATAAAATTTAATTAGGAACAATCTCGAAATCTCCACGAAACGAAATGTGTTGCTTCATTAATTTAATTTTGATCAATTTAATCTGCGATTGCGACAATATGAATAGTATCACTGCTCCAAAATACCAACGCAATCCGTGGACATAAACATGTACGATTATATGTTGTTTTGATTCGAATTTTTGCAAATTAAAAACATATCTGAGCTGTTGCTGCAACACTTATTCCCCTCTATAGCAATGCTGCCACTAATTATTTTGAGGATATCACCGTAAGGCACTGTAAAAATCTTAAGTCAGGGACAATATCCCACAGAGCAAAATTACTCTAAAAAATGAATTAAATATATATATACATAATATATATAATATTATACCGGTGCGTCGGGCCCCGTCGGTAGTTGTGGGACACAAAATATTTTTGCGATTTGCAATGTCTAAAAAATCATCTTTAATCTGTCCCAGGCCATCCTAAAATAAAACTTAAATTGTGTTTTCCGTTTTATTTTTAGTATTTTATAATGTCGCTTTTCAATCAAGAAAATTTGGGTCGCATATTCACTCCTTTATTTATCTTAGCATCTTGTCATACATGATTATGTTATAACTTGTATCTCACAAGTGCCATGGTGGTTTGAGAAGAATTAGGTAATTATCGTTGTCCTCGCAGCACAAAACATATGTTGAGGCAAATTTGTGATTTAGGGAGAATTAATGCTGAAAAAAAATGTTCACGGCTTACTTAAATAAGACATCACGCTGACAAAAACAATTGACGATTTTCACAAATTGCAATCCCATGTGTATCTGCAATAGCTCTTCACTCGTGATGCACACACAATGCGGCAACTTCAAATATGATAATCACAGCGTTCAAATTGCAGATTCACAACGCCCATTCATTCAAACTGACGTTATGGGACATGTTATCGCTCCCAAGGTATTTTATGGTCTGAATTGAATAATAAGCCAACCCTGAAAAAATGAAAATTACCATACTCAGCTAATAAGACACACCCCCCCCAAAAAAAAAAAAAAAACAGGCCAAAAGGGGTCTAGAAAAGCGACTTATTCGTCGGGAAATACAGTATATAAAAATTTACGGTAAAATTCTAATATTTCCTCCAGGTTTCTGCACATGACATTGATAGTTTAGAAAATGGTGAAGTACGATACTATATTGATTCTGGCAACACTGATCGATCATTTCTTATTCATGATGTTACTGGAATAGTTACAACTGCTCTCACTTTGGACAGAGAGGTAAGCTAAGTAATTTTGTCTAGATGTTGTATTTATTCTAATTGAAATAGGGTATGAAAAGTTAGTTGACACAACATAACTTCTATAGTGTATAACTGACTAATAGCTGGCACATAGTTATCTCCCACAAGATTCAAACTTGCCCAGGGTAGCATGTTCTTAATGTTCAGCATGATGCATACCATCAGGGAAAGAATGAAAGGGAAGTTAATTTGTTCAGAATCAGGGATTATCACCAATAAAATAAGCTTTACACAAGAATAAACCGTTTGTGTTTGTGACAAATAAACTTTGTAACAATGAGATCAAATTTTGTACTCTTTTCTGTTAAAGCTATTTTATCAAACCTTCATCTTTCCAGATTCACAAGGAATATAAGCTGACTGTTTATGCTTATGATCTTGGAGCTCCTCGTCGTACAGGATCATGTACTTTGAAAGTAACTGTTGTTGACATCAATGATCACAAACCAACGTTGAATGTTCCTGCCAGAGGTTCCCTCTCTGTCTCAGAGAATGTTGACATTGGAACATTAATTACAAAAGTAACAGCGAATGATCCTGACTTAGTGACTCCAACATTTCAACTTGCTTCTAATAAAGATAATCAAAATGATTATTTTACCATTGATAAGTGAGTTATTAATTTCAGCATGCCAAATACAAATCTTCTGGCAAACCAACAGGCAACAATTGCTACCTGACTCTTGTTGAAAAAGCAATCCGAATATTTTCTCGTTTTTTGGAAAGTTATTATGTCTGAAAATATTGATTCATAATAATATAATGAGTAATTACTTGAGCTTTCGAAACTTTTTCAATTTGTCTTTAACTAGAAACATAATTTGTATGAAATTGGAAATATCAGTGAAATTCTTATTCAAAAAAGCAAATTTATGACCAAAATGTCCATTATTCACAATATTATCAGTACATTGGTATTATAGTCTCCATCCAGGTGACGACCCACATTATAATTCACCTACGATAATATTTATGTTATTTTATTACAACAGGCAAGAAGGCACTATCCATCTTGCCAAATCTCTTGATTATGAAATGATGCATCAAGCAATCATTGTTGTGCAAGCAACAGACGGACAACATACAGATGAGAAAGAAATCTTCCTTAATATTGAAGATGACAATGATAATGCACCTGTCTTTAAACAACAATCTTACCAGGTACGAACTTTCATATATTTGTAAAGTTGCTAATGAACTTTTTTCTACTATTAGTTGGTTCAACCAGTGATGTCATAATGGTTATAATAAAGGGAGTGGTGTGGATATGTGCATGCATAATTCATTGAGCAACATGGACCCACGATTTGTAAGAGAAATATAGTAGGATAGGATAGGATTTACATATTTATACCGGGGCAGGAGGGTCTTTGAATTTCTTGCATTTCATATTCTTTGGTAATTTTTCATCGTTACTGTTGGAGTGTCCAATCTCGAAATATTTGACTTTCATACATTTATGGGTGTTTTTGAATAACTGTTATTGGGGTTTCCATGATGAGCCAAATTTCATATCAGGGTTCCACAAAGATAAAAAGTTTGTAAAGCACTGGTCTGTTTATATACATGGTCAAACCAATGTTGTCTTGAAAAATGATTTAATTTTTCTGATGGCATTACTCAATTTTTAGGCAACTTTGAACGAACTTTCACCTGTGAATACAACTGTGACACAAGTACATGCTGATGACATTGACTCCAATAATAATGGATTGATCACTTATACACTCATTGATACTTTACCGAGCAAAGCAATGTTTGTTGTCGATAAATATTCAGGTAAGTGTCGATACAGAGAAATTTTGATTTGGTTTATTGAGTTCAATGCAGTCCAAGTAGATGCAGTGACTCTTTCTAGGTATACTATAGATATGTCAAATAAATTGCTTAAATATTGTGATTATTTTAATTTTCTGTGCTGACCGAGTAAAATTCATCAGCTCATTCCTACTCGTCTCAGTCAAACAATATTTAACTTATTCAATATACACCTTTATATATAAAAACAAAATTTTCTACTAGTATCACAATGTCTTTCCTCACATTCAACAACAGATTTTGTCTTTATTATTCAGGGTTAAGTTGACTAGTTACTTATTTTCACTCAATGTTATTATACTTGTGTATCTGTAACCATATTATGCAAGATGCTGTATCACGAATTAACATGACTATTCTTGGATTTTCAACCTAGATTTTGTATTATAGTTTGTTAGTGTCTGACTATGATGATATTTCAACCTTTACAACAATATAGAATTTACATGATCAGCTCATTGACAATTTTTTTTACTAAATTTTCTTTTGAATTTTTACTTATAGGAATGATCTACACAAACATGACTGAATCTTTCAACCCACAATCATCTGTTTATAATCTGATGATATTAGCAGAAGATCATGGCCAACCTTCACTTAACAACACTGTATCTGTTCGTATACAGGTATTGTTTGTAATAAATATTATTTGAGGCCAAAAACAAGCAACAGTTCAAGTTATAAATCCAAGATTGGGGGTGGGGGAGAAACGTTCTTTTGCTCAATGCCTTTGCGCAAGCGGATCCACATATAGTGTAAGGATTCTGTGGCAAGAATGAATATGACTATATTGTTGCTGAATTATTCTGTTTCTGACACTTTTAGTATTGTGATTGAAATATGGAGAACGTGGAACTTGTAAAAAATTTCTGCAGTTGTTTTTAAATCCATATATCTGATTCTGAAATGATTATTTAATTTGATATACTCATAACCAATCTAGACTGGTAACCGGATATTTTCATTCATTCATTTTTCAGATCAAAGATGTGAACAATCATTCACCATTGTTTGGTTCTGAATCATATGATGCGAGTGTTAGTGAGTCGGCCGAGCGTAACACTCATGTAATTAATATCACAGCAACTGATGCTGATTTTTCAAAAGATAATCGTCATATTTATTACAAGTATGAATATATTACTTTTTATTAAAGTAAATGCTTTAGATTTTGCTTGTTTGTACAATAATGATTCACACTATATCCTTTTTTGAATTATGACGCTAATTTCATTTAAGAACTATAAAGCACAGCACAATTGTATTGTTATTGCAAAAATGAATTGTTGCCAGTAACTAACAATCTGCGTATCGGAAGTAAATATTATAGATATAAAGTAGTAGTAAGAAATATCATAGTAGATTATTGTTGGATTCAATTTAGGCGAGCCTTAATCTAATTTTTATCACTTAAATGTTCGTACATTGTTTTTTATAATTCATGACTTGGTGTTTCACCGATAAAACATGTCCGGCCCCAGCGTGTCAACAGTTCAAAATCCATGCGCTATGATATATCTTTTCGAAAACCACGCAATTGTATTCACCGAGAGTCATTTGTTTCATAAATTGATCTGTGGTGCTAAGCATCAATATTCTTATTTTTATTTAGAATTGATATATGCATTAAAATCTTTGTCACATAGTTCACAACAGCATAGAATAAAGTATTTGAACTATCTTGCTACAGAATAACATCTGGAAACGAAGGCAATGCATTCAAAATCAACACACACACTGTGATAGATGGTGAAAACACAGTCGGTGAAATATGTGTTGCCAATGAACTGGATCGAGAAAACATTTCTGAGTATCAATTGACTGTAACAGCTTATGATGAAGGATCTCCTCAGATGTCCAGGTATTTTCAAATTCGCTTTCATTGATTATTAGGTATAATGGAAAAGAGGTTGGAGTGATACAAATTTGATGCAAAATCAGAAAACTGAAATATTAGAAAATAATGTATTCAAATAGAATTACCTTGTGACATGTCACTTCAAAGAGAATAATATTAATGTTTTGGTGACATTTTTAAACAAAACATTGAAATCTCAGCAGATTTACTGCTGTAGTTATGGATGTTTTTCCCATCTCGTTTTACAGTTATTTGCCACATTTAGAAGTTTGAAATCATTTTTTATCATAATTTTATCCATTGAATTTTCAAAACATGCTCTAAAGACTTTTTTTTTGCTGCAGTGAGACTACAGTTACCGTGGTGATAGATGATGTCAATGATAATCAACCAATATTCAACCAAACATCTTATGAAGCCGATATTGCAGAAGATGCAAAGCAAGAATCTGTTTTAACGGTATGCCAGAAATGTGGTTCATATTAATTCATCATATTCTTTGTTATTGCTTTTATGTATGAATGTTCCATTCTTTTGTGATATTTTATTAAATCTTTGTCACGAATATTTAATTCAGACCCCACCGAAGAAATTTTTTCTTTTTATGCAATTTTCTTTTATATTTCTGACAGTAATGAAACCTGCGACCTGACAGTAAGTGAAATTCTATCAGAATTCTCCCTCCATTTTGTCTGAGAATAATAAAATTGTGTTTTAAGCTGTGTCATTATCCGTGAAGCTCAATGAATCAGTGATGCCCATCCATGTAATTTGATGGTTGTTAGTCTGAAGGTCTGATCAGAAGAGAACTTTCTTATTTTTGTGAAATTGTTTCAATAACCTTTCATCAAAATAATAATATCTCTTTAATAAAGGGAAGGGAAGACATAGAAAACAAGTTCCAGATTCTGGAATTCAAATAATAAACTCTTTCTTTGTATTTTAGATATTTGCAATGGATCCAGACAGTTCATCCAATTTAATGTTTAAAATAACAGCTGGAAATGATGATTCTGCTTTTGCAATTGATGAATGCATTCCTTCTTATAACGGTTGTGCTAATATTACAGCAAATGTAAGAGCAATTATACCTTTTTTTTTGGACAAAATTTGATCAAAGGACATAGCATTTTTCCATGATTTCTTCACCATTATGAATCTTTTTGTATTCAAGTTAAAAGTTGACTTGAATATTATGTATATCTTTTTATAAACAAGCACAATGTTTAACATGTTCTCATATTTTTTTCATGCTGTCTGCGGTAACGAAAGTCCAAACTCAACTAGTTTGTAAATTATATTTTGCTTGTTTTCCAGGGACTTGATTATGAACAACGGACATCTTATAATTTGACTGTCCAAGTATGGGATGGAAGAGATGTTTCTATATCAAGATCATCCATTGTAACAGTCAAAATCAATATATTAGATGTCAATGAACATCCACCTTTCTTTGTTGGGATTTTTAGATACTTAGTAAGTCTTTTTTTTTAAATAGTAGGATTACATAGAATTTTCATTTTCATCCTGAGAGGAAAATAGCCATGGCCAAATTTATAATTTTCGTCTGGTACAAAATAGCATACACAATTAAGGGAAGACACAGGAACCAAAAATGGTTTTCGATCATTTAAACCCAAAGTTCGACAATTTAAGTTTCAGAGCAATGTCACAACCCCTTGTGTTTTAGCAATTCTTACACTATTGTTAATTCGATAAATTGATTTTGTTTTCCAATCTCAGAAAGAGATTCCGGAATCAGTGAGACCAAACCAGACTTTATTTTGGCTTCCTGCTACTGACTATGATGAAGGAATATATGGAGACTTGTATTTCACTATCATCAACAACAAAAACTCTTCAAATGGCTGCCGACCTGCCAATCAAATGTTTGAAATTATTCAAAAAACTGGAGAAGTTCGATCGCGACACGAGTAAGTTTATCCCTCGTACATGGGTTAACTTGCATGTGATTTTGAAAAAATGTCAAATAAATTTCTGCTTGACGATATGAATTTATTGTACATGATGCTATCAAACTCGCATATTCTTGCTTTTATGTGACAAAAATCTAAAATTGAAAATTGTTTTATACTTTTGTAAATGTGAATTACCATTTGAAATATTTAATATCACGTTTCCTGAATTCCTGTGACTTTACAATTACTAATGATATTTTCCAGATTGTTGTGTAGTGTGTAGTATACATGTTACTCAGAAAACAGCCTAGCCCTAAAACTATGTTAATATATGCGAGGAAATAAAATTAACTAAACTTGCTGCCATATGTTGCTTAGTATGCATTCTTTTTGCGGTTTCCAGGTTTGACTATGAAACTTGTCAGCAGTATTTATTTCAAGTCAGAGTTGAAAACTTTGGTGAGGGAAATCCTAGGCTTGCGAAATCACAACCTTCATCTACTCTTCCAATTGAAATCAATGTTGAACCAGTTGATGAATTCCCTCCTTTATTTTCTTCATTGGGAGATGAAGTTTTGTATAAATTCAAGGTTCCATATTCTGCAACGGCTGGATATGTTATTGGTGTGGTAAGTTATATGGATGATTTATAGAATTAGGCTTCTTTCCTGTATTTTGCGTTCACGATTTAAAAAAGAACAGAGACCTGTATGTAACACTTGTTTTACATTGTACAATTAAACCAAAAAATGTAGGTACTCCCGTAGTACGTGTACTAGCCACTAGGTTAGGGTTAGGTCATAATTTTATTCTGAATTTCCCTATTTTAGTTCTCCTACGAGTCCGGGGACTGTTTGTGTTAGCCAAAGAGAAGTGATTTGTCATCTTTTAACAAAAGTCTTCTTATCCAGGTCAATGCTACAGACAAAGATGCAGGAGTAGATGGAAAAATTTCTTATGAGATTGATCAAGAGGATCAAGATCAGGAATTTGTTATCAATTCAACTTCTGGTGTCATCTCTTTATCTAGAAGACTTGACAACACTAACAACAGAGTTCTCACTGTTTCAGCAATATCTAGAGAACAAAAAGCAAGAACGCTGGTTACTATTGAAGTTGAAGGTAGGAGTTTTAAGCAATTATTTTTGTATCAGTTTTGTTGCATCAGCTCAGAAACTATTTTGAAGCTTAGTTTCATAGGTGTCATATAAAAAATACATTAGTTGTTATATTTTTGTTTCAGGTGCTCCAGCGATTGCATTTGAAGCTCAAATTTTATCTATTGTATTCGGAGTAATAGCTGGTGTAGCTGTTGTTATTGTTTTAATATTATGTATAAAACACAGAAGAAACAAAAAAGCACAAAGGTAAGATTTTTGCTCTTTATAGATATTTCAAAAATTTGGTCATTACTAAATAAGTTTGCGTTAAATACAAGATTAGTTTTGTTCACCGAAAATGACTGCAAAATGTATTTAAATTTTCTCAAAGTTTTTAGTCAATATACTGACATAGAGATACATACTTCAATACCTTTGTTATGTAATTTGAAAATATGTTGCTATTGGCCATAATTCATACAGTGATGTTACAGTATCTCTTAATTTGTTTGTAATTGTCTATCATTTCACTTTTTGTGAAAAATCTACCCATCATTTTCACTGATTGTGCTGCTTCATATACTTTATAGTCGACCACCAAATGCAACAGCTTCACAAATTGGAAATGAAGGAGAATTTTATGATCCTGCTACAGCTCATAAAAATAAAAATGGAATTCCTATTGCTGCTCCGAGACAAATCAACAGTGCTAATAGAAATTGTAAATCTGCCTCAACAAGAAACTCGTCGGAATATCAGGTATCTTTATTCTATGATTATGACTGTCTAAACCGTTTTTAAGCGAATTTTTTTCGAATTTGAGCTTCGATTATTTGATATTTGTTTTGAATAAGCCTTGGACAGGTTAGGGTTCAAAACATCTGGTAATGACACTTTTTTCCTTATACACCAAATCTATTTGCTTTATTTTTAACCTTCAAATCTAATTTAGATTCGCCGAACTGGTAGCGCACACAGTAATACTGCTAATGGTATTTTACGTCATTCTGTGTCAACCAACGGGCATGCTCATGCTATAGAAAATGGTAATCGTTCCAAATCGAATTCTGGTGCAAAGATCAGTGGAAACTTATCAAACGGACATGTGATTAGTAGATTGTCATCTTCAAACACGAATGGACACGTCGTTCAATATAGAGGAACAAACTCAGTGTCAAGTGGTAGAGGATCAACTCAAGATGAGGTAAGTTTGTGATAGGGAATAGGAAGTTGAGCTCGAGTATTCTTTGCTTGCTTAGTATGTTTCCAACAAGATGTTGTACAGAATATACCTGAATAAAGCACAATGACACTGATCTTCTGTGGAATTTAATCTTATCCTTTTTATCTCTCTATTATATTTTGTCTTTCCAGGACGATGTTGACAAAGAAGTAGATCGAATCAATTCATCATCTGATATAACAAACAATAATAGTCCGACCGGTTCAGTTCCTAAGCCTAAGATAAGAAGAAAATTATCTGGGCAGGGAAGGCATAGAAAACAAGTTCCAGATTCTGGAATTCAAAAAGTATGCTTGTCTTTTGGATAATAAAGTTGTTTCTTTCAAGTTTCTTCATAGTCATAGTATGTCTTAAAAAAGGAAGTATCAGTGTTTTAGTTAATAATAAGACGGCCAAATCAAACCTATTTAGTTACTTTTCAGAAATAATTCGGGAGGACAACCATATCTTTACTTGGATTTTGCATATTTCAAACTTCACATTGTGTGGATTATTTCATCGAAATTCTATTCTTTGCAGGATATTGATGTTGAAAGTGAAATAAGTGATGGTCCAATTAATATCAGATCTCCGCCTAGTGTTGAAAGCATTCATGTTTTTGGAGATGAAGGTGCTGGGGAAGAACCATTAAATATCAAAGATATCGAAGAAGATTTGGAAACTGAATTTGAAAACGGGGCAAAAAAATCTAATGTTTTATCAGGGATGATGAAAATACCGTATTCTGAAGATCAATCTCTGACAAAAACGGAGATAGATTCACAATATAGATCACCTTTGGGTACCGACAGCAATAAAAGTAGCATTTTAAGTAAACGAGGGGGTGAAAGTATTGAATCGGGTTACAGCAGAAGAGATCATTTAACAAACTGGGCTCCTGAATTCCAACCCCTTGCAAATGTATTTTCAGAAATTGCAAAATTGAAAGATCGTGAAGCAGCGGCAAGAACTGCAAACCAAAGTACTTTTATTATGAAAGATCTTTCTGTGCCCCGAACTATTTCTCAAGTTCAAGATCCTCCACCTTTGATAACTTCAGTAGCAGAGCAAAGAAATAATTTAGTTGCACCTGTTCCTCTTGGCTACACTTCCAATCGATTGCCTGCTGGTCGCAGAACAGTGGGTGGTAATTTGATGGGTTTATACCCTCATTCTCAGCCACAATATATTCGTACCGGTAATAATCTTCCACCAAATTCATATCTTTCTTCCCTATACACTAGTGCTCTTATAAGGCCTGTTAACACCTCATCTAATAATGCCAACATCACCCGACCCCAAGTGGGATTTAATTTACCCCAGGGTAACATTGGGGGTCTCGGGGCTTCATCTATAAACTCAAGTCAACAGGGGTTATCTGTGTCTTCCTTACCTCGTACCCCAATCAGTCATGAATCAAGCTTTACCTCTCCCGCGATGTCTCCCAATTTGACTCCATCCTTGAGCCCTTTAGCGACAAGATCGCCCTCTGTTTCCACTGTAGGTGAGGGTGGGGTTGGCATGGGTTATGACACAGAAGATGGTTGTGGTTCTGGACTACCGTTATCAAGAAGTGACCCCAATTTAGCTGCCTATGCTCCAGATGACATGAGAGGCAGAGAAGAAAGAATGGTGCATGTTTAACTTATAATTTGATACAAAAGAGAAGGATATAATAGGATTTCATGTTTATATTTGGTGAAGGATTGGTTCAGGTCAAAATAGCTTTTTCTTATCGATTTTAGATATTGAAATAGCTAACCGTTTCTATACATGAATGGGTGTGGATCTACACTCGTTATGCATGAGGTTCAAAACGCTCTGCATAAGTAGTCATATGTGATATATCGGAATTAAATTCAGTAGTAGAATTTGTTAAATTGATGTTTTGGTAATATTCGAATGATATTTTTAGTTAAGATAAATTCAGATTTCAGTCACACATATTTTCATGACATATAATATATTTATCTCTGTTTTTGTTGGCAACTAAAGCGGTACAATTTTCTTTCTTAATTTGTTATTATTGTAATATTATTTCAAATTGTTTTTTCTCGCTTTTTTGGACGCGATGTTCCATCCTGTTGTATAATAATAGTTCATTCGGAAAATTCAATTTTGAGATTGATTATCTGGCTCTAGACAGAATGTATCCGCTAAACAACTGTTTTTCTATTGTTCCACGTTTATTTATTTTATCTCCTGGAGGACGTATATCATTTGCATCTTTAATGGAAAATTACTAATGGCTTATGGTCTTTCTCTGTCGCCTGAGATGTCCTTATTATCTTTCTGTGCGTATTTTCGTTTTCTTCTTTGTGCCTTAAATGCAGTCCATTTGTTCATGTTGATGTTTTTTTGTTGTCATTTACGTCCCAGAGATATCATGTTGTGCACGTTACTTCCACATTTCCTATAGAATCTTTTTCAAATTTATGGTTTGTATGAGAGAAACTCTATTAACTATTATCATCTTTGTGGTTACTGTGCCCATTTCTGAATAGCCTGAGTGGAATGTTACCTGTTGCTAGATTTTTATAGGTAATATTTTGAAGCATTTTTGTCACCTGATTTTTATTTTATGAAAGCGATGTTTTTTGATTCTGCCAATAAATGAATACCTTTGTTTTTACCTATACTCTGTATATGCAGATTAGATTAGTTTTAGTTGAGATTAAAATATGCAGAAGATTAATACCAAGGAGGGCCAATAATTTTTCAAAAACTCAGGCTATTTGGAAGTGACCAGATGACCAATCTATAATCCGGACCAAAAAGTTATATTGAGCAGTGGGATTCAGTCGTCCGAGCAACCAAATTCCCGTGGCAGGCAATAGATATTAAATCTGAAAATGTTTAAGTATTTTTTTAAAAGTAACCTGAATATGCGTTCTGATAAAATTTGGTAGCCACTTAAATTGTAATAGCAAATGCCGAATATAGTTGTCCATAGCTTGATGTAATAGCGGTTACTATCTAGTAGCATTTAGGAGGAAAATTTAGACATTGGTTTTTATTTTTCAAAATAAATTATCTGTCTACTGACGACATGGACCTTGGATTGGCTTGAAAGTGTTACAACTAAGTTACTACGCTTACCCGGTCATTCTTTGTATTTTACACAATATCAGGAGACAGTTTGAAAGATGCGTAGATTTGAATGTTCCATCCTGCTTCATGGATTAATCTGCTGTAATTGCCGTCAGCAAAGGAATTAATCATATTTACAGTGGCAAGCGGTGATCGCACGTGAGAGACTAATTAAGGATAGTCACGCTATTTAAAAGTAATACAGTTTATCATCCATATATATTGGACAGGGTGTTGGGGAAACGAAAACATGTTCGAAATTAGGCTGTTATTGATTTGCGGTCTCAGTAGTCTTGAACGTGATGAACGGAGAGTTTTCACTGAAAATAAAAACGGTACTCATACATAGATATATATATGAATAAGTGTATTATTTTTCCAAATATTATTCGTCGCCAAAGGAATCATTTCTATTGATTTTTTCAAATTATCGAGTAAAATGTTTGTTGATAAAAAATTTTGAAAAAGATTTTCTTACGGGATTATTGTATACAGACATGTATACTTTATAAGTAGAACAGAATTCATTTTCCTTTTGTTAGTATGACATATTTTGTCACATTCTATTCTGCCACGGGAGGTAATACTAGATCTAGAAAGGGAAATTACCGAAATGCGTGTCATAGTTATAGCTCACAGTATTGCGCAACCACACGTCCACACTTATCAACAGGGAGCTTTATCCGTTGTTCGCATTGTCAGTTATATATATATATATATATATTCGCATAGTAACTGGTAAATAAAACGCGTTTACAGAACTTCTCATTCGTGAAAACCTTTCATTTAGTAATGCGTTCGTCTGTTATTTGGGAATGAGAATACATACAAGAATCTGAAGCATGTTCACCGAAATGTAGAAATGGCAGCTCACGCATTGTTATACAAATGTATACAGTTACTATTACAGCATGTATAATGCGTTTTGAACTTGTGAATTTAATGATAAATACTCGTTGTACAGTTCTCATTATTCCTAAAACTCCATAGTTTGCAAAGGGTTAAATTGAATAGCTGCTGTCGGTTTGTTTTGAAACTTACCAAATCAGTCATAAGAAGCTAGAAGAGTCGGGATGGATGACGAGGATTTGGTTTTGCCAGCAGATGATAAAAGTTTTGAGGAATTCAAACGACTATGCAGAGAGGAAGATCAATGGATGGAATGTTATAATAAAAAAGGAATCAGAGTCTGCACAAAACCAGAAGGAAATTCCAATATCAAGTTAATGAGGGTAAGTCTGCAAACTTAAACACTACTGCACTAATCCAGTAGTCAGTATTTTAATCAAAATTATCTTTCTGTGCTTATTGTGGTGAACTGAAAGGCTTGTTGTAGAACCACTTCATATTGCAATAATATCACATGTCTGCATGTAAAGGTTTTAAATTAACTGCAACCAAGCTATTCTGTAAGGCTCAATGGGGTTATTGGGATATTTAGTGCACAAATGACCAACCTGGTAAAAGTTTAAAAATATTGCTATAATCCAATAATCACTAATTAAGTAATGCATCATGATATAGTACTACTGAAATATAAATATTGCATTGCTTATGTCTAGACTAGAGGTATAGCATAGCACTTTTGATCTATATATATTATTAAAAAGGTTTGCACCTGTATTAAACAAAAATGTTTTGACAATATAGCAGATGTTGCATTCCACCTTTCGTGGTATCCAAATGTAAACAAATAAAATATTATAATAACCAAACAGTGTTGCAAATTATTCTCTAAGAAATTATTGTATCTTTGCTGGCATTACTCACACTAAACACATTGTTGATGTTGGTATAAACCCAGAGATGACCAAAACTAAATAATTTACCAAATGTGTTATGAAAACATTATTGATTATTTCATCAAAATATCATAAAATGGTCATGTTTGATGGGGAAATGCACAAATGCCCAATATTTGAATTTCGAGTCTGAGGGCATTAATGCTAATATGTTTTAACAAAATTTACCTTTAATCAGAAATAATGGAAAATATGTTTTGATTTTCTTGCTCTATGCCAAGACTAAATATTATAACCAAAATAAGCGATCTTCTATCTCATATTATTAGGCTTGAACATTATTTTGATAGACATTAATTTGTGCTAGACATCTTTGGGTTGAGTATGATTATAAGATGGTAAAAAGTAATCATTAATAACATATACCACCATTATATAGCCTACATTAATATTCTTTATATTACATAATGATATATATTTCACCGCTCATGTAATTGAGCATTTGAATTGATATCTCTTAAAGACAGAGTATGTTCATTAAAGTATTCAGTGCAAATACACCCAAAATTTCATTTATTATTGAACTCCAGGACCTATTAGTCATTTCCTTTGACTTGATTTTCCTGGAATATAATTGCCAGACAAGTTTATTCTCGATAGTTCATTCATTTCAGCTTCTTGCATTATTTATTGAGTTGCATAATTTAAAGCTATGTCTATAGAGTCAGGTAAGTATAATTACTTGAAAACCATTGAAAGGTTACGAGCATACATTTACGAAATGTTGTTAATTATATAAGAATTCATTTCATCGTGAAATTGCCTGTATCACCGTGGGTTTTAAATTATCATTTCATCTATGACCTATGCCCTTGTATATAGATTACTACCGTAATCTATATACATTCATGAGTCCAGAAATAAATTTAAGGGGTTCATGATCATGACTTCTGTATGTGATGTGAATTCAGAAAGCTGAATGCTAACAACCTACCATGCTGGTATTGTTTTCAATTCATTACAAGAAGCAAAATTTTTACACATTTTTCTGGTGAATATAAGTCAATACAGCCAGCCATTCATCTCCATCATGATATGGTGTAAGAGGTTCATTTTTTTTAAATTGACGAAATAGTCCTACCACAGTGCGAAACAGGTATTAAAACTCTGTTCGGACCTCCTGAAGTATGTGCACCAAGATGGCGCACAACCTGAACTCAGGTTGTGTACCAGGTTAGGGTTCAGGACAGGTTATGCAACATCTTGGTGCGCATACTTCAGGAGCACCCTCCGTTCACTCTAATCCAGGGGTTCGCAATCCTTTTCAGCTTGCGGCACACTAACAAGAAGATTATAAAGTCGCGGGACATTTATTACAAATCAATTTTAATAAATCCCTTATCTGTAAATATTATGCGTTTCGGCATTAAATGAGATTAAAACAAGATTCTGCAGGCCAATTGTAACAAGTCTATATCGTTTTTAGGTTTTAATTTCTCTCAGCGCAGAAAATTAATATATGCAGAATCATGAAAATGTAAATGGAAAATTTTTTTTTTTTGTACTTGATATATTGTATTGCATATGTTGTACTGATGTAATATACCGACAGAAAATTCGCATGCCGAAATGGTGTGGCATATTACATCACCTAGCGGTGGATATAAAATAAAAAATCTTTATACAGAGTGACCCCAAAAAACGAAACCTATTATGTTCCAAATGGACTTATATGTGTGGTACACCCATTACTGATTGCAAAATAATAAAGTTCATGTTGTTAATTATTGTGATAAAATCTCAGGAATTTTGTGAAAATTCGCGGCACACTTACAAGACCTCGGAACACAGTTTGGGAAACCCTGCTCTGATTGAGCTAAAGTCTAAATTGGTACTCTTTATATTCATGTTTTTGTTTTCAGGCAAAGACAATATTCACTGACGTTCGAGCGAGTACAGTTTTTGATGTTGTTCATGACACCGACTATCGAAGAGAATGGGATAAAGATATGATTGATATTTATGATATATGCAAGTTATGTGTTAATAACACTGTTGGATACTATGCAGGTTATATGATATGCTTGTTTCGGAAATTTTTTCTTTCCAAGAGCTCAATTTCAGTTTATCTATTTTCCCCCCCAGCGACAGATCTTGCTACACATTTCAGGTATCCAAGACTTTGGTCGCTTGTTTCCTTTTTTTCGATTGATTTTTTTGAGGTATAGGACATAGGTAATGAAATGCTGATGTGTATTAATCATATGGTAATTGCTTAGCCAGCTGCATCCGTTGTCCTTTCCCATAAAATAACAGGAAAGTATTGATATGATACATATTTTTAGTGTAATTGAAAAATGGTAATCGATCGATTGATACCCAGGTTTTGAAATGTTCTTTGTCAAAGAGATCGGATTGATCAATTTTGTCTGAAGTCGCGAGCCACAATGTTATTTATATATCCTTCGCATCTTATTTGCCCAGTTCACATTCACTCTTAACACTAATTTGCTTCAGGAAATGCGGCATGAGCCCAACTGTAATTAGGTCAGCAGTTTATTATTATTACCTTACCTGCTGCTAGGCATTCTTATTAAAAAAAGGGAAAAACATTAGTTGAATTAATTGCAAATTATGAATGGAAAGTCTGCACCAAAAGTGTGTATGCTGTTACATAAAATTTTGTATCATTGGGTTCAATTATGTGTCTCATGATTTTCTTGTACAAATACACTTACCGGTATACACTTGTAGAACTATTGTAAAAACTTCTCAATAAAATACAATTTCATTATTTGAAATATGGAGCGCGGGGAATTCTGTGACTAATTAATGTGACCAGTGTCAAAGTTATGTCACAAATTCGGAATCATGACAATGAATACATCAATAAATATGTTTGTTTCAGTTTCCCATTTGACCTCTTCACCATTAATTAAGTCACTGTAGTCACGTACTGACTAAAATATCATCAAGAGCTTTATTATTGTATTTGTGTCATAATGATTTGTATGGGCCCACAGTAGCCATAAAATACAACGAAATATGTCATTTATAATTAAAAATATGATATATTATAATGAATATACATATTTGAGTACTTCTATAAGGTCCTTGAAAATCGTAACTTCATGTTACCTAACTCTTATGTTTTACAATTCATATTGCATACTGCACTCTGTTTGCCACTCTTGCTGGATAGTAAGCAATCTTGTTACCTACAGTCAAACATTTTATTTGTCACATAGATTTTGTCATTATTGTGGTTATTCTAAGTGAAACAGCTTCTCTGCAACACACCAGGAAATAGCAAAAATATGTTTTATTATTATCTATATCATACATCTCATAACATATTTCAAATATTCAATAAAGCCTTGTAATGTTTCAGTGAAATGTCCAACACCGATAAAGAATCGTGATTGTGTTTTCCTATGCTCATGGATTGCGTATCCTAATATAAGGGATCCAAAAGAATATATCATGATCAACAAATCAGTCACACACAAGGTGAGGAAAGATCGATAAATATTAATAATCACTTTTCAATCATTTTCAAAACTCATACAAAATCTTTTTGACAATATTCAATAAAATAAAAAGATTATTTGATGAGTGATGAAACAAAAAATCCATTTATATATGATGAAAAAAAATTAGACAGTAACCAAGGTTTTAACACTTGTGTGTATCTATAGCATATGAGCAATGAGATTATAAAGTTCAAAAATAAATCCATTTATTTAAATCCTCATTTAAATAAACTATGGCGAAGTTGGATTTTAGTTCTAGTCTTTTTTAACCTAAATATTTTATATGATAGTACTGTATAAATCAATTTAAGATGAAATGACAAAATTATGATGATAGGGAACAATACACAAAATACAAGTCGGTTTTGGAAATTTTGTATAAAACCGAGTAAATTGATGACTAGCCTAAAATATAGGCTACATCATATTAAATTATTGATAGAAGATAATTGAAGTTCTATTTATCTCACTTGCTCAGTTCTACCTGTTTGTATGTATAAATAAATACAATAATATGTGATAATATCACTCATATATTACAGGATCATCCACCAAAGAGTAACATAGTTCGTGCGATTTCAATAGTTACGGGCTACCTCATTCGACCATTGGGTGAATTTAAGACTGAATTTACATATCTTACACAGTTTGATCCAAGAGGTAAATTTAATTGTATTATTTTTTAAGTTATCAAACTCCTTTCTAGTTAACTAGGTTCATAGATGTTTCAGCTAACGCGTAAGTTTTCCCTTTAATTAGTTGAGCGAACATTAACTGTCCGAAAATATATATATAATTAAGTAGAGCTAAATTTATTATGTTTCATGAAAATTTTAATTAGTTAATGTTCTAAGGCAGTGGTTTCTAATCTTACATATCTTGTGGTCCCCTTCCGGAGGCTTGTAACACTCCTGGCCTTCTGTTTATCATTCCAGTAATATTTATAGTCTTACCATGATTGGTAGTTTTCAAATCCCATTATGTTCAAACAATTCATGCTCAGTGAAGGGAAAACACACTGTGAAATAACCTTATCAAACAATGAAACTAGGAAGAACGGGGAGTTTTCTAACAATAGGAAAAGTAAAATCCGTTTTGCGCCTTGCCCTCTTCAACTGCTGTGTGGCCTCCTTAGTGGGCCACAAACCCCCACGGTTTGAAACCACTTGTTCTAAGGTTTCATATATTTCCAGGTTCATTACCGAAATGGGTTGTAAATACAATTACTCAACTCTTTACTCCTAAGGTGAGAAAATTATTTTCATTTTTTAAATAACATGTAATTTAGAAGTTTTATAATTTTGATACATTTCAGTATTCTTTATTCATTATTGGAAAATTTTGATAATTTTGTTATTTTGATCAGCAATCACAATGTACGGTAAGTCTTTATTGGCTAAAGATATACAAAATAAATCAAATTCGAATTCGGGGTTTTATTATTAGCTCCATAAAGTCAATTTTTATTGAATTAGAACATTCATTCAACTAAGATCATCACTATATCGTTTGTGAAAAATGGATTTATTTACAGAACATATTGTATTTTACAACCATGTCTCTGTAAGCATATGCATACAAAGCATGAATAATTGTATTTTTTTTTTACTTTTATGCAGAATATTGTTTTGTTCAATATTTTTGACACAGTGGGATCTCATATATTTTCTAGGCTTCATGTTAAATGGTTTCCACCTGCTATGATATACCAGAACATAAGTGTCAATTCCTTGCCTAGTTTATTTTCCTGTGAAGTGCATGAAAATTGTATTATCTTTTTTATTGATAATGACAGATGTTGTAGGAGAATGATAAGTGTTTAATCAAGATAATGTAAATCAATTATTCATTTTACTTTTTTCACATTTTACATGTTGAAATCATTCATTACACGATTTACATGCTAAATTAATATTTTGGGTCAGTTAAGTGGAAAACCCACTAAACATGGCATCATTCTACTTTGATTCCAAATTTTTGATACCAGAGTGAGTCAATGCATTAGTGAAAAGCCTCATATAAGATATTAAATAATTGTTTATGCTATGCTGTCGTTTACAATGTACTTTATTGCGAAATCATAATTAAATTTACTAAAACCTCGCTATTTTAAGGCAGCAGTATTCATGTATGTAATTCATTCTTTCGGTAGGATTTAACCAGAACATTATTAACCAAAAAAAATGTAATAACATCAAATTTATTAGACAAAAACTTCATCACTGGATAGTGAATATATAACTTTGTTTTGATAAATTCATGATATATCATGCATTAACTTAAATTAAATTATACTCAAATTATGACACATTCCTTCGATTTTGAACTATTTCCAAACAGAATTTCCTAACAAAGCCAAGGCACGTTTATGTCAAATCTTTGTTGGGATTACTTGCAGTTGCAATTAATAATGTGTCTAGTTTAATATCAATCATTTTTCGGATGTATGCCAGCATTGCGCAGACATTTAATTACAAGTAGAAACCAGACTTCTTTTCTATCCTTATATTACCAGTAAGTCTAGGATTTTTTTAAATATGCCGATAACAAATTATTTGCCTTTTTAGAAATTTTGGTATACCCAGTCCTCACTGATTCAATTTGTTTTTAATATTTGTATTGAACAATTCCACTAGAAACGTTTACTTTGAGCTAATATCAAAAACCGTGGGCTGAATTTATATCACAGAACCCTACAAATACATTTGTAATATTCAAAGTTCTAAATATAGACGTGAAAAGAAAAATGACCAGAAATTTGGGACGGATGACCTTTTAAATTTATACTGTCAAGTATGAAACCTATATACATTAGCGTATCTGGAATACTGGCAGTTTGTGACATATGAAATTTACAATGGAAGTGTTCCCTCGTGGCACTCTGTATAAGTGTGCTCCGTGGAATCCGTATCACACTTCTTGTGGTAGTTCCCTTTAAATTATTAATGCGTTCAGGGGATTGATGATTCGTTGAACTGAGTACATTATCACTTTTGTATCTGCCAATTAGGGTGTCTATTGTCTGTTCGTTTATAATGCTTCTCAAAGTCATTCATTTTAAAGACGCATCCACAGATGGTATATAGAATTTACGTGAATTTATAATGTAGATCTTTTGGAATTAAAAATTGAACATATTCCCAAATCCTGAACGTTTTGACCCTTTCAAGGTAAAAATAATTATAATATAACAGTGGTACCTTTTTATATTGTTAAAAAAAATTGGTATAAATTTGCCACAAAAGCACATCTACGTTCGTATAAGTTGTATATTGTCTTATATTGGATAAAAACAAGATCTTTCCGTCAGCAATAATAGCAGACTCATATCATTCAATATTTTACCTATAGCTTCTAACATGGTATTGATACCTCTTTTTCAAAAATGATACAGTTCCAATGAAAACCGGGAGGTTTTGTGGCAACGAAATTTGTCTGGTTTTATATTTCCAAGAATTCCTAAGGTTTTGCTGTCTCTGGTTGCCCAAATTGTTGCCGATTGAAAATGTAAGAATATTATATATGATTTGGAATCATTTACCCCTTCAAATATCATTAAAATTTGAATGAGTTGTCAACATTTGGGTCATTTGTCTGACCCCCGAGATAATAATATGTAAACATTAAAGATTTTGTTACTTTCTGGTTCAATATTTAAAAGGAAGAAAAATCTTGAACCATTGGATAGTTCCCAGTTAATTACTCTGAAAATTAGAATTAATTTTATCCTGAATTGTTTATGAGCATGTGATTTAAGTTTTTGTTGGAAGGCAATTCTGTTATTATCCATCTTTACGTTATCGACTTGCCAAGTTAAACATTTGTCGCTCTAATCGTCACGCCTTAGTTACATTTAATACATTGAACTCGCACAATTCCTTTCTACGTCGTTCCACATTAATGGCTTTTACATACACTGCTAGTAAAGCCGGTTATATTTACTTTCATTTCAATATAGATGTAACATTAGCGACCTTTTAGAGGATGTTTATGTGGCCAAACAGAGATCTTATAATTAGTGTCTGCCTTCTACGCTCAATCTATCTATATGGCACAAGTTTGGTACAGAATTTAAATCCGTAACTCCCGAAGAATCTTGAATTGCATTTATATTTGACTTGTTCTATTTTAACGTAGAGTGTTGTTAGACTTGGGTTGTTTTATATTGTTCGGACTTCTGACCCTGCTAAGAGATAGAGATGGGTTTCGAACTTTGAATTATATTACTTTCTTATAAATCATCCTGATTGTTAGTACTGCAAATCAAACCGACAATTGTCAAAAGAAATTGTTTTGAAAGCGTATTCGAAGCAAGGCTTTTCCGGACACTTTCGTATATTCAAAACAGTTCGTCATCGGAAACAAAAATGGGGCCATGAAATCAACTGACCTCAAAGTTGTTAAACGAAAACTACCGTTTTATATACTCGAAACAAAGAGATTGATTTCAAATGATGTAATACACAGTTTTATTCACTGGGCGCAGGTCATAGGTGCGAATTATGCATCATTGACAATTCGTTATACTGTTCATTATCTTCAAATTTAAGTAGAAGCATCGAGCGTATTGTATGTTAACTTCAATCGCAGTCTCACATATGTGAGATTACTTGGTATAATTGGGTATTATTGAGGTCATCGATAGGTGAGTGTTAACAGCCAATCCCATTAGTTTTGGTTGATGTACTAACCATTCAACAATAGTTTCTTTCCATACCTCACCATATATCCGCTTCTTAGTAACTGTTATGTAAATATTGGTATACGGCGGAGACAATTTCAAAATATTTTATGAGACCACACCCTGTTACCTTGCTCGTAACATAATCCGTCTATGCGTGGTTCATGCATTGCCAGGACGCTAAAAACGTAGTGTATTTTCTATAGTTTCCAAAGCTCTAATTCCTGTTTAAGCACGTTAATTCTTGCTTAGCATGAAATTGTTCTTCGCCTCAACGGATTATCCGCTTTAACTGATGACCTGATAAATTTTCATGTGTGTCATTTGAGACAAGAACCCCGATGAAATAAATGATTTTAATTGAAAACTTGGCTTAATGTAACGACAGTGTAATCTCAGAGAAATTTTCTTTATGCCATAATTAGAATTGATCTGGTGACCTGGTTTCAAATGTCGATTCCGGAGGAACAGGACGTCAGTATGTGAAAAACGTTATTTTCTCTTTTCTCTGTGCCCTTTTGGGAGTCTTGTTTTTCGTTAACTATATATAAATTGACGAATGTCTACGTCAATGATCGGCAATTACTTACTGTTAGATTATATCAAATGTGGGACCAAAATTGCAACATACATTCAATTATAAGAACTGCACGTCTATCTGCGACGCCTAAAATCGACCACTTCGCGTCTGCCTCCCTATGTCATGAAGGTCAAATAATATGATAATATCCTAATAATGACTCAATATCGACGTTTTTGACGCAAAATTCCCCAACTATAAAGCAAGGTACGTTTTATAGTCGTCATTTACGTGTTATTTAATTGAATCCATTGCTTCTTGAACATTGGAGAATTTCCTCTTTGATTGAGTATCAATATTTTTTCATAGTTTAGACAAATATGTGATACTAAGGACTTTACTGAAAAAACATTGTGAAATAAACTCGCCATTCCATTTCATTGTTGAATATGAAATCTGAAATGCACAGGTAGACCAACTTAGTTGAAATAGGATATTTCGTATATATCATAGTATGGTCAATTGTCCATGAACCATAGGTTAATGTATTTTTCAAGTGTTTCTAGTCATTTTATTTGAACGCATTTTGACACGAACATATGAGGGACAATAATTTGTTGTCTGTTGGATGACCCCCGTATAGCAAGTATCGAATCATCGTAGTTTCCGGATTTTGAGTCACTATCTTAATAGTTCACACAACGTGTTATTTCATTTTGTTTATTACTGCTATAAAGGGACAGTAAATCAATAGTATAAACAGAGCTGCCATCGATATGAACCCAAAAATAAGGACATCGGGAAACATAATAATAAGATACCAAAGAACGAAATGTAACAGACCAAATGCGGCCCGTGTCTAATCATACTTTGCACTAGGAAGAATTTGCACCAGCAGTTCTTTATTCTTAGAAACTATCTGTTACATCTCACTTCTAAGTTCACTTTCACTTACGTCATGAATGCGCGTAGCAATAAATGAGGTTTTATTATCATTTCTAGCAAATCAGTTATTCGAATTGACCAGTCTAGGGGCCTGGTATTAGAACCTTTACCTCTAAAATGAAACAAAAATAGGGACACATGTCAAAATAAGGACAAATCTTAGAAATAAGGACGTTATGGTACCCCTGACTCCTGAGTATAAACAAACACGAAATATATCTCAATTTCAATGCTGTATGGACTGATCTGAAAAGTAGAATCGCTTTCACATGGTTAACTGGAGCAGAATTCAAACAACATAGGCCTTAACTTTAGGTTCGGTTTTAAATCAAATACCCAGGAGTATGTGGATAAAAATTTGAGTTCTAGTTGTATTATAAGTTAATTTGCTGTATACATAGACTGCCTAATTTCGCGTGTTTTTTATCAGTATCTCACGTCTTTGTCATTCAGTGATTCTTTATTTCATGAAACCAAACAGGAAATGTTCAATGAATCATATTGAATAAAGATTAACCATGTCAAGACTTAAATGCGTCTTTTCGATGAAATATATTTTCAAATATTCTAAAAATAGGAAATGAAATCATATGGCGGGTTTTAATTTCACTCGACAGCCGATTCCTCATCGTTTGATATTTATAAGAAAATAACAAATTGAAGTCTATTCATTTCTATGCCTGTAGTTTTCCTATGTTCCTTGTTCACACGGCACTGAATACTAATTACCAGGTCCGTCGTTAACTGAAAGTGAATTTTTGGTGTTTCAATCTCAGATGTTCTTCAAATATGTTCACTACAAATTATGTATCCCTTGCCTTGTTTCAGGTCATTCATCGCATTCATAAGGCGTCAAAAAGGTACCCAGCATGGAAATCGAAGCACAATGAAAATTTGAAACCGTGGTTGTGGCCTGAGCAGAACAGACTCCCACAAGCTGACTTGTCCAAATTATCTGCCAAGTAAGTTTGAATTTATACATCGCGTTTTGGTATTATTTAGGAAAGATTGCTATTAGTTATGTTTTATTTAAACATGTATCCAATGCGGTGTCTCGAAAATGTCGTGTCACACGTGCTCCACGTGTCCCAATGGGATAAAGGGACAAGTGTCACACGACATTTTTGAGAAAGATTCTGTAGTGATTCATTACGCACATAATCGAAGAAATTTTAAAATGAATTCACTTATGAACATTGTAATTATTTTGAGCAGTTTTCGGGTCTACTGCAAGACCCGAAAGTTTTACAGCCACACAGACGCCTGATTAATACCTAATAAGGATATTCCAAATAGAAAGAATGTGGAATATAAATCTGCAGTTTGGAATTTTATTGTAGATGTGAGCGGTTTGAACTTTTTTTAATCGCTTTTGCGGTTAGATGAGTTAAAACATCCGATATAGAAATGTTAGAACTGCATTGACTGTCAAACTCAACTGTATAACGCAAGCGAATTCTAATTTTCGATATCTGTTGACTATTATTAAACTCATATCATTTCATCATACCGTGTTCAAATTTGAGATAAGCAAATATCATGGTCATATTGCTTCTAACGGTATGATATTTCACTGCTTTCCTGTGACTGTTAGGCCAAATCCAGAAACAAAGGTGAATGAAGCGTCCATCTAAAGTCAAAGCATGATTTTTGATAAGTTAAACGCAGACGAAAATTCCAAAATTCCCGCGGATGCAAAATTTCTCCGGATAACAATTTTTTGGCCTCGAAATGAAAGCTCTTCAATAATAACGATATATTGGGAACACGTGGGACAAGTGAGACACGACATTTTTGAAACACCCTATCCAATACGAATTTTTATTCTTGGACTATTTTATATTGATTATACTGGTTATCATTTCATTTTTATAAAAGAATTTATGCCTTATTCTAATGCGGTGTTTGTTTGCATATATATATCTTCGTTATACATATCTAATATTTTCACCATTTTTTTTCATATTACTGCTAGAGTGGAAAAGGTTGATGTCATTGATGAAACAAATATAAAATGTGCTGATAATATTCAATCTATAAACAACAACGACGATTCTACGTTAAACAGCGATTCGGAGTCTGACGACATTAACAAAAAAGAAATGTAAGTTGTTTGAGATTACCTTCTTCGATGAAGAATCATTTTATCGAGTTTTATCAAAAAAATGTGCTGTGCCAGAAATCCTTAATAACTCAATGATTTGCCGCCCGGTACATCCAATATCTGAAAGGTTTTAGATTTAACAATAGTATCAAATTTTCAAACTTTTATTGTAGGTCTCTAGCAAAAAGCAAGAAAAAATCCGCAAAGGCTAAAGGAAAAGTTCAGGCTAATGGCAACGGCGTCTGATCAACAATTTTTTACAAGATGGTGCTTAAGCATACCACATTACAATTTTTTTCTTCTAATTTTAACCATATGTGTCTCGTAAATCCGAGGTTAATACCAAAAAGTGATGTGACAATGCTTCCACAAATAGATGCGTTGTGTAGATTAGAACCGTCTCAAATGTACACCTAGTCCCAAATTAGGCGATATGACATGCGCATACACACCCATTGGTATAATAAACAGCCAGTTGTGAGTTGACTTTGCCAACGTGCCATATTGCGTTGTTTTCGTTCGCTTTGTTATCTAAAATCACAATATTTTGATGCATAATCAAATCATCGAAATTATAATTGAGTCAATTGAAATAGACCGATTATCGACCAGCAAATATACTGACATCTCTGAGCATTTGCAGCCGTTTCTGTGGCGACACACATAATTGACTTGACAATGCTGTATGTTTTTGCCTCGGTAGTGCGTGCTGGATTTTGTGTTGGTTCCAGAACTCTTGAAAGGCTGTTTATTTAGAACAATATTTGACATAAGAAATTAAATATTCCTCCAAATCACTTGTACATTGATGCCTATCTTAATTTCAACTTACCGACTTGTGGAAATGTGCAATAGATTGCTATTGAACCGCTATAGGTTGCAGTTAATCATGAATGTCTCATTGTATATCTGACTAAATAAAATACTGTTGAATTCTGTTTTCTGTTCGAATAAGTTTTCCACTTATTTAACTATTAAATTTAGTCATGCTTTTCAATGATATTCTTTACATTCACCATGTTCAATTTTTTGTTTCGGGTACTTTGTTTCACTTCGATAATGCATATGCATAATATTGTTGTTTTCACCACTTTTCTTCAATCACCCCTATGTCTTTAAAGCTCATGGTACAATCATGAAAGTAATATTTTGAAAAGAAAGAAACAAATATATTTTATTATTATCCACTTTTTGAGCTGTGTTATTACTTTTTAATATCAACTGAACCACCAATATTATCATTGTATCTTCACTATTACGGCTTTTCTTTTTAGCAATTCACATAATATAGATTTTTTGTTTATCTGCTCCATAGTCGATCAATGCATATTCCATTATCCTTTTTAACGTATACAATATCTATCTTACGATTTCACCAAATGTTGTGGTTCAAATCTTAATTTATTTTTGGAAGCGCTATATAGTTTCTTATGCACATATATTTTACTGTCTTATTTACGTTATTGTTGCCTATAAATTAGAATGCAACTGATATATATAAGACAAATAGTGGCTAATCTCTAAAACTGTAATGGAAGTTGCTGTATTTGTAGTCCGCCTTATTTAGCTTTAGCTCTTAATTTTAGATATTGTACAATTATATTTTGTTTGGTTTGTATACTTTCATCTTATATTTCTTATAAACCAAGTCCTTAGTCCAATAACTATCGAGAATTGTATTCATAGTGCGGTATGTTTTGCTCACAAATCACAAAAACATCAATTGAAATTCTATTATGACCTCACGTTTTAAACATAATGCATTTGCTTTTTATGTAGGTCTCCGTATTTTATTCTTAGTTTAGGTACATAGAAAATAATAATTAGGAAAACATTGTGAGTAAATACTTACTGCTTTTCATATTTCCAGTCCATCGATTACGTTTGTGGATCACCTTCATCCGGGTGGGTGCAATATTACTATGGTAGCACTGCGTCCGATCGGTTTATAGGCCATTGACATCATATGACATTGCTATTATATTTTTGTATAGTTTTGAATAAACAATGCAGTGCCTCTTGCATAAGTAGTTTTGCTTCAAAAGCCGATGGCTGCATTGAACTGATTCTCGTTGCGTTTTAATTAGAGAATGTATGTATATATTTATTTCCGGTCGTACGTACTCGCTCCTTATAATCTATCAGTGTCAACATTAGTATTTATGATTATAAGAATCATCCAGATAATTTTTCCAAATGCTGCTCATTCGTCAACCACACTCTTAAAACAAATAAAACGCCAATTGCCATAGAATATATTCTCGGGCTATTTTAACAATGATCTTTGCCAAAAACAGACCCTCACCATATTCTGGCTTCCTCTCAATCACATTTATAAAAGACTGTGCAGAAAGCGTTCAAAATTCACCTACAAGCCAGCGGTTCCCAAACTTTTTGTCCGTGCAGCGCCAAGTTATCACGGAAAACTCGCATTTGTACGAAGAAAATGGGGGCAGACACTACGTAACAGAAAGTGAACGATGTAGAAAGGTAATATGAATTTATTGATCATATACATCTCATTTATTTATTAAACAAAACGTTTATATTAAATACAACATAAATGTTCAAGCATAAATTAGTGACGCCCCCTTTGGGAACCGCAGTGAAATTACCAATAACTAGGGTTGCCCTATTTTTTTACTTCAAAGCGGGACGCCACCCGTAACTTTACAGTTTCCGATTTTACTATGCCAATAACCAACTATTACTATGCCTATGACCAAGAAAAACACCGCAAATAAAGGTGCCGAAGACGATTAAAACTAATTCCGACTTCTGTAATTTCGAGCATCGCTCTTTGTTGAAGCAAAATTATTTTAACCCATCAAAACCTGAAGTTCCAATGAAATACGCACGAGCAGTTGGGTATGGCCCAATTTTGTTAGAAAGTATGGTATATTTATTCGCTACTGTTTCAACATGTAGGCGAGGCAATAAAGCTTTATGTGTATCAACGTTTTTGAAACCAACATCTCTGCTCCATGCACCCAGTCAAATTAATGAATTGTTTGCACTGGTATGACCACTAAAAATGAGTATGATTTGTAGGAGGGTTTCTACCTGATCCAGTTCGAATTTTCAGAAATTAAAGATTTTGAAGTATATTAGTATACAAGTTTTTGAGAAGCGGATGACGTTCAAATATAGCCACCAAACTATTAAGACACGAAAAAAGTAGCTTCACGATCAGACTGAAAGTGTATACGGATTTGTACAAACCGAATATATATATCATTGAAATTATAATCTATTCTAGACAAAAATCATGGTAAACGCTGATGACCAGAATAACTCCAAATCCAATTAATAGGCAAAACACATTGTTGGGTTGGTGTTTCATAAACAATAGCATTTGTATATACTATTCGTAGTTGGATCCATTACATTTGAACCACGTACATCTGAACCCACGTCAATTGCACCTGCATACTATTGCACGCGGATTTACACATGGGTCCAAATGTACATGGTTCAAATGTACGTGGGTTCAAATGTACGGTCACCTTCGTAGCTACATATAATGGGCGTTAATTTTTAACTGCAAAACAAACATGGGGAGATACCGAGTTACCTCACCTGCGCCTAATGATGCGAATCTATTGCAACACGGTAGTTGTTATTGCAGACACTGTATGTTATTAAACGGTGCAGTCGAATATAGCTAGAAGCGGATTAATAACGAATTAGGAAGATATGGACCAATAAAAATTAGATTTTTATGAAAGTCGTCCGATGCATACTTTACCATTGTGATGTTGCGCTTTGTTTGACGTGTTATGTCTGAACACGCGCTTTGAGTCCTGCTTGCATGTCCGTGAAAATACAATAAAATCGTGTTTTTGAGGAAGAGGGACTTTATTTGGCGCGAATGGTAATAGTTAGCTTATGAACGAAGGTAATTATCTGCAACATAATGCGCTTGTCAAACGTAGGCAATGTCCCACTTTTATTGGGAAATATGGGCATGCATGTTGGCAAGTTCGATCTGAAATAATACGTATGTACGTTCCGGTCTGCCGATTACGTTGCTTTTTACAGGTTTAATTTTAGCCATTCGATAGTCTAATTTAGCCATGACACACAATGTGGATATTGTATCAGAGTATTCGTCAGTGTTGGGAGAAGGACCGCATTGGGACGATATTAAGCAAAGGCTACTTTTTGTAGATATTACCAGGTCAGCAATACACCGATGGGACTACGCGACAGGCAAACTACAGGAAGCTATTGTTTTAGAAGGTAAACGAATATCCCATATTTAGCGAAGGCAAACAAAACCACGCGATAGTTTTCAATAACGAGAAAACTGTATTACGAAATGGTTTGTTATCAAAAATTGATGATATTGATATGGTTGCATTTAGCGGGAACACAATGGCGAATCGAACCCAATTATTTTCAACTATCTTAATTTAGTGGTAATTTTAGAGTGGGCATTTTTTGGTTAAATCAGATATGAGACAATTGTAGCTTTAAATCCTTCTTATATCTTTGTATATTTGCAAATTTAAGTTGTTTCTCAAAATATTTAATAAGGTGGCATTAAAAAGTGCAGAAAACTGGCATTCGAAATATGAGCTCTATCGTATAAGGTGTGTCGCAACTTTACGTCTTGCCGGACTCAAATGCTAGACATATTGCAGAACATAACATCAGTATGTAAGTGTTCGGGGACTTGTTCTTGCTTTATATTTGACATTGAACCCTATTCCTATCTGTTTGGGGCATTGTTTTCATACGATTTTCAACTTTTATATTACACATCAACAACATGGTTTCACAAAATTGTTTCAGAACCTACCATCGGCGCCGTTGTTCCCAGAGAAAAAGGTGGATTTATTGCTGCGGCAGCAAATAAATTTTTATTAGTTGATGAAGGCACAGGAAAGGCAGAAACAATTTGTCAACCAACCGACAATGTAAAGAGTAGATTCAACGACGGGAAATGTGATCCGAGAGGCCGGTTTTGGGCAGGTCAGCTATCATATAGCAATCCATAACTTCTGACAATCCAATTACAACAATTGTTTATTGAAATATTAATTTCGTCGTTGTTTATTTAATAACAAAAATACATAGTCCATATCTTCATAAAATCAAGAAATATTCTGCACTACGACGTGATCAAAGATATATTTTTAAATAAAGTTTGTACATTTCTTTTTTTGCATACTACCATCCAAAATCGTCGTCGTTATTTATTAGGTGTTTGCCGGGGAAATGCGCTCGATTTAAACGATTCTGTCATACACGGCAATATAATTCTAACTAGACTATCTCTCCCAACAAAGTTATGGAATCTAATTCTGTTTTAACATATCACTTATCAAGGAACAATGGGTCTTGAAGACATTCCAGCTCATCCTATACCAAAACAAGGAGAAATGTATGTTCTGGATACGGATCTCAGTGTGTCAACAAAAATGACAAACCTTGATATATCAAACGGATTAGCTTGGACAAAAGACGCTACCAAAATGTTCTACATAGATTCTTTAACGGTATGTGACTATTAGATAGAACCAATTTGATAATGCCAGTGAACAACATCAGTATTATTTCAAATGAGCGTATGAAAGCATTGCTGTTCACCGAAATAAAACACATGTAAGTAGTGGGCAGACAATTATAGCCCTAACTTATGCACTCTTTGCTATCACAGTACCAAGTTACTTCTTACAACTACGATATCTCGGATGGTTCCATCGCAAACAAACAGAAGGTGGTTGACTTCATCCTCGCAGAAGATGGTACACCCGATGGGCAATGCATCGACTGCGATGGTAACTTATGGGTTGCAATGTTTTCTACGGGAATTATCATTAAAATTGATACAACCCGAGGTTAGTTATACCTGATTATTACTGTTAGCCTTATCCAAAATACCTTTAGTAGATATCGTATTTGCCCTAATGAAGTTCTGTATGATTATTGGAAATTATAGTGCAGTTTTATAATTTTATCTCGGTACTCTAATAGGTTATGGCTTATGGGGCATAATATCATCAGAGAGGTCTTTGTTTGAGGCATAAAAGATGGATAGGCCAATAAAATGTATATACAACCCATAAATTTACTATCTCGTGAAATTGGAGACATGTAGTACGGACATTTTCTTTATGTGCGTTGCCTCAGATTTCCTAAATCACGCCAATCAAACCGATTTTATAAGCATGTCCAGTTTTTACGTTTATTAATGTCAATTTTCCTTTTGAACTAGGAGAGAAAGTTGAAAGGATTAAGATCAGTGATACTGCCTTGAAGACGACATCCTGTTGCTTCGGTGGACCGAATTTCGATGAACTATTTGTAACTTCAGCGCTAAACGGAGATTATGAATTGAATAAGGGTCAAAAAGTCGGCGATTCTGGGCGCCTTTTTCGAGTGAGATATAAGTTAATGCGTAATGCAGGTGCAATTTTCAGCATTAGCATTAGACGAAGCAATATCACATTCTGTTGCTCGTATTTAAATTTGTTTATTTGATGTAAGTGGATAGGCGTTACGAAAATGTTTGATGCATACTAGTTTTTCAATTCATTCATAGCAATATATATATATAATATCTTTCTCATTGTGTGGGCGGTGTCGAATATTTGTATTTACGATGTTCATTTACGTTTTCATCCTGTTTTGTTATAGGTGAGGGGACTTGGTGTGAATGGATCTCCTGCAGTTGCTTTCAAAGGATGATCTATCTACATCCAATGTTAAAGTTGGACAATGTGGGAAATTATATATATTTGTGTGTCTAAATAATTGAATCATGCATGTCACGGTAATTACGATGTATCTAAAAACATTGTCATTTTGATCCATAGTCGGTAAATATTACATTGCATTCAATTCAGGATTTGAAATTGAGCTTCAAAATGAATAGGTCAACGGCATTCTGTGTAGCATTTGTATATACTGCACTTTGTTTTTGAGAATTTGCAAATTCTTTATATGCTAACGTCGAGAATATGATTTCTAGAAAATGGAGCAAAATAAATAGCAGGCGGAAGAGTTTTTGTATACCGGAAGAGTTTTTTTTTATTGGTTATATAACCCGTGTATAATTATAGAAGTCAAGCAAACTCCCGTTAACAGAGTGAAGTAGATACAAGTCTTAGTGGCGCGGTGTGGAAGGGCAATCTGAGTCCGGACATCTCCATCCTATGCAACTGTGACTTGTATCACAATATTCATTCCACAATGTAGATGAAATTTTGAACGATTGGAACAACCACATCACCCGTTTAACGTCTAAAAATGACACCTCCCTCCGAAATAATAAAACAACTTTATAAAAAATTTAAATATTGTCTCCCCGCAATTGCAATGTTTTAGTAATTAAATACCGCGCGTCCCCTCACTAATTAATTGATAACTCGCTAATTATACGACAAAATTCATCCAAAATCAATAGGCTTATTCCAGCAATATACGATGAATGCACATGCAAAATTTGGAGCAGATTCAACCTCGTTTTCGTGAGATATCGCGTGTATCTAACAGACAGACAAACAAACAGACAAATACCTATCAACATACTTACCGATCAAGATTGATAAGTAACGACGTCTAGTATACATATTTTGTTATGTTTTAGCGCCGAGCATCATAAGCAGGACTGGATCATGCGTTTAAGGGGCCTAAGCCCTTGAAACTTCGGCCTTTCGGTATGAAATAGTAGGCTATTGATAAAACGGGTGTTATTTTGGGGGAAATTCTCATTCTTACAAACATTAATGGAGTGGTTTAAAATGATATGCGAGAACAAAAATTAATTTTAACCGGGCGAATATTGAGGTCTGTTTCGTCTGACCAACTCGACTTTTTTTCATTTAACACTGAGGCACCATTAGAAATTGGCTATGAAAACTTCTGTGCTGCCCCTCTCCTTTGGTGCCCTAAGCACGTGCTTATTTTGCTTAATGGTCCAACCCTGACCATAACTACCGAAGCCCATAGTACAACTTTGACAGATCAAACACTAGATTTACACTATATTTCGAAAACGTTTCAATTTTGAAACGACGTTTGAGCTCCGCATAACGTATATATCTAAAAGTTCATTATGACCTCACGCATGTGAGCTTTGTTCGAGACTATGGCCATCTATTCCCCCATTTTAGGGTTGGTTGATCGGAGCTTTGGGAGGGTATTTGTGGTTTTGTGAGAATCTCCTGAAGTATGCGCACCAAGATGGCGCACAACCTAAACATAGTATGTGTGTACCGGTTAGGATTCAGGTTTTGCGACATCTTGGTGGGCATAGTTCTGGAGCACCGACTCGGAGGTGTAATATTTAGGCTTCTAGACTTCTAAGAGAATCGAGACGTTAATTTGTTGTACTGAATAAAACGGAAAGAGCCGAGGTCTAGTCTAGAAGGTCGTGGAAATTGGTTAACGTTTTATAAAAACATAGCCTAACGTTACATAACTTGCAATATTTATTCCTATTTAGAAATCTATATGAAATCTCATGCACTGACATTCTGTAATAACTTCCTGCCTGTACATGTTCATCGAATTTTATCACAGTATTCCTGCCATATACGTGGAAGGTAATTTAATATCATTTGTGACTTGGATTGGATCATAAAATTCCCTTCAGAATGTAACGTTAGAGCAGCGTTTCCTAAACTTTTTTGGTCGCGACTAATTTCTCACCGGCGAAAATCTTTGCGGACTCAAGGTGCGTTTATTGCAACCGTACTCTGTGTGAAGAAGCAATAAAACCAAACGCAACGGAATTTGAACGAATAAAAAAATCGGAAATTCGCCGCAATTACGCGTCCGTTAAAAGAGACCACTTTTTGGGACAACGTCGAGAATTTAAAATGTCTTTCTATTTTAATTGTGTTCATGGTAACTCGCGGTTGCGTCGACTCACGACAAGATTATAGCATAGGGTGACCATATTTCCAAACCCGAAAAGGAGGACACCTCGTTTAGCAGAGCAATATTTCACATGTGTCTGAGATACACATTATAATCTACTAGATTCTTTAGGAATAAAAATAACAATAGACAAAGTGATGACAATGCAACAATCTAATGCATTCTTGTTTTGTCAACGAGCAACTGTAGCCGCAAGTAATGCATCCCGCTTCACTATCAATTAGATCAGTGATTCCCAAAGTGGGCGATATCGCCCCCCAGTGGGCGAAAACGATACAGAGGGGGGCGAAAAAGTCTTAGGGGGCGATTTCGCGAAACCTGTTTTATGTTCGGCGCACTTAATTCTGTACTCTGTGTGCATTCGCAGGCTTGAATCACGTGGGCGATTATCACACGCGAAAGGATTTCTGGTCTCGTCTCCGCAGTAAGGCAAGGTAGTTTGCGTATCTCGGTGCTCGGCAAAATACGGCCGGAATAAAATAATCTGGCCCGGGACGATTCACTGAATGGACCTTTCCCCGACCTTTGACCGCGGAAAATTCTTCCCATACTTTACCATTTTAAAATTTTCGTTGCTTATTTTAAGAGTGGTTTCGCGAGTTGTTGCCTGTGAAATAGGGTATTTGTTTCAAACTATAATTCTAATACACACCATTTAACAATCTGTTTTTTAAAAGTACCGATAAAGAATTTTAGCCTAGTCTATCACAGCTATTTCTACACTAATTTTTGATTGCTGTATTTAAACTGAAACTCATAGAAAGACAAAGTAATCATTGGCTTATTTGATTTATATTCAAATTTCCGAAAAACAACTAAAAACTAACGAATATAATTCAAAAACGCGAAAATGAGGTAATGTTCACGACCACGCCTGAAAATCTATCTGAGTGAAAGTGTCTGAGCGGATACGAAAGGGGGCATTGTTACGTTTTTTGCATCTTGCTGATTGGCCAATGTCACGAAGTAAACAAAGAAGTCTATGCCCGGGAAAATATCCAAACGGCGGTTTTGACGATGAATTTTTTTTTATTTATAATCTACGCTCGAGGAGTAAATTACATTTTTTTACGTAACAGAATTTATCGCGAGACACGTTTATACTGAATTATACTATATCCTAACAATTTAGTGAATAGCCACTCGTTTAACGGGCCTACAATTTAATTATAATTAGACAAATGGAAACACGCAGAAAAGTTGATGCTGAGTGCAGGGGTTCAATAGCGCAGTAAATATTCGAATATATTGCAAAGCAATAAGGAAATAAAATTCATATTCTATTCGAGAGATTGATCACTGCATAATTTTTGTAAGAATGTATCTTCTTAAAGAAAATATTTATCAAAATTTCACAAATCATGCGGAAATATTCACTTCAATGTTTGGAAGTACGTATTTGTGCAAACCATTATTTTCGAAAATGAACATTACAAAGAACAAGCAAAGAAGTGGGTTTGGTGATGCCCATTTAGAAAATGTTTCAATCTTGGCGTCGTAAAGCTATCCAGCGTGATGCAGCAACAAGACAGTGTCACATTAAATGTCATTGTAATATTTTTTTAATAAGACGACTGAGTTGAGTTCACGAATTGTCGCAGTTTTTGCGCGCTGTTCCGTTTTTAACTTTCGAAAAATATATGCGACCCGCAAAATACTAGCAACCCTGAATTTGTCCTGCGAGCGACATAAAATTTGCCGACCCCTGGGCCGTAGCCGATATAGTCAGTCACGTCTTCTTCCACATCCGAGTCTATGAATCCAAAAACAAATGGCTGGTTAATTATGGACTGGTGATCGGACTGGAGGCCGTGATAGGATGAGGAATCGGGGATGAATTTTTCCGAAGTTTTTTGGTGCAGGTCATCAGGCTGTACGAATGAATGAGATGTACGAAAATCATTATTATAAGTTTGGGAAAATTAACTTTGGTTTTATTATTTTAATGTGAAATGGGGTGGATTTAGGAAGTGAAATGCTATAAGGCAAGAGTACACGGCGGTTTTTGAGGAGGTAGAACCCTGGATTCTTTCATTTCCGACCTATTATATGGTAAAAAGGGGGGTTTTCAGCCGTGCTACTATTGCTATTAAAACAACGAAATCACCTTTCCATCAGTAAACGGGGTAATTTTAGATATATATAATAAAAAAACTCGCTGAAGAACACCAAGCTCATCTATCTCATTAAAAAACACTATAAACTATGATTTGTCTTCTTATTTGGTCTGTAATATATTCGTTTCTGACTTTATATTTTTTTGTAGTACAGGGGGGCGATGAAGTTGTACAAACTACTTTAGGGGGGCGATGGTCAAAAAAGTTTGGGAAGCACTGAATTAGATTATTTCTAAATCTAAAACATGGATATTTTTGCTTTAGTTTCTGAGTAAAAAAGGTTTTTCTTTCCGACATAATGTACTGGTTCTACTGACATAATTTACTGCTAAAATCGAAATTTCACCAAATTGCTAAAAACAAGATGAAATGACGTGAAGATAATCGCAGAACAACACGATTTTTACGTGATAAACAAGTAGGCTATGCATTTAACCTAGAGATGTGGTTCTAAACTTTTGCGTGTCTGCCAAACAAGCCCCAATGTGCTAGCTCCAGTTGAGCCCCATTCAACGGTTGAAATTACTGAATTAGGAGCGCAATTAGAACTTCACAATAGAGAAGATAGTCTTGTGAATGGTTATAGAAAATGATAATTGTGGTGTAACCTTAGATATCAATATGCAGCGTGGAAATAGTCATTGTTGTGACCCAATGGTGCTGGCAGCAATAATCTTTTGTTGTATAAAAATTGCACTTTTGAGATCGGCAAGATGATACGACACCTCGAAAATGTTGTTAGCTCAGTCATTTCTCAAACTTCAAACTGCATTCGAATGCGGATTAAAGCGTTTTTTCATAGACTTTTGCAGGATTTGACATAGTCTACCTTATGACTTAGCATTATTTTGAAGCTGTCCAGAACGGATGATAATTTAGCAAAGCTCTTATGGAATATTTGTTGCCACAAATGTATTACTTAGTGAAACTATAAACGTTTTGAACCTATATCGATTTATATACACTTATTTCCTACATTCAACCTGTTCGTAAAAATGAGCTACAATTTTTAGTAGATTTTTTTAGTGGGAGTTGAGCACGAAATAACTTGAAACCACTAGGTTTGTCATAACAACCTAATTATAGTATTTCCTACCTATTTTGTATTCGAGGTTTATTAATGTATTTATCGACATATCAATGGTTACATACTAAATTTTTTTAACCCATCAAAAAATGTTGAATATGTCGTGAATAAATTTTAAATATTCAATTCCTTGAAAAAGGAGGACATTTTGACCTTTTAGACTTAGAGCGTCCTCGGGGGACATAAAATTTGTAACGAAAAAGGGGGACGTATGGTCACCCTATAATAGCATTACTTCTTTAAAATGACACAGCAATCTGCTAACATATTGCCTGATTATATTTAGTTCTGATAAATATTTTTAGAGATTTTGCAAATTTGTTATTATCGTTAAAAAAATCCTACTATCTGCTATAAATTTCCATAAAGGACAACTTGATTTAGTACTCATTAAAAATATATTCAAAGTATATTGGTAAATCAAAAATACATATTGCAGCAGTAGGTGCTCGCCACTAATACAGTCTAGTAATACTGTAATAATTAGTTCAGAAGATCCCGTGTGCTGCAAAGTCACACAAATAAGTTCACGATGCAAACGAAGAGACTTTATTAAAATAGTGTAAAATCCACGCTTAAAGCAGATAAAATAAGAGCGACAAAATACAACGCTTACTCCAAGGACAGCAAAGCCGAAAGAAGAGGCTGACGCTGCGAATCCGCAGCACAGATCACATATGCAGTGGTGGTTGGAGTCGAGTAACTGAATCTAAATGTCTGGCGAATTAGGGCTCAGACTCCACACACCAATGCATATGCAATAACTAGACACTAAATATAAATAAAATACAAAACAATAAAAAATAGGACAATTCCAGTCCCGCCACAATATTCATCGCCTTGCTTTATTATTAATTTAATGATGATAATTTTACTCTGCGGCTGTGTTGACGAAATAAAAGCAATACTAATCAGAAAATATCATGAAAATCCGTGGACACAAAAATGCGTGGTAAAAAACAAAATTATATTTTGTTTTGATTCGTATTTTTGTGAATTCAACAAATATGAGCTGTTCGAACAACACTTACGACTTTCCAGTACTGTACGTACCAAGGTTCCCTCTAAGGTGCGCCATTGCGCAGTACCATCAGACCATTTGCGCAGTCTAATCTTTTTCTCGCGCACCTGTAACATTATGTTTTCAAATCGTGTCTCGCCATACTTTTTAACGCTTCGCTATAATGCCCGTTTCACGAGTATTTTCGTTACCACTGTTCATTGTGATGTCACACACGTGTCTGTTACGTCCGAGTACCTGGATTTCTCCTGAATCATCTGGAAAGATCTATATCTTAAGCAAAGCTTACAATGCCAGCGCGGGCCAGTGTATAATCATTGAAAAATCACGAAAACAAGGAGAAGCTGTTTGAGTTACGGTAAATGTGTACATACTTTGTTCACATTCTGTTTACATATTGTTGTTGTGATATTTAACAAAGTTTGTAAATCATTTAGGACTCTGCTCAGCATTAAAATATTCATGCTCACTAAAACAAACAATTGCGCAGTGTAATATTTTCTTGGAGGGAACGCTGATACGTACCAATGTGGAGGCCTAAGGGGAAAAGCCTTGATACATATAGGCTACTACAGTATCACCCGAAATTTTGCGACTTGCAATGTCTAAAGAAGCGTTTTTAATCGGTCGCGTACAATCATAAAACAAAAGTTAGGGTGTTCTCCGTTTTATTTTTAGTATTTTGTATTGCCGCTTTTCAATTTAGAAATTTGGGTCGCTACCATTGACACCTACTGGAAAAGAATTTATTCCTCGTTGTTCGAAATCGCGAGAAACACCACGTGTGTGCTCGTGTTTTTGTCGGAAATTTGCAAGTGAGTTGTAAAAATCCAATCGTTTTGACCTCGGGTCACTTGTTACCAAATTTTCGAATAGTGAATTGCTATTCTAATAGTTGAATATTCGAATATATGCCCAGCCATACTCAGTAACTAGTATTAATTGACTTGATTAATGTTATGTGAAAAAACTTTCTTTTTATGTTTTATGTGAAATTTAACGTAAATCGTAACTTGGCTGATACTTAACTTTTGCAAAAACGTTTGCGGCCCGCAGTGAATTTCTGGCTCGTCGCGGACTCATTTGAGACCGGGGACTCGGGTTGGGAAACACTGCGTTAGAGTAAGTTTGGAACGATATGGACAACCACCACCATCACCACCAATCGCCTAATGACTAAAAATGTCACTTCTCTCCAAATTGTTGGAACAACCTTGTAATTTAAGTAAAATACTGTTCGCGCCAACTGAAAGTTTATAGTAATAAAATGTACGACGTCTAGTATATTTCGATTTGTTTTTCTAATTTTGCGAAGACGTTTGGGCTCCACCAAAAGTCCATTATGACATCACGCATTTGAGCTTTGTGCGAGACTAGAACCAACATTTCTCTTTTTTCGGTGATGGTTGATTGAGACGTTAAAAGGATGGCTGATTTGTGATTTTGTGAGGGTAGGAGACGAATTTTTCAGGCTTCTAAGGCTTCCGAGGGAGAGAGTCGAGACAAGACTTACATTTTGTTGTAATTGTTAAAACGTCAAGACCCGAGATCCAAATATTTGGGGAAATATATTACCGCTTTATAAAGGCCTGACGCTTTAATCACTATATTCCTATCGGTAAATATTTTTTCGCAGTCTAACTACCATAGTCAATTTTTGTATATTTGCTTTAAAGAATTCGGGAATGGCAAGATTTTTTGCCGTACATATCGGCCATAACCCAGGTGTTTACCTGACATCGATTGACTGTAAAAATCAAATTGATGGTTTTGAAGGTAGCATCTTCATGACTTTTTCTGAGGAAGCGGCAGCTAAAGAGTTTGTTAAGACAGGAAATGCTGAATTTTTGGTCAGTCAGGAAGGTGGGACAAAAGCTGTGTTTTCAATAGACACCAATAGCCTGTTTGACCTCTTTGAAGATAACGATTCCAGTCAACAAAGTGAGATAAAGATGGAAACAGCCAAAAATGAGAAGACAGACTGTTCAGTTCAAAAGGTCAAAGTGTCAGGCAACAAATGTGACTCAATGCTCCAGGGTGTGAATACAAAATTGATTTATAATAGGAATTTTAGTTCTGATGTAAGTCCGATTGTCTATATTTATGGCGTATGTTTTGGCAACAGCAAGAAGAAGTCGGCCAGGGCTGGGTACGGTGTGTGGTGGGGCGAAGACCATCATCTAAATTTCAGTGCACGGTTGAATGGCATCAAGACGAACTTGAGAGCCGAAATTGCAGCAGCTAATTTATGCTTAAAACAAGCTGCAGATCGTCGTCTAAAATCTTTGACGATCAGAACCAATTCCGAGTTCGTATTCAACTGCGCTACGAAATGGATACCTGGTTGGGTAAAATCTAACTGGATCAAAACCGATGGCAAAATAGTTACACATAAACCAGAATTCATGGCCATGATCCAGTATATGAAGACAGTTGAAGTACACTGGGAGCGTGTGAAAGAACGAGAGGGTATTCGTGGTTATAAAATGGCAAAGGGATTGGCTTCACTTGGTGCTACCATGTAATTAATACAAATGGCAAGAGGCGTGTCTGATATGAAAAAAAAAATTTGCGCTGGCATATATGACCATAAAAGTGTAATGATCAATTTCAATATAGAAGACTTTGATTGAATACATTATAGGTCAACTGAGATAACAAAATTTTTATGTGTAACACGTTTTCAGCGCTGTAAAATTTTGGACAGTCGGAATTCAGATAATTATTTTGTGCAAATCTGCTATTTAACTGCACAGATACAATTGTAATCACGTTTTTATTGGCTTTTATTATTGTTTTCGCTGTATTATTTTCGTTAAATTTTCCGTATTCTGATGAAATATTTGAAAAATTATGTTGTAATAACTTGTCGAATATGTGACATACGCTTTTTGCAGAAGCCTTGGTAAGTTCACATGAGTTATTTATCAAGGTGCTTTCATTTTATCATGTTTAGAATTATTTTTTATTCATTAAATTAAAACAACCTTATCCGCTCTATGAGTTGGTCGAACCTTTTTTATTTTTGTAGTCTAATTCTTTCGGTCCATTCTCGTTTTCATATACATTTCTGGACGCTCCTGAAGTATGCGTACCAAGATGGCGGACACCGGAACGTAGTATGTGTACCAGGTTAGGGTCAGACCCTAATTTTAGGTACAAATATTACGGGAGTCACTTGGCTAGTCCCCGAACTCGTAATAGAACTGACATAAGGGAAATTGGAACAAAAATTCTCGCCTGGCCCTAACCTGGTACACATACTACGTTCCGGTGTCCGCCAACTTGGTACGCATTTTTTAAGTTACTCCGTATTTAGGTCAAAATCACAACTTTGTTATTTCATAGATGCGAAAAAGTTTCATTAAATTGAATCATCGCATTTGTAATATGTCTCAATATATTAGGTAGGATGAATTAATTATGTGTAGTTGGAAAGCTGGTACTGAGAATACATTGTGGAAGAACTATAGAAAATCGAGTCCAAACCATGTAAAATAAAATTACACGAAAAATTACTTTTAGGGTTTATAGAAACGATTCGTTTTATAATATGCGTTTCATCACTGTAGGACTGCGTGAAGTGAATGTGGCATGGCGCGCTATGGTCTATGAAACATGAAGCGCATAGAGGTGCCCATATACGACATCCTGGTTGCAATAAACTACCAAAATATTGACTTTTCTCACCAACTCTGCTCATTTGTATAGAAACAAACTGCTAATATTCCTTTCCCGGCGCCATATTCAGTCGGCATATTCTGGGCATTGCATAAAAAAGCGTTTTAGGCAGATTTTCAATAAAATGCGCTATTTATTTCAAGTACACCTTAAATGGAGTTATTTTCAAATGGAGATGTCCATGACCAATTGACCTCGATCAGTGAAAATGTCAACTTCAAAAATATTGCAGGTGTTTTGGTTTCGACGTAAATAAAATCAGATCACAGGAACACTATCGTGGGAGCAATTTTTATTTAATGAGCTGTTCCTGATTTGAAGAACTTTCAATCAGATTTTAGCATTCATCATAAAACGGGAAAGTAATACTATAAAAAATTATTCTTTTTCGTAATTTACCAAATTCGAAATCAATCACTGTAGGGAGAAATCCAAATATTTTTGTAAGAGTCGCGCTTGTGAACAGATCAAAGAATAGAAGTAAATATTGTTTGAACGAAAACAAACCGCAGAGAACGAATATAAATATTATTTGACAAAAGGAGAGTATTTTTTTTTTTAATACTTCCCGTCGGAACATGTTCATCCTCACTCCATCTGTCAAATTTTCGTGACATATCTAATTGTTGAACGAACGACACGGCAAACTCCAGCCATATTGCAAATATTGAGACTCATCTTTTTTCTATACAAGCTTTAGCGTAAGTTTGAACTGTATGAATAAGTTAGACGTGGCGCGGTCTAGAATAAAGCTTTCAGACCGAATTTTGGACTATTGAAAATGGAAGATATAAAAATCTTGTGCGCGGTCGAGTGGGTCTTTAATGTTTCGGCTACAGGACGTAAAAATAGACATATTCAAATAAGCAATAAGGTTACTGAGTTAGTATTCTCGGAAGTTTTCTATGTCAGGTATTTAAGTATTGGTAATGGTAAAATGTGACCAATTAACGCGCAAAACGAGATTTATCGCCTTTGCCTGATTACGCTATGGGTACTACAAAGTTTTAATAGCACAGGTGAAACCATTCTATTTTCAAGTCTATGCAACTTAAAATTACAATAAATAGATCAAAAATGTCATACAATGTCGATGTTCTCTGCCCAAACTTATGTCGTTTAGGTGAAGGTCCGTGCTGGGATGCTCCGAATCAGAGACTTTTATTTGTTGATATCGAAAAAAGCACAGTTCACAGATGGAATTATTCCACTTTATCATTACAAGCACCTTTAAAATTGAACGGTAAGTTTTCTGTCATAAATACTTCCTTTTTGCTAAATAAAGCTTGTTTATTTTATATTATAAATCTTATATAATATCGTAATGTTTAATATTGGCAAAATATTTTAAATGTGATTATTTGGATATTTGAGGATACATAATTGATAATTATAATATGATCTATTTTATAATTATTTGTCAAAGATATATGATATTGACGGTAGTAAAAAAAAGCTAATAAATGCAATTTTAAAACAAATTTAATAATAAACGAACGTTCATTCATACTAAAGCTACATACAGTAAACACTTTTTGATGAATAAAAAAAATCTTTCATTGTCTTTGCACCCACGTATATATGCACGTATTTCGTAGAAAAAGAGTTATCATAATGTAATGAAGTTGAAAGTGAAATGCGATTATAACTTGTAATGTTTATAAAAATATGCTAAGATGATACTTACAGATATTCGCGAGTGAAAATGACTGTGGGTGCAATCCTGCAAGGTACTGGTCCCAATTGATGTGGCCCTATATAATCTAAACTAGATTTCGCAATTCAAATTAAAACGACTGCTTATAATTAATATCTTTATGTGAAAAATCTAGAATGGAAAATTGTAATGGGCTTTTAAGCCTTGATCCAATACTTCAATAAATTTTGATTTTACAGAAGTACAGGTTTGTGTTTTTTCTTGATTACCAATGGAACTATTATAGCCCGAACACGTCACTTATGCAAATATCGCTATGGAACCCTCAGAAACATGCGGGGGGAATTAGAAGAATTGCTAAAGCAATCAATTAATTAGAGTTACTTGAATATTCCACAAGATTATTATTTTTTGTAACACTATACTCAGGTCCATACGTGAGTGCAGTCGTTCCACGAGAAAATGGTGGCTTTGTTGTAGCTGCTTACGACAGGTTCGCCTCTCTGAATGAAGTGACTGGACTCTCTAGTACAATAGCAAAAGTTCCGTTAAATGAGCAAGTCAAATTTAATGACGGAAAATGTGACCCAGCCGGACGATTTTGGGCAGGTAATATCGTACTAGAATTCAAGCCATAACAGAATATAAAACACCAGGTGGCAGGCATGCGAGAGATTCATCCGCCTCGGGTGCCCATATAGCTTGGAAAAAGATACACACATATATATGGACAAGTATACTGAAAATATTTTTAATGTCAGAATTAAAAGAAGTTTCGTTTTCATGCGGAATCTATATGTTCATCTAAGTCGATATTTCTGGGAATATTTTATTGAGCAGTTGGCAATATAATTATTAGAACAAATATTATTGAACATAATTACGCAGGAACGGGAGGTACAACAAACGAAACTAAACAAGGATACCTTTACACTCTCAATACTGATAAAACAGTCACTACTAAAATATCCGATGTTATATTATCAAATGGTTTATCGTGGAGTCCTGATCACACAAAGATGTACTTCATCGACACGCCAACGGTAACTTTTGACACAATGTGTACATTCTGAGTTAGTAATACTTAGAATCTTAATTATTGGCTTAATTGTGCCGTACGTAAAAATCAATATCTTTTCTCCATGCATTCAATGCCTTTAACATTCATATAAAAAATCGTCTTAAAATGGTGCCTTTAATAAAATATTTTCTAAAACCTACCAATTTCAGTACAACGTATTGGCATATGATTATGATGTTAACACTGGAGCGATCGCTAATCCACAACTTTTGTTGAAATTTGATAAATGGAAGGACGGAACACCTGATGGACAGTGCAATGATGCAAATGGAAATTTATGGGTGGCGATGTACGGTGGTGGACGTGTAATAAAGGTTGACGCTTCAACCGGTTAGTCTTCAGAAATGTCAATTCCATAACATGAACTGAAAATAGGGCATGACTGATGCGCATCGAAAATATGGCAAATAACGAAGGATTACGAAAATATTTCTTGAGGGTTCATTTGTCTACCAATTTTCTTTTTAAGTTTAAATAGCGTAATTTGAAAGCAAATGATTCGAAAGCATATATTTTCTGGTTTTATTTATAATGTACGACAAGGTAAAATAAAAGTTTATAAAATTTCGCAGGCCAGAAAGTCGAAAGAATAAGTGTCAGCACTTCAGCTTTAAAAATAACCTCATGTTGTTTCGGTGGACCAGACTTGAATGAGTTGTTTGTGACTAGCGCGTCTAGTGACGAACCTGTGGGGGATGCTGGATCGTTATTCAAAGTTAGTTTCTTTTTTATAAGTTTCATAAAATCTTGATAAAATAGGATTTTATAACAATTATGAAATTTATTATTTCTAATGTACATAGCGATTACTTGTGTAATATATAGTAAGAGAAAAAATTATGTATTATCAAAATAAATATGTAATTGTATAACTGCTTGATAAAATCTACGATTTAAAAGTTTTCCGTTGTTTTTGCAGGTAACAGGCCTTCAGGCCAAAGGACGTCTCTCTACTCCGTATAAAGGTTGATTAATATAATCAACTAGATATGATTTACACAATTTACAATTAGCACAGCAATTTTTAGTTATTTACTTATGCAATTTATTTATATAGTATATTTTAAATAGTTATTTATATTATATAGAAATGTTTCGACGGTATGTTTTGGGAACATTTATAGTAATTTCTTAATCACGCAATTAAAACATGCTGAATGTTTCATAAGCATGTATTTTTTCTTGCACGTAATATATAAAAATAAAAGAGTTCGTTAACTTGTTTCTTTGTCGTTGTTAACAGAAGACTTTGAAGCATTGTTCACCTTTTTTCCGAAAAGTAAGCGTGCAGTTGTTTCATCACCAGTTTGTTCGTTCAATCCTCTCACAATTCTGATTATTTCACTCAAATCTTTTCTTAAAATTCTATATTGAGTGAAATTTTCTTCGAGGGCAAAGAGCAGTAACAAGTAGTTTTCTAATTTTTCAGTTGTGAGATGTGAAAGATCGCTTTTATATAATGGACGTTGGGAAAGAATTCGAACGTCTTTACCGTATGCCGCATCAGTTTGTGTATTTGCCCTTTGCATAACCTGTAAAACGTATTTGATAAAATAAGAAAAATTAATTTATCTTTCTGTTTATTAGAATAATATAGGGATTGTTGCGTACATATGCAAGGAAAATATTACATTTGAGAAATTTAGCTATAATCAATAAATTTGGCAGCACCTCTCCCACGTGTAATATTGGAACGTCTGGAAGTGTGGAATCTTTAGTCGTTTCCTTGGCTTCATCACTTTGATCTTTCTTTCCTTCTGATGAAGATTGTTTGTCTCCTCCATTCTGTGACGAGAGTGGATCGTTTTGAGTCTTCTGTTCCTCCTGATGAAAATATTGGCATTATAACTCTCTAATCAATTGCTTCCTTAGATCATTTCCACATAGAATTCATTGAAATACTGACCATAGAAGGAAACTAACTATTCGGACAGAGTTCAATAAATATAAAACACATAACTCATACTTTCATTTCCTTCATCGCTTTATCCAAGTTTGTAGTAACAACGGCAACAATCAAGTTGGCAATAATAAAGGCAGCAGTCAATATAGTAATAATGAAGAAAATACAAGCACATCCATATGTAAATTGATCTTCTATCATATATTTTTCGAAATTTCGAAAAATTTGCATCCAGCCGTCCTGTGAGAATGAATTTTGGGATTTTTATTCCAGAACTTCTGTGAATATTCATGTGTATTTACTTTCTCTCACATTCGTAAAATATTTCAGCTCATATTAAAAGTGTTATTAACACCTATTTTTACTCAGTTAAAAGATATATAATGGTGATAGAAAGAAAGTGAAACTACAGAACATAAAATGTAGTTGCTAGACAGTTGCCACGACAACCCTAATACTGTTGTTTAAACTTATTGTCTGCAACTGTGTAAATTAGCGGGACAACAAAGATCGGCAAAGCTGGTTACATTTAGAATATTATCACAAAATTAATTAACAGTATAAAGCAAAAGTTTCGCCATAAGGTTTACCTGTGTGAAACATACAAATATAGAAAACATGCACTTGATCGGATCTCCAAAGTATTTGGGAACGTATTTACCGAACAATTTGACTCCAACTACACTCAGTACAATCATGAAGATTAGAAGAAGCACCATGATGTTTGCCATGTCTGGTATAGACTGAAATTTGAAACAATAGAAGTAAATTATTAGTACATTTCCAATTGAAAACATCCAAATAGTTCAAATAATTTGACTTTTGCTTCTACAATGACATGGTGTCATGTTGAATTCAATAAATCAGAGAGAAATATATGATTTTTTCTAAAATTACTTTGTTTGCGTAAATAAATTGATACTAATTCATAAATACATAAAATTGATACCTCATAAAATAGGACACACATATCGAGTTAAAACTCATGCTTTGCAACAAAAATGATTTGATTGTAGATTGTGCACATACTTGCATCTATTCTCCTGTTTACATACCTGCAATATAGTCTCGACAACTAGCGAAAGTCCTGTTAATGACGTCACTGTTTTCAAGCTCCTGAATGCACGAATAACTCGAAGTATTCTTAATAAACGCGTATTGCTGAAGAATGCTAACCAGCTTCCAAGCTGAAAAACGTGCACTGGTTGCCGAGATTTCGTTTTATTTGTCTAATCCGGTTTATAAGATTCAGTGAAACCTAGTAAGCCGTTAGGTTTAGAAAATACCTTGCGACACACGTACACCAATCTGCGTTCACCCTCAATCAAAATCACCTAAAGGCGCTTACACTCGTTGAAATCAAATATAAGAATGATATTAAAAAGAGTTAGATAATCTAGATTTGGGAACAATATTATTTATTGTCTGTGTCGTTATGGTTAATGCCGCGGACTTTAGTTACTTTGAATTTCAAAAACAAAAATCATCAAAAACGACGACGAAAAACAATATTTAGCTTACATGTAATACGAGAATAACTCCGAAGTCCAAAATATTCCAATAATCTTTCCAGAAAATTGCAAATCCACTGTACCATTTCAGCACAATCTCACATATAAAAATACCCATAATGACGTTATCGACGAGATAGAACAAAAATGAATAAGGTACTGATATCGATTCCACTGTCTGCAGTGCGATATGAATGGCGTTTATAATGATGACGAAAAATATGATACCTGTATGAAAAATACTATGAATTCACAGAAAAAAAAACCGACAATGATTCGAGAGTTGGTGCTAAAGGTCCGGTCAATTTTCATTTGTGCTCATTTATATTCGGCTCATAACGATCTTACAGCTGATGTTCCAATCTAAAAATACAACTGTGGTGTTTGATTAAGATCTACGCTGCTCAATGCTTAATCTTTCAGGCGGGTCTTTACTGCGAATGGTTTCCGGCTTTGTTACTCTGATTAAACCATCGTATTGATTTGAAGGAGAAAGATTTATATGTATGCCCGATGTTGTACATGAAACTGGAATCAATCCACTAAATTGATCCTCATCAGTCTTTATCTTGAACATTATTTTATCCACAATATAGACGTCAGGTATTTTTACCTTTGAAATATACAGAATTCAAGACTGCAGTAACCATATTTGCAACTGACGCTGCTATGTCGTCGTCATCTTTGTCTGTTATATCGTTTATATCAACTTCTACTTCAGCAAACTGACTCAGCATTGCTCCCTGTCGTTTTTTACGAATTTTCCTCTCTTCCATTGATTCGAAACAAAATCTCCGGGCAATCGCTGTATCACCTGCCCCTATGATGAGAGATTTTAAAAAGAACAAAGATGCGCGTATATGTTTCGTATTAGTGAGGATTTAAAAAAAAAACTAATGATTTCAATTTATTTGGATGAACAAATATTCCATCACCAAGTTTTCCGAATTTTACCCAAATCATCTTCATCCTCATCCGCTTCATCTGATCTTTCCAACGGATTGAAAACTTCCAAAACATTCTTCTTCTGTATTATGTTCGAAACCTTACTTTTCCAGCGCACTTTCGTCTCAGCCATTGGGTATACCAGTAATAATCTCAGTACATTGAATTAAAACGACACAAAACTGGAACTTCCAATTTATAAATATGTTACTGTGACATCACAATACCATCATTAGTTGGAGACAACCGAAATTATTTTAATGCGTTCTAAAATTGGAAGGCATAACGCTCTGAATGTAGTACCACGTACAAGTATAAATGTACGAGCCCTATTAAAGCTTCAGTCTTTACTTTTTCTGCCAAGCCCATATTTATAAGTTACACAATTGACAACACAAATTCGGAAAAATAACTGTATTTTAAACTCTACGAAACTTCATAGGTTGATGTGGTACACCAAACCCGCCATAACCTACGCTTTATATATAGAAAGAGATGTATGCAATCGAACATGACGAGAGTAAAACGAAGAGAAGAGTAAAAGTTGGAAACAAGAAAGTACAATGAAGATATTCTGTAATACTATAATGGAATCTAATACAAATTAAACTCCGATTATTTTTGTCTTTCATGTGAATATCTAATATTAAAATAGATCTCAAAGCCATGATACCTAAATTGCATCATATATGCAGAAGAAAATGGAAAACTGTTTTAAAGAATACATACGTACAATTTAATTTCATCATTTTCAAAGTTAGCATGTAAGATACATCGTCCAAGGCTAAACAAAAATGTATTCATTTAAAGCAAGGAAACGGTTTTGTATCACAGGTTTTCTCTATAGTCATATGACGAATAAGTCGCCAGGCAATTTGTTGCTAGATCATAGCCCCGGATTGGAAGTAGACTGCTGCACTGTAGAGTGTGGAGCTGGGCGTGTTGCTGCTCTAACGTAAGCAGATCTCCGTCGCCTCTTGTTGACTTCGGAGTCTTGTGACGTTGGTTGCGCGTCAAAAGTCGTTGAAGGGGTATGCCAGCTCTCAGTATACCCGATAGAGGACTTTGTGGCTGGAATTTCGGTCTCACTTTTCCCTGTACAGCGTTTGTAGGAAAGACCTGTAGACGTAGTCGCTAGAGGTGTTGAAAAATATCCTGATGCAGACATGGGCCTCCGCCACTGCAAATTTGTTTGTTCAGTGTTTGGCGAAGTTACGGAGCATGAAGGTCTGCAAAGGTGTAAATGTTATCTGTTAGTTTTAACTTCATGTTTTCAACAATGTATCAAATAATAATTAGAATGTAATGAAGGCATATCGAGGTTTTAACCAAAAAGAACGAAACCTGATTAAAGAACGTGGAAGATCAGGAAACCCATATTTTTCAATTTTGAAACTCCTCTGAACTTTTTATTGGAACACTTTGGTGTTTGGCTTCCAAATTTGATTGGAAAAACAGTTTAAAATACATCAAGTTCTCTGCAGTTTTTTCAAATCAAATTCTTCGAAATCTCAACATTTGTCTTGGAAGCCCTCGATATGATATACAAATAATATAATTATATACTCATGTCCTTATGTATATTCAGTCAACAAAAGAAACCGATATATATATTAATGTAGTTACACTACATTGTATGTGTACAGTGCTGATAATATATATCTGATTCCAAATTATGAGCGAATCATGGCGAGTTAAGACATTGGGCAAACACTGATAAACCGTAATATTGCCATGTAACACGATCAACCTTACTAATTGTATGGTAAGGCATTTTCAGCATGAACATACTTTATAACTTGTTCAATAAGTTTCGTTGTAACAGATGAGGTTGAGTTAGCGGAGGACTGTTGTTGTTCTTGCTTCTGAGTGACGTGATGCTGCTGAGGATGGCGAATTATTGGACTGCTTTCTAATAATATTCTAATCTGATTTATTTGTTCGGCATATGTAGCGGTGTTCTCCAGCAATTCGAATCTCAAACTACTAATGTCATGCTTGATCTCTTGTAGTTCACCTAGAAATAAAAATAAAGTCATTTGAATTATCGTGAAGTAAAAGCATGCGACGAAGTTGTAATTCGTAAGACTACAATTTATCCAAATCAAAAAATTTGATCCAAATTTTCGGGAATTTTTTTTTATTAGCAGATGATATTTATTTAGGCAGTTCGCGACAATCATGGCGCTATAAGGCTAGTCTGTAGACTTATTTGGGCAACATATACACATGGGAATATCAGTCGAAAGGAGAATCATTTCAAATCAAAGCTGCCATAAAATAGTTAAGCAACTGGATTTGAAACAAAAAAAAAGCAGAAGAACGAGTAGTCTAACTGCTATGCAGCAGCCAGAAATTAGTTTAGACAATTCACATTTGTTGCACAATTTTGGTTCAATTAAGCAAAATGTACGGAATAGCCGTTGAAGGGTAGTAGAAATACATCAGCCAAGAGGCATGAATATAAAAACTAAAAAAAGGGTATTTAGAGTTTACCAGATTACATTAAGAAACTCATGGAAACTGACCTTCATTCACCTCATCTCGATCCTTTTCAACTTGAGCTCTGATGACAAATCGTTTAACAATTCTTCGCATTATGACCTAATAATATGTACAAAGGAATATCGAAAGTTTAATAAAGTTGCTTTATATACAACGCTTATTTACACGCCTAGCGCTCCGAACAAGGCCATATACAAGAGAAGGTCGGACACGAAGGTCGCACATCGTTACTCTTACAGTGGAACGTTAGGTGAGGGCACCTAGCTGCAACGACCGGTCAGAATCAATGGCGAAACTAAAAGTGGTCCTTTCCTTTAATTGTAGAGAAATGCAAAATTTGGGGTGAAATATCGGTTTCCATAGGACTCAAGAAAAAAGTAGCCTTCTAACGTCTTCTTCCACTTTTTAGTACTGATAATTTGAAATCGATTGCTCCATTAGTTGCAGTTCATCTTGTTTCCAAGATACAAATTAACCGCACCGTTAAAACAGATTTTATTTCATAACAATACACATATGTACCTGATATCTAGTCAGTTGTTCAGTTTTTTGTTTAAAACTTAATCCTCGAAATGTTTTCGACGTCTCTGATTCCGATCTTCTCTGTAAATTGATTCAAGGTTACAAAATAATATGGATAACACATGCTTCGTGGGAGTAATACATAACATTCGAATTTGTATTGTAAGACGGGTTCAAACCGTTAAATACCAATGCCACTAAATTCGTCTTCCTTTCAGGACTAGGCAAACCTGGTGCAGCTCAACTGAACTCATAGTCTCCTCGTGAATTCCATCGAAGTCTATTTATTGGGTGTTCCCAATCATTTTCCACAGGTCAATTACTTGTAGGAGAGGGAAAAGGGCATATTATGAAATGTCTAGTACATAGGTTATTTCAACCACAGTTAGTTTAGTCAAATTCTGCTTGATACAAGCAAGTTTTTGTTGAAACCGTGATGTCTAAGATGACGAGCGCCAAGTGGATTATTTTATTCATTTGTTTGGAACTATAATTTGAACCACCGTGCCATTGATACAAGCTGGCTGAATTTAAAAAAAAATCCAAAAGGATACCATGGGACCCGAGTGTTCGTTGTGAGAGTCATTTTACAATGTGCTTTATAATTCCTTTTTCGATTCGTGTCAAAAATAATTCCATCTCAATTACTCGCCTCACCAACCTCAATACTTCCATAATTCCAACGTGGAATGAACATTTCAGATATACTACAAACGATGCGACTGGTGTTTGTCAATTAAACAAGTCAATGAACAAGCCGATGATATTTAAAAAAAAGAAATGTTGACTTACTAGGCCATTCTGCTTTTTGTTGATCTTTGCACTCACACCAAATGAAGACATGGAGACTGATTCACGTATTGTACCAAGTGATCTCTTTTTTCCTGCTCTACTGAAAGAAGATGATGTATGACCGTTGTTACTTTCAGCCCTCCTATTCTTGCCCATCAATTTACATGAATATAGTTTTCTGAAAAATTTGCATATATTTTGTTATTAACTTCTACCAAATGGTCATTGAAAAGAGGGATATATGAATTGCAAAACTCTCGACGATGTGGAACCACATAGATATTGCAAAACGTTGAGTCCAGCGACTGAAACTCAATAATACGAGAACTACACACTCACTTGAAAAGACGATTTATTCTTACAATCAGCACACCAACGGATTTGGGACTTGGTATTATATTGTATGGTACAGGCAATGTCTTTCCATCGTCAAAGTATGAAAGCCACAACTTAGCTCGGGCGAATTTCCATTCCACGTCAGCGTCTTTCTGGATGTATAATGAACAGAAAAATTGGAATTGCATATATATATTAGTTTTTTGCTCTTATCCTGTAATTTCGATTTCAAATTTTGCATCGTTGACATGCCAGAATCTACCCAATATGTCACTACAAAATGATTTAAATTTTCAATAAAAACAGTATATCTTAAACGCATATCGAAAACATATCTTCTAACAACATTAATTTCTAATTTCAACTCAGTTAAATTCTTTGTGTGTTGCTGAATATGAGCTACCATGTCATATTCAAATTTGAGGGAATGGATTAGCATACCAATATCTCGCCTTGAAAGCTTTTATCACAAAATGCGGCAAATATTCTGGTCGACCATTTTGCCAAGATGCGTGTAAGGTATAGATCAAAGTTGTTTTATATTTGTTATTCCTTTACTCTCCGTAAATAAAAATGCGCAGAAATGATGAAACGTCGTTGGTGGCTTTCTCAACCTCAATGTTAAGAAATACGGGGGAACAACTTCTTCCAATTAATTATGTTCTCGTCGTGTGATTTTATAATTTATATTTCGAAACTTTAGTTCCTGTGATGTACAAAGCGGCAAGTCGTAAATGTGTTGCATCTATATGCATGGCCATTAGAGTAATATATCAAAAGTAATTCAAAACCACGGAAATGTGAAATATACGATTAGAAATAAGGTCTTCAAGAGAAAAATTATAAGAAAAAAAGTTATCAAGAAAGGATTTACTTGGTTGTTATAACCATATAATATATAGAACCACACACGAACTTTGTTATTAGTGCGACTAATGTTTTTGACCTTTTTGGGGGAAATGTATTCTGTAAGATTGTTTATTTTTGTTTCGATTGGTTGCACTCAACTTAAAATATAATGCAAAATTAAAATTTAGTATTAAACGACAAGGCCGTGTCAAATTTTTGCTCGGTAAAATTTAAATCTTTGCTTCATCAACCTGCTATACTTAAGATATGTGTACGTCATGATTCAAGGTTTATTTATCGTGAGTCACGGTTATTGATTTTATCCGTAGGTAATATTGCTAAAAAAATTGAACCTACACACCAAACTTGTACATTGCGTTCCATCAGCAAAAAGTCTCGCTATTTAAAGTCGTCTTATGATTTACCTCCCCCGGGATAAACATGACAACCTTATCATATTCAGCTTGTTTAATACGATTCGGTTACTTTCCCCACAGTGCGTATAAATATTATTGGGACAAAACTAGCCTCCGAGTTCAAGCTTTTCTGTATACGACAACGAAGTTTTTGGTCGTTTCAGCCAGATCTGGCTATAATTAAGGAGTTTATACTCAAGAAGCATGCGCTGTAGACTCGCTTGTCAGCGGTATTACCAAATTTTTGTTCTGTAAACATCTTTTCAAATAGTTTCCATTCATAGATTCGCGACTGGAATAAACATGTATATTTTTCTTATAACTCCGTAAGTATACTCTATTTTTGAGTAACTTGCGTATGGAAAACGTGAGCCAGCGCGTTTACATTTTCAAGTTATTTGAAAACACAATAAAAGTCAAGCAGTATAAGTGCATTGAAGGCAATATAAATTTACTTTGCAAGTACAGGAAGATTAAAATCTTCTGTATACTAACCTCGACATCTGAATATGAACTGTTGATCATTGCGATTAGCATATTCAACATTATAATAACTGATATTATATTATATACTCCATAGAGTTGATATCCCACGAGTCTTGTGAATGGATGAGGATAATTGACTTCCACTCCCTTGTAGTCAGCAAGACCGAACATCGACCAAAATAAAGTTATAAATGTCTCCTCGAGTCTAAACGAAAAGTCTATATTAGTTCCAATGGTCTATTTTAATCAGTTAATTTTAAAGTAAACATTTTATCTTGTAACATTGTAAAGCCGTTATTGGGAGTATGTTTTATAGGATTTTATAAGGCGCTCTAGAAGTATTCGTACCAAGATGACGCACAACCTGAACAACCCCAAGCTGGTACACATACTATGTTCAGGTTGTGCGCCATCTTGGTACGAATAGTTCGGGAGCATCTTTTATAAAGCATAAAAATGCATGCAGTAATAGAAATAATTCATGAATCGGTCCTATTCTTGAAGTACAAAAAATCTCATGGAAACGATTTTATGATATTTAAAAGAGGCATATTTAGATATGATATACTCTGTACTTACGTCGTGAATGATTTGCTTGATTTGGCACCTTCCATGGCGTAATAAGAATATAGATTAAAAAGTCCGAGCAAAAAAGCTCCGAATATCATAAAAAATATAACAATCCACTTCATAATATCTGCAACAGTCCTGAAAGAATAACGAATTATTACTTATCGATTTTAATCGGTATTTTGATAGGTATTTGTCTGTCTGTATGTCTGTCTGTTAGATGCACGCGATATCTCACGAAAGCGAGATTGAATCTGCTCCAGATTTTGCATGTGCATTCATTATATTCCGGGTCAGAAGCCTATTTTGGGCGAATTATGTCGTATAATTAGCGAGTTATTAATTAATTAGTGATGGGGCACAAGGTGTCACTATGGAGTAAGAGCGCTGTTTTGGGGCATCCCCTAACTTTCGATCGATAAGTCTTCGGTATCTGACCGATAATCTCGTTTAAATTTTATTATAAAATGATTCTAGCTGTATTGCGAAGAACAAAATCTGAAACATTGTTAATTAAAAGCTTGTCAAGCGTAAGAATGATAACATAGTAATTATTAATATTTACAGTGCAGAAATTACAACATTAACGATTTTGAATAATTCACTAATTTGGAAATATTCTCGTCGATTTGATTTTTTTAGTTTCATTAAAATAATATCAAACTTGCTAATAGTTGCTATACCTTTATAAAAGAAATAATTTCAAGATCGAATTTTATTGAAAAATAAATCGAAGATTCATGGCATATGATTTAAATACAAAATATATTCATTCCGGTCGTTGTATAAGCAAGATTGTAAACAAGTATAATAAAGTCCTACCTTCCCAGTGATATTTGTAACGGACCAAACATCTCGTTAGCAGGGAGCAAATAGGCGATTCGAGAAAAACTCAAAACGATTCCAAATGAAAATAAAGCTTCCGACAATAGCTGGGGATCAGAACCTATCCAGTGCTTCCTCTCTGAAATAGATTCAAAAACTTCGAATATACATATATAGGTTTCTATCCTAAAAATCCGTACAGCTAGGTTGGTCTTGAACGTACAAGTATGTGTTTGAATTTTCACATTACTTATAGTTCATTTTAAATGTTCAAAACTTTCGTCAATTAAACATGTAAATTTTTCTTTGTGATTTATCAAAATCTTTTAAACCATGACATCGAGTCCAAGTTAGGTATTCTGTGCCCAAAATTCTTCAAAAACACCCTAATCTCCCAGTTTAACAAAAGAACAGCATCACCCATTCGCCCATAATCACCTGCATTTCCATACGCGTAGTAACCTATCACGTCTGGAATCGAGCGATTGAGAAGTTTGTTTCCCATGTACAAGGATTTATTTTCATACGTTATAAGGGTTGCGTTTTCGCCGTATTCATCATCCCACCAGTCTTGCGCGGTGCTGACCTGAAAAAACGTCACCTTTTAATGCACTGGCATGGCCCTTGTGACGTCATAATTGACACGTAGTCCAATGATATCTTACAACAAAAGAAACTCGACAATAAACAATAAATGCAAGGTAATTGATTTCATCGTCACATGCCTATTAATTTCGTTTAGATAGGTTTTGAAGTTGAACTCTGTCAAGGATTCTTCAATCCAGGGGTTACCTAATTTTCTATACCGGCTACTAAATAAATTATACCAACGGACAAGCAACGAAATATCAAAATAATTGGAACAGAACATAATACAGTTGAAGTAACGAACTATAATTACATTTTACATTCACGTAGATGGAGAGGATTTGCGCAAACTAATTCGCTATTAACGGTAGCGTACTAACGATTCGGTTTGAAATATAACCCGCTCCAAGCTCTCTTTTTGTTTCATGTATTGTTTAATTTATTCATTTATTGTCATCCTAATACGATAATACTTTCGACTCGTTGTTGATTTACCATTTATTGTACGACACAGAATCGACTAACATGCATACGTGTAGATATACTACAATTCAGGGGTTCTCAACCTTTTCTCTGTCAAGTACCCCCCGAGTCACGATACAATCAACGCGAACCCCCGGTTATCAGAAATCGAACAAAGTTGTGATATATTGACTAACGGTTTGTTGCAACACCAATTTATTGACCAGATGTAACTAAATTAAATCTTTGTGTTGATATTATTGCCTTTGTCCCCCGCCTAACTAATGATTTCTTAAAGTCTCTCCCAAGTTTCAATAAGCACAAGCACTTTCTCCAATGCTCGCAGCACGCTGTTTTTGGAGATTCCACAGTTTGCATGCAAAACCGTGAATTTTACATTGTTGCGTCACAATCACAACAACGCAAGATCAGGGAAAGTCTACGTCCTATTGACATCTAGTTTCAATGAGCACGCACCTCTGGTAGTAATAAAGAATATTAAAAAACAGCAACACACAAAAATTGACTGCCGACTGCCATTCAAGTACCCCTGAAAATCTTCTCGTGAACCCCTGCACTACATTATACACTCGCAAGAATTAACAAAACGGAATGTGATCTATAGAGAGCGGTCAACCCAGAATTTCGTTGAAGAGGGAGTAGGTATATCAATTGAAAATGCGTGACGTTCTAATATGATGTCATAGGATACTTTGTATTTCACACAAAATCCAAGATAAACTTGTGGTGTTATATTGTGTTCGGCATAATGTATTATGACGTCATAATAACGATATCGTCCGCGAATGTGTTGTGTTGTCGTAATCAATTTTTTCGTATCAGTTAATTAAAAAATATAGATTTCAATATTAAGTTTGAAGCTGCAATGAAATGTCATGGTACCAGGAAATGTGACGTCATAATATCAGCTTTAGTCGTGATGGACGTCATTGCCCATACAACTATGTTCATGCCATTTACTGTGCAATTCGAATATATTGTGCCGAAATACTAACAGTATTGGTCAGCAAAAAGGTCTCGACGAGATTAATAAAACATGTTGACGCGATACCAAATCTCCAAAATGATTAAATATTAATATGAAAAGTTCCATCGAAAACCAAAAATTGAAATGTCACATGATGATTTTGACTACGTAACGTATGGTTATGTCACTCATGATATTACATGAGGCGTACATAGTAATATAGACATTATATTGCATGCTATATTATTGAATTATAGAAGATTTCCAAACATATAGTTATACAGTATATACAACAATATTTGCAATAGTTTTCATCAGTCTAATCGCGAAGCCAATTAAAACCCAGGTCGTACGATACACACGTAGCTCAAGATGAGTAAATTTAGGAAGCCAAATTAAAACCTACACGTATACATTTCAAATTTTCAATATCACTTACCCGATAATAAGAAATTGCTCTCAAAGCGTAGGACGCAAGAAAAATTGAAAGCATAAAAAAGTCAATGATGTTCCATAACTTGAACATATATTCTCGAGGTCCTTCGTCGAATACTTCATGGCATTCGTTCCAGAGAAAACCTAAAAAAAATTACCATTACAATTGATTTGCTTTTACGGTGCGACGACAGGATTATAGATGAATTAAAAAGCGTATTGAAAAATTCTTATATTTTTTTTCATTCAATTTTCATTTTTTTGAGTTTTCGTTTTTGAGGTTTTATTAAAGCCCGACTAATGACAACTTTACATATTGAATGTGCCACTAAACATGTTAAAATCACAACAATTTCAATCAAATCTGCCGGACTTTAGTAGACAATGAAATCGAATTTTTAAGTATGAAAACTAAGCTTGCGGTAAATTGTAATGAAGATCAAATCAATGTCGCATAACGAGCCCATATAGTTCGAATATATATATTTGCTAGGCCGCCAATTAACTTTAACAATAATATGTAGGTGATTTTTTCGTGCTACGATCAAGCGAAACGAATTATCATCACCCCGGTGCCGGTTTTATTACGGCATTATTTATCTTTAATAGTAGTACAGAATTGGAGTGCAAAGGTGTTACAATTCCGGAGTGGAATTTCAACTCGGATATACGTCATAATTCTCCTAAATATTGGATATTCAATATGTTAGTGATATTGGGCATTTTCAAGTATAGAAAGAATGGTGGAATTCGCAACTTTGGCAGGATAGGTCAAAATATGATATTGGTGTATATTTATATAGAATAGAATATTGATCGACTCGGTAAGGATTTACAACGGAAAAAGATCCAGACAAAAAAACATTGTTTTGAATTAATCATCACCGCCAGCGCAAACCAAATCTTAAGATTAACAGCTAATTTTCTATTTTATACTGAATTCCAAAATAGTAACATTGAACATTGTTGTGTGAAAAGATGAAAGACAAAATCAAAATTCAGTGTAGTGAGGTTTATCCACAACCCTGCTGGAGTACCATGACAGTTCAAACAAAATCTCACATATCCGGCATCAGTGCTCTTTTTTCGGACAGGTCACTTACATTATTAATGAGATATATTTGACCGAATAAGAAAGGCGGGCTATTATTATTCACGTCAGGATATAATCCGAGTAATGTTACTTTGAATGTACAATTCATATGCATTTGAGTTGTTATATGGTGACAATAATAAAAATCATACATAATTTGGGAATATTAAACTTCGACATTTTCCAATGGGAAAATCCGTTTGACTTATAATAAAAAAGAGGAATATGGTGTTGTGATTGTGCAAGCAACTACTCATTTTAGATCTACAGAAATGACTGGTGTTGTGATTAACGTATGAGGTCATACCATGGTTGCCTGAAACGGATTGCTTTGATCTCTGAAAGATTTTATATATTGATCAATATATACACAAAACAAATAAAATTTTCTAAAACTATAACTGAAGTTCCTATTGTCTACTTATCTAGCTATACCAATTTAGTCGGCGCCAGCGTACAAAGAGAAAATTCAATTTTAAAATGCTCACGATTATTTTCGGAGCCAAATTTCTCAATTGCGAGTCCACGTCGTATTCGTTTGCTTTGCTCGTGTCATAACAGGATATTTAGCCAATAAATTATTCAATTAAATCGAAAAAAACGATGAATTATACATGTTTTTAATTTAAATTGAAAGTATATGAACACTCAAGACTCCCACATGTACCAATAACATTCCCACAATAAAAGTGTTATTGAAACCACAGTTTGAGTTCATGTCTCCTTACTTTTATGAACTTTCTTTGAAGTTCCATTTTTTATAATACTGTTTATGACATGGTAGTCATCCATTGATTTTGTTGTGACGTTATTTGTTTTTGAGTCCATTCATTCCATGCTGAATATAACATAATATAATCGAAAGTATATACCTTTGTTTGGTACGTCTGTGATGATTTTTAGTTTTATTTATAGTTGGGGGAGGATATCTATCGATTTACCAGCATCGACATGCAAACATCCGGTTTTAATTCGCTTTCACTATTCCATTTCCTTTATTTGAAAACTACAAAATGTACTCCTAAAACATTACTTATATTTTGTATACCATGGAAATACAGCTATAACTAAAGGGCGACTGGGCTCTATCGGTATAAATCATGCAAGTCTCTTATAATTATAAATTCAGTGTATGCTTGCTTGTCCAGAGTGAAATCTTGTTCGGGTGAACATGCAAAAAGACGCATAATTTTCTTTCTATGAAGACTGGTGGAAACCGGCCTCTCGTCCGGTTACCAGTCTATGTCGATCATGGGATTGGTTGGCCAGCTATTTATTTTCTATTTTCTATGGCCCTTATAGGATAAAGATTTAATTTCATCATTCCGGCATTCCGGCAGTACTCATTAATCTACTACATTCAACAGCCCAAAAATATTTTCTAGTTTGATTGCTTTAGTTGATAGTTAGTGTTCCAGTACTCGGGCTCGGCTTCCCTCCCTACAGTTTTTTTTTAAATTTTTTTGATGAATGTTTTTAATTACTTTGGCAACAAAATGATTTTCATGTTTATGTGAGATTAGAGCAATATATCGAATAAGAATAGTATTATTTGAACAAAAATCGACCAATATAACGACGTTGAATATTGGTCACAATACAGAAATAATAATCAAAACGAGTTATACTCACCTAAAATATAAAGCATGATTAAAACTTCACACCAGGTGAATGTTGTGAACCTCCCAAATGGCTTAGTTTGATGAACAAGAAACCAAGATGGTATTAATCCTCCTTCGAATCTAAAATGCCAAGTAGAGTCGTCATAGAGACATTTCTTGATTATTAATGCATGCGTGCCTCATTTGGGCACGTATAGTTTAACATGTTTGGTAAGGTCATAAAGTGAACCATAGTACAGTACATATAAATTCCACGGTATAGTGGTGTTTGTATTTAGTTGGTACATGTTTGCAGACAGTTTGTCAGTTGATGGAAAATGCACAAACATACCTGTCAGAAGAGTTGACTACGAGAAGGCAAAGGAATTGAAAATACGACATCGCATGTGATATAAATTTACAAAACGGACTTTTAATTAAGGTGGCGGCCTGAAAAAAAAATTGAAAATTTTCAAAAGAGATCAAAATGGGAGTCGAACTCGAAGAGGATGGAACATAACATTTAACACTTCAATTCTAGAATTGGGAGAAATATCAATATCTAACATAATTTACGAAACAAGTTTTCCTAATATTTCTCTTGATTTTTGATCCGTAAAGCGCTATAAACCTCTGCTACGAGTTCTATCGCATCAGGAAGAATGGTCCTCAAATTGTGTTTTAAAGGGCAATAAATCGTTAACTTACCTTAGTGCATGGTGCAAATATATAAATACAGGCAAGTACAGGCATAAACAAGGTAACTCCTCCAGCGAATAAAATTTTAAAATAAGAGGGACTTTGCCACAACCAAGACAAGTTTCTTTGCCATAATCGTAGAAGTTGTTGCTGACAATTGGGATGAGCGACAAACTGAAAGACAAGAAATATCACCATTATTATCAGAACTGCTTCAGTTAAACCAGTCATGACATCACAATGGAATTTATAAACCGTTTAATTTAAACAGTACATGATGGATTGCTCCCGAGTTCTGATCATTCATACCTCGTTAGTGAGGACATGTGTATTTATATCTGCAAAACGACAATTGAACGGGGTTGGTAAATCTCTCACCCCTTTAACGCTGTATCGGATGGCCGTCTTTAACCTTTTCAGCTGAGGCATAGCAGGTGATCGAGCCGTGCTGTTGGTATGATAGTTTGGTGCCGATGTGTTACTGTTGTTGTGATTGGCATTACTGTCGTATGAAGTCGCAACGCTGTCAGCACGCTCACTAACAGATGCTAAACTCGGTTCATACGGCTGGAAATTGCTGAAATATATATACAAAAAATAAACAAACCTAACTTACAATTTTAATACTTTTCAGTAGTAAATTATATTTCCATCGCGGTGAATCCTATTTGAATAACGCAAATTTCAACAAAGAACAATTCTCGTTGAAGTTCATGTCAATATTCTACTGAACTGTATGAACGATGACACTATAGTTTTAATGCAGAAGTTATCCTATATGTATATGGTACCATCATTGACATATATACACATCTCATTAAATGTTATCGAACATTAGAATTTATGCTTGATAGCCATACAAGTTTTAAAGTACACATTTTTGCATCCGCAGAAGGCATCTATTAACTTGAGTGCCAAAAGCATAGTTACCAAAATATTGTACAGGTACTTTGGATTTGAACAAGCTCATAAAAAGCAAAATAAATTCGAGACAGATATTTCGCAGGTTGTGAGCAGAGATCCTTAGCTTATATTGAAACAAAATTAGATTGAATTTTGTACCTCGACATTTCATCTGATTGTCCCGAAGTGTCACATACTTTGTCAGTCTAAATTAATATTAATTAACAAAATCAATAATGATATTAAAATATTAGATTTAAGAGATACTGTACTTTACCAGAGCGATCTAACAATTTATCGCATGACGACACCTATGCTCACCTATACGTTGGAAAGAACCCTTTCAATATGTTTTGAAAGTTTTTTATTTTAATAATAATAAAATTCGTCATACAATTTTGGTTTTTATGTATACAAATTCTAAAATAATTCATATACGATTTGTGGTACGATTTTTATACCAGATAGCTGACAATTTGATACGAGAACGTATTAATTAACGTCCTTTAATTAAGCAACGCATTTCAGGCCATATATATTCCCAGCAATATTGCATATTAATATAATATCGAACGTATTGTATTCAAAAACTCCATGTCTAATTAGAATGATAGACTCATGTACCCCGGTTTTCCCAGATACAATGTCAAAGAAATATATTTGAATTTTGTTGTCAAGAGAATATGCGGACAATAACAACAGAAAGCGAATCCAATATGTTTGATGATAATCCCAAGGGTCTACATCACAACTTAATCAACGCCGATTTTATCGGAAATACCTCGATCATAACAATCTTATGAATTGTTTTGATCGATATTCGATGACGTTATTTCAAATATGATTGATTTAAATATCGATTTTTGTATTTCAAATTAAAGACGAAATTACAATGAAATTGAAAAGATGGCTTTGGTAACGAATGGATTTGTCTTTAAAATCAACTGTGAAAAATCAGAAAAAATCTGGATATAAATAGATTGAAATGAATTTCATAATATCGAGCTATTTTGATAAAGTGATTGAAAAAGTAAAATGACAATTAAGTTAGTTTAAATATGGCCATTGTTTCTGCATGAAACAGCAGATGCAACATCCATAGAATGCGGTTTAGCGACTAAATGCCACACGGATAAAACAAACAATGATTTGATGTCTCAAGATAGGTGTATTATATTTTCATCACCATATCATTGTTCTCATCTTATAGGGGAGAGGCTGAATTTGAATATAAGATACTGAATTGATTGAAGTCGATTAATCTTTTCATATAAACATCGAAAAACCCAGGAGAAAACCTAACGTCAGTAGTCACTTCTTGCCATTCTTCTGTAATTAATGCGACATTCTGTTCGACTAAAAGCCCACTTGGGACAATGTCGTCCCTCATTAACAGCGGAAACCCAAAACATGTGTTATAGGGAAAGCGTTTGTGACTCTTTAAAACTTGCATTATGAAAAGCAAGTCATCGAAATGCATTCGTAATATTCCCAGGAAAACAAAGTTTCACCGAACTATCTTTTCCATTTAAAATAACTTCAACTTCCTCTGTGTCATGACAAAGATCCAGCAATCGTTCAGCAAAATCGTCGCATTGGGCAGCCAAGTCGTGGTAATCTTTCTGTGAGAAAAATTAATACAAAATTATGTTATAAATTTTTTCTGTTAGTTGCAGGGGACCAGCGACTGTACAAATCCAAAATAGCAATTAATCTTTAGTTCACTGGTTCTCGTGAAGGTAGATAAATGACGCAAAACTTGTTTGGGTTCTATACGTGTTGCTCTTTGTTAGGTAGAATGCCGAAATCCGAATACCCATACAGTGAGCATTTGTCAATTTTCCTTTGCGAAAACGTTATTGAAACAATTTCTACGATTAGAAATCACATAATACTCAACAAACTCAAGTTTAAAGTTAACGGATGCTATAGTAAATTGAAATTTCCAAATTACCGAGTCCGACGTCACGGAAAAGATTCAATTAATCCATTTTGGTTTTTTCTAATCCTTTTATACTAACGACATTTGGGGTTTACAACTCTAAAACATCTTACCACATGAATTTACTTTTTGCTTTTTTTGACCATAGATTAAATTAACAAATAACGACGATAATATTTCAATTTTTTTTTCTCATTTTGAAAAGCATACACCTAGATTAGTATTCGCGATATATTTATGCATTTTAATAACGATGTAGCAAATGTAATTCTCTATGGTTGCAATCCACGCATTTCGGCGGTATGCTATGAATGTCGGAAAATAGTCAAGACTTAGTACCTTTGATTGACACTAAACATGAGCAAACGACTAAGTTTACATTATTGAACCATATATTGGCATGCCATACTTGAATGACTACGGCCATAACGTCGAGGAACATACAGAATGATTTTTTTATCTGAAATAGCACTATTTCTTCATTCAGTCATCCATTTTCAGTAAGTGATATTGATTTTTTCCAGAAATACGTAAGTTCGTGCGTGTTCCTCGAGTTAAATGTAATTTCGATGAGAATTATTAATTTCTCTAAGTCTGTCGATACTGAAATTAATTTCGATTTCGAAATATAAAAAAACGCTAACGGAATTACAGCCATTCTCATATCAAATCCGGTCTTTTTACACTTTTTCAGTGTTCCACATGATTTTTTCATATGGTTGTGAAGTGACAAAATGTGATTTAATAAATTTAATATGTAACAGACAAAAATTATTTTCTGTGCAACTAGATAAGCGGCGCCAGTTAGACAAAATATAATCGGTTATTGTGATCAGATGATTAAGATATCGCCATCCCTTTCCTTCGTAACTATTGCAAGAGCAGTTTTCGATTCAACTCTAGAGTGTTCGCATTCATTATGTAAACGTAACACATGTTACATTGCAATGTTAATGTTGACATTAATATCCCAAGTTCTCGCGTTATGAAATATTTATTAAAATATGATATTTTCAATGTTATTCGAACCAACGGCATTTCATCTTTCGCGAATTGAATGATGATTGATGTACATGAAAGTTTTTGGTAACTATGGGAGATAAAATCAATGTTATCGTAACTTCTGGCAAATATATGCTTCACTAAATTGTCTAAGCCGAGCAATCCAGAGTCATTGAAATGCATAATTTAACGAACTGATACAGGAATACTAATTATGCCGGGTGAATACTATTCCAATGTCGATTTGCTTGTAGTTACTCACCTTGAATTCTTTCTCTATTTCAGCGAGTTGTTGTAGCTCATGGCTCAACTCCAATGCTGTTAAAACGGGATCGGAGGAAGAAAGAGATAAATACGCTGGACTGGCCAGACCTTTATAAGCATTGATTCGCGAAAGACTGTAACTGAAAGAGTCCAACTTTTTCCTAGACAATAAAAATATTTTTTAGTATCAGGGGCACAATATTTGTAATGAACTAATAAAGTGGCCTTTTTTGCTGCGGGTATGACCTGCTATACGCTGACAAGAAGATAAAATAAAAAAATGCAAGTTTGCCTTGACAAATTTAACACCAACTATCCGCAGTGAATTCGACTTTTGTTTGTCTACAACAGGGGTGTGCAACCTGCGACCCTCAGGAAAAAATTGTGCGACCCGCAGAGGAGTGCCAATTTCGAATGATATGTGGCCCGCGAAACGAGTTTTTAATTTATTCGGTGCGTTCGAGTAGTTCCAATCCCTTTGCGTTACAAAGAATACACCTGAGTCCAATTTTTTATCCATGCCTATGACTTTACAATGCCTTAACAGCTGGCTTGTGCAAACAACGCATGCCACAAGATCAATAACCAAAATTTTTCTGTCTGCTACTTCTAAATATCCTATTTTGAATAAAGGTGCGGCCCGCGATTTCACCCAGTTATTTGCAAATGGCCCTTCTGTATTAGATGTTGCGCACCCCTGGTCTACAACCAAAACCAAAATGGCATTTCGTATATCAAAACAACTATACCTGCCATATTTTACCACATGTACATAGTTATATATTTTACTCATATTCCATTACCCAAATAATGCCTGCTTAATCAATAATATTACGTATCACAATACTCCCTTTTATGCTGCGGAAAATTTTCCTATTACGTACAAAGCCTACGCGTTAACGCCGCGGCTAAAGAACATGAAATTTCCATTATAGTAACAGAAATATCGGCGCACACGCAAAATGGGTCATTAGAAGGTCGAAGTAATTAAATGTACATGACACGAATACTGTACAAAATATTACTCAGTTTTCGATTATAATAAGTTAACCAACCTACAATACCAAATGCTGTATTTTAGTGGGATTGCAGATGTGGTAAACAAATTTCCGGTATGTAGAATAACATAATTGCAGTTTCAAGTTACGATTTGGGGACAACTTCAAGACTTGTTCAATGTCAATTAATTATGGCGAACTAGAATATGGACTGCACTCAGTGATTTCAGTGAACGCACTCAGTGAGCACCCCCCCTAAAGTTTCAAACACCCCCCTAATTTGAGGTGCGATTCCACACTGTAATTCCCAACTCAAGTATAATTGTGTTAAAATAATAGTATATGGCATATTCATCAGTGTAGCTCAGTGGTTCCCAAACAGCGGTCTGTGGGCCAATTACGGCCCGCGCAACGATTTAAACTGGGGCCGCCGAATTTAAGTGAAATAGTTTTAACGGTTAAACTTTGACCTCAAATAAATACTAATACACTTTATACGTTCACCATTTTGCGTTTTAGATACCGCCAATTGTTAAATCATTATCACAGTTTAAGCACGTATATTTCGTAACAATTCAAACATACCGGTATCTTATGTATACGTACCAGTATTAGGATTACATACGGCAGTATTTTAGGTATCTGCCATATATTAGGAAAGCTTAAAGATGGCACAAAACGAAAACAGACCATTTTACGATGAATGCCAGCGTTGAGTTAATTTTCCAGATCAATCTTTCTAACAACACAATTATAAACCTCAACAAATCAAAACTTCGGTCCAGGCTGATATTCACTTGAATGCGTTATTGCGAATACAATGTATTGAATTGGAGCCACATTTTGAACATATGATTTCGAGCCAACCCTAATTACACATATATACAATGTACACATACACTATGTTAACTAAACTAAATTATGTTGGCGTTCCGTTTTATATATATAAATATACATTGTGATGTTTTTTGTGTACCAAAAAAAAGCCATAAGTAGTCATTCATACAAGGCCGTATGCTAAATGAGCAAGTAACTCCATTAGTCACTATCAGTTGCAAATTCCTTGTTGAATGCCGTGCTTGTTATTTATTCCTCGGGTATTCTATCACCTAACTATTTATAATTATTAATTTTATCACACAACAAACTGTGATGCTAGGTGTATCTAAAATCAAGCCCGCAGCCTATATTTCAGAGCCTAGTTTTCGAAATTTTCTCAGGGCGCAACAGCGCGCGCTGAACCCCAGCCGTGCCGCCGCGTCCTGTTGTCGCTCCTCTTCTCTGGCCCTACAATATTCTTCTGCTTCCAATTTGGGCCCGCGGGCAATCAACTTTGGAAACCCCTTCTGAATTTTTTTCAAGTTACAAATAATTTTATCGCTAATATGAAAATTTATTTACCTCCCCCTAAATTTCGAACCCCCCCTCCCCTAAAATGAAAAGCTGGGGAACATAATGACTGCACTAGACTTGAAATGAAAGCTTTGTTTTTATAAATGAGATACTATGTGAAAAATTTACTCTCGCAATTGTTGAAATGACATAGTTTTCGTTTTCATGAAATGTAAATGTGAACATGCTGCGTTAAGATAGTAACGCAAATCAATTATACACTCTAGTACAAATTTCTGAAGTAATAAATAGGATGTCACTCCAAACACCTATAAAGGGATCTAAAGTCAGTTCCCAAAGCCTAAAATATTTTCAAAACAGTACTTGCCTGAAAGAACACTCTTCACACGTGCACCTATAATTATGAGGTCTTTCAATTCGTGCACCCCTCATAAGTAATTCGTGAACAATTTCATACTCCTGACATTGAGATGCCAATATGATTGGGGTGATATCAGGGGAAAACCTTGTCCCATCTTCGTCGTATGCATAAAAGTCAGTGTCCTATCGAGAAAGAGAAGCTTTATTGAAGAAGAGGTAAATTTAGTATCAAAAATTGCCCCAGTCATGATAACGTGCTACACGTGTAAAGCTCAATACTTAGCAGGGAAAATAAGTCTTGTTAAGGACGCAACAGCCATTTTTGCATTGTTGCAGATACCGACTGAATCTACGATACACAGTCTTCTTTTATTTTAAAATTATTTTTTTTCAATCAAAAAAGGTTCGTCAGTCTAGGGATGTAAGTTTCAGAATTTCGAATCGAATCAACATCAATTCGAATCGATTTGAAGCAATTTAAGAAAAAAGGGCTTGATTCTATTTAAAAAAAATTTAATAGATACCACAAGGCAACTGCACGACACCGCGGCGTTACCGTTATATCGACCAAAAGCGTTTATTATCCTTGCGTTTAGAGCTTTCCAAAGCCGGGACACTCCCAGAGTCGTTATATTTCATATTGGTAGCAGCTTTCGAGGGACCAATGGTTTCGCTCAATTTTGTTCCACTATTTAAAATATTACAAAGTTTCACAAATATTTTGAACGTTTCTTTAAATTATCTACATAATATTATTATAATAAAACATCATTGCTTCATACCTTATTAAAACATGTATGTCTGCGATGCTGGCCTCGCTATCATTGATTCTTTTAAAATCATGGCGCATACGGTACTAACTAGCGATTATAATTTGGATGAATTTTGAAGGTTAATTTTAGAAGAAACAATCGTTATAAACCCGATATTATTTGCAAACATAATTGTATGTGAGTAAATATGTAACTGAGTATACCTTTATGTAACAAAAAATAAATCTTAGCCGTAATTTATTTGGTAGTTGATACATCTTCTGGTAACTTTCTTAATTCTTCGAGCTCATTATTGTTACTTTATCAAAATTTATACTATATTTCTTCCACATTTGAGGAAAGTTAACAATAATATGATTAAATAGAATCAGATTCGGAAATATTCGAATCGGAACATTGTGATTCGAAATTCAAATCGAAAAAAAAAAATATTCGAAACTTACATCCCTATTCGTCATCCCCAAGTGTCTAAGTGAGTGTGTTCTAAAATTCAGTTGATCTGGGGATAATTACGAGTAAATACAAGCAAATTCTACAAAGAATATCATAAAAACGGCATCTTTATATAGAGAATTATTGTGATTATCACTTCAAGCACACAGTGATTCCAAACCATAAAACACTTGGTTGGGTCCATTAACTCAAACGAAACAGAATAGAAGGGAAAAACCAGAGAAAATTAAACTAATGTTGCCTCAAAACTTGTCATTGAGTTGCCATTCATTTTGGATCTGATTTGGCCAGTGCAAAAATTGTACTCCAACGATTTCATTGTTGAACTTCTTCAGATAAACCAAAGAATTTATGCGCAATCACTTTCATGGGGAAGACAATTTTCTATGCGATGGTTTCAAACGAAACGCAATTTCCCGAATGAAGCAAACGCACGTCTGCACAAAACGCAATTACATTTGAGGCCCAAATCTTTTTAAAATCCATTAATGAGATCAAAAAGCCAACTGTAGAATAATTCGTAGCTAGGTTAAAAGTCAAAAACAAAAAAAAAGGAAACGACGGACACGGTTTTGCCATAGTACATGCTAGGTCACTGTGCTCTCAACTAAAATACTGTTTGATGCAATTTCGAACATCAGCACCAGCTTTTAAGCCTTTAAAGTATTAATTAGATTCAATGTCGTTTTAGTAAATAGCTTCGGACTTCGTTAAAATCAAAGGCTAACATTTGGAAAAGGGATAAGTTTGATCAAACTTGAATTCCTGCAGTACCTATATTAGACGTCGAAAGAAACGGGTTATAAATTATGGATTAAACTGGCAAAGCAGCAATTTTGTCGATCAAAGTTAACCACGAGTTGCATGCTCTTTTCGAATAAGAGGATTGACTAAGAACGGATGTTTTGCTACACCAGCGTATAACTTATTTGTAATTTTAAAACGTTTTCAGAATATCAAAAAAAAACAATTTGATAAAACTAATACCTAACAAAATAACTAACAAAACTAACTAACAAAATTTCAATACCATACTGTTTTAGCTTTTTCTTCTTTACGCCCAAATTTATGGATGACTATATAGGTGAGTAAACCAACTTTGATGTTAAATTTATAAAACTCTTTATTCTCCGAATGAATATATTATTATGTGATAATGCAGCCATAAGTGGATCAGATTTGTTGACCGAGTAAGGAATCAGAGGCGAAAATTTTCTGACCGCTGTCATTTCTATAGAGAACGTCATAGTCACGGAAAATATTTCTAACCCTGTTATAATTTATTTTGCTTTTTTCAGATTATTGCCAATATACCAGGTTAGGTCCTCGAAGAAATCAAGAAAGTTGAGAAATTCAAGGCATGCACAAACATTTCGTTAGTGTTACTTCACTACAGAAGTTCAAAGAAACTACCTCTGAGTGTCAAAGTTTCGTCGTGCGTTTTACCTTACATAGCCTTTTATGTTCGGCCTGACTGGCAGCATACAACGGTACAGAACGTTTTCCAAAAGCCTAGAATTAAACCAAAAATAACAGAACAGCGAGGAAGAATCGGTCAAATGGAATCTTATCCCAAAACGTTCTATTCTCGTTGAAATTTTATTGCACTTGTAAACTATTTTTATAGATCTTCAGCGCATGGCTATGATGGAATGTCATAAAAAATGCAATGACAGTGTATATATGTATTGCTCAGTGTTAGTTGAATGTATTATTGACAAAACTTCACATTTCTACATCTTAACACAGCCATCGTTTGCTGCATGCTAACTCGGTGTGTAAATGATCGATATTTTTTGCACTCACTTGGTTCATAAGTCTTTGTTCACACGGACTTCTTGTCAATCTATCGTGGACTTGGAAGGATGGATGATTCAGTATAATTTCAGCAATTCTAACATATCCTTTACTTATGGCTAACAACAGACCATCACCGATACGAGCCATGACAGGCTGCTTGAGCAGGAGTTCAACGACCTGTAAAATTGGACAAGAATGAAATAGATCAGGGTGGTCCAAGTTTGTCGGCTCCGCGGGCCACAAAATTATTTTTGCATTTTTCGCGGGCCACAATAGTGCCAAGTATAGGTAAACAGTGCAATACAAAACAAACGCTTATATTGTGCAAACACATAGTTATCAGACCTAGCTATCCCAGGCTAATAGAATCTGCATTCTATTTTTAGTTTTCTATGATGCCTATATTGTAAGCATATATTTCCGACCAAAAAGTTAGAAAGCCAGATAATAATTTAGACTGCCAAGCACCTCATTCAACTTTGCTAGTTGTCTCAGCTAGCCATAACACTAGTCAATTTAGTGACATTTGTGATGTAATAATATGTCAAAAAAATTTTCTGATTAATTTTATTACGAAACAACACGAAATGCGATTTTTTGATTACTCTCCGAATGTGACACGGGCCATAGATAATGAAGCGGCGGGCCACATGTGGCCCGCGGGCCTGGGTTTGGACCACCCTGAAATAGATCATGTAAATAAGATGGTCATTTTAAATCGGCACAACGATGTTATTAATAATGTTTCGTTTTATTCGATTTTCTTTATTTGGAGCTGTAGAATCCTATACAACTTCCAGTGCATTAAGCATACCCTAATTCTACAGAGAGGTTACAAATATTTACAGAGTCTTATATTTACTGTCAATAATTCAAAGATAACACTGAGTATTGTGATACAATCATAACAACAAAACCTTTCACATACCTCTAAATGTTCGTTTCCCACAGCAAGTTGCAAAGCATTCTGTCCCATGAAGTCCACGCAATTTACACTGAAGGTAGTAGATTCTTCAAGCATTTTTCTTACGGTAGGGATGTTTCCATACTCTGCTGCTTCTAAAAACTTGACCTCTTCTTCCGTTGGTGGATCTCTGGTACTGAATATTCCGGTGGTTCCGCGTGTGCCTCTCGCTCCTCCTCTCCGACCTGCGAAATGTGGAACAAATGACTGAGCGGTTTTTGTGGCCAAACTGGTTTGTTTCACTAAATCATAAAGGGAAGTGTTAGTGGACATCTCAAGATTGGACACTGATAGAATTTCGTCGCTACATCGCGACATTGTAGAGTGCGCGCCGTTAACACATGTGGTGGGCATGTTATGTTCAGAATATTTTGGCATGGAGTAGTTTTCTTTCGAGTTTTCTTCATCCAAATCAAAAGAATGTTCTTCAACGCCAGAAGCAAACATAACACGTTTCCGTTTCTTGAGTCCTTGCACGCTTTCTACGCCATCCCTTGTAGAAACTTCAATTTCTTTTTCAAGCACATTGGAATCAACGTCTGGATGACAAATTGAGGAAGAAATTGACAATCGTTTGGCATTGGATATCGCAATATCTGATGTCGTTATTTCTGAATCGCCGTCTGATTGGCTGCTTGCTCCCTCGAATTCATTTTGGCACTCTTCAGAGGAAAGATTATGCCATATCTCACAACCTGTAACGGAGAACCGTGCATATTTCCTATCAGAATCTTCTTGACTAAGGTATTCTGACATTTTATTCCACTGTATACAAGCTCGAGTTTATCCATCAACGTGTACAGGACTATAAAAATCAGCGTTCACGAACTAAGAGCTAGAATGAATGAAAATTCTATAGTTTGTGAACGCCTTATTGCAAGTAGGCAAAGTGCCGTAAAAGCGGAAAATGGTGAACACTTGATGAAGTCTGTTGGTGGCAACAGAAAAAAGGTCAATGCATTACTAATAATTTATAAAACCTCAAGTGAATGTCTTCTTCGTTTTTTATGGTTAGATATTATTTGGAAAAGGGGTGAGAGATAGCTATACCGGCAGCTACAGAACTTCAAAACTTATAAAATGATATTGTGCGTTTGTATAGTTATGATGCACTTGAAAGCGAGTAACGCGATAATCTACTGAATGACCCAGAAAATTGGCGGCTGAAATTGTCATGGCAATATCTTGAAAAGAAAAACATAACTATATCACCTGATTAAAGTATCCAAATTGGCATTATTATCGGTACATTATTGTTATCATCGATAACATAATAGTCCCTTGATTACACGCTTTAAAAACGCGGATCAATTTAATTGCATAATAGTGTAGGAACTTGCACTGGCAATATCATTAATGAAGATAATATGTATTCTGTGATAATTCTGATACTACGTTTTCCATTGAGCAATAATAGTAATTTCTATACTTCTTGGGTATTATATGAAATCTTTTATAAAATATAATATATTATGCAATACAATATTGGCACAATATCCACTATCTGCGGCATTCCTTTTCTGCCTGAGCACAACGCATATTTTAAATCTCTTTGGCTATCACTAATATGAATTAACGATCTCAGTATTCTGAACTGGCATAACGTCAAATATCGCCTGTTCGAATGGCCAAAAAGCTCAAATTTGCCGATGGAAACAAACGGATGAATGATGCGTAGATTGATCAATCTCTAATAATAAATTATTCAATACCATATGATATGTCCTTCAATCACGAAAAGTTCATCCATATTCCTTTGTTTAAACGAAAACATCAAACTAAAATGGAGAAATTTTTACAAAAAATTCTATTGCCGAATCGAAATTTACGCATTCACATACGGAAAATTGAAACGGCATTCAAATCTTCGAAATCATAAATAACCGCTTTATACTGGCTTCATGAAAGACCTCAATGAAGCATTTACAAGACATAATACACGTTAAAATAGCGGAATATTGAAATAAAACAAGTTTTTTTGAATACATGCCAATACGTATTCAATTTCGACTTAATATTTTTCTACCGATCTGGTCTTAGTTACTTCCCCGGTCATCGCGGCACTGAACGAAACAGCGTTATGCTATCCATTAAAACACGAAACATGGTATAACAAGCCAAATTAGTCCCTTGGCTGATAGTTAATTAGATTTCGAGAGAGAAACCTGCACCCCAAAATTGGATATTTCCGCCGCTAAATGGTTTATTCCACCACGAAGGGCGAAAAAGGTTGCAAAAAAACTTTTCAGTATACCTCCAATCGATAGTTATTAACTTCGACGAAATAATATCAGCCTTATATGACACGAGGCCGAGCGAATCGGGAAGTGTAGAGATATCCACCTACTTACCAGCAATTCAGTTCCTTTTTTATATAAAGTTTGGTTGCTAATGCTAAAATCTTCTAAAATTAGAACCAAGTAGCCTACTAAAGAATCGTTAAACATTATATCACCTAGGTCCTAGAATGAACGTTTCACTTAAGTTCTTTTTTGAATTCGATAAGGAGTCTTGATATTTTCATTCATGACCTCTTTGAGTTTGCAAGTCGTGGGTAATTAAATAAGTATGATCAAACATACAAGTAATTGTAGAGCATTATATAGTAGCCTTCTATAAAGCCAATATTACACGGACAGAATGAGCATTGAAACCTTGCAAAACAACGCGATACTATCATAATTTAAACTGGGTGAATCCAACGGAAATCGATATCACGCAGTTCAATTACTGCCATTTGCAGATCAAAGTCTAACTAAGATCCAACATAATTATTGTAACCGTCATCGATAACCATATACTAAAAGTTTAATTAAACGTATGAACAATTACTGTAACCCGCTTTCCTCAAATGTACTAACTATACCGCCTCTACCCAGACCCCGACTGTCAAAACAAACAACCGTGGACCAAGATAAACTTATGTTAAGATTCCTTTCCACTGGTCATGACCACTAGACAATGAAGTATATTCTTCACATAGCATCCATACATTAGATGATGGATAAGCTACTCTTCAGGTGATCCAGTGAGTGAGCAAGAAACAACCAACTTCGTCCTAACCATAGGTAAAATCAGTGAAGCAACATTGAGACGAGCATCATTCAACGGAGCATTATTGCGATTGGACAGCAGTCAGTAAATACGTGTATGTTCTTTTTCACCTCCTGGGCAAAGCTATTTCCATTTCATTCGCTATATCACAACAAAAATATACAAACGAATACAGGAAGATCTTACCTAGCCGATCCCGTGAGCCCGGTTTTCTCGACATCGGTATGTTCTTGCAATGACAATACAATCAGAAGAAGCAGGAACAGTATTCACTCAATAATATTGCATATATTTAGGCCTATTAAACACTCCCTCGGAGTTCATAACGCTCGTCACAACTGTTCTGTAAGCATCAGAAGCATCAGAAAATAAACAAAATTCCTGCTATTTGTATTTAATTATCTAATACAAGCAAGTTAATTATAACTAATCTGATTTGTCACACTTATATAAACAGGGAGTAAATTTGAAGTATGTTTGATAGTTGTAATCACGATCGATCACTTGTGAGCAGAACTTATATACAAGCACAATGCATTCACAGGAAGAAAATATTTGAAAATAGATACCTTGAATACATATTTTTAAACTTCTGCCTCACAACTTCGCTATAACTAAGTTGCAGTATTTTGGGTGTTGTTATTATTTCTCATTTTGTGATTTATCGCAGCACCAACTATGTCACTAATGTTTCGCTGTCGCGTTGATCACAAAGCGAGATCCGAAAGTTACATACGACGTTACAGCGAAGTTACAATAAGAAATTTCGGGAGAATCTGTTCTCCTATGTTTTTTTTCGCTTTTGTCTTTACACGAAATGTCTTATTCGTTTTAGGCGCGAAAGACAAACAAACGAACTATGAAAATTTCTCTAGCCGAATTGAATAAAAAGAAAGCGCACTGTCGACGATCGATGAATCATCAACAAAAAGGTTCGATTTCTCAATGCATTAAAAAAAATCTACTGAGCTTGAAATTTAAGATCGTAATTCAGTAATTTACGTTTCTGCCATTTGGCGTGAAAAATTATCTTTTTCGTGTTTTTGGAAAATTCTGCCAATCCGAGTACGATATCCATATATCCGTGCCAAATAATGATAAATTTGGTTTATTGAGGCAAACTGGTCGATATTAAATTGTATTCCTTGCAATATACCTTTCACTTCCAGCCTCGGCTAATCGTTATCGTACTTTATAGATCACCAGCGTATATATTCCTTCTTTAGCGCGAAGTGTTATGACGAATAATAAAAGTTTTCGAATCGTAAAATATGGACAATTTGGTGATGTTCCGATAAATAATGCAGACTAGAAAGACCGAAAAAACATTTTCTCATAAAACTTGGGTCTAGTGGGACGGACCGCGTGTAACTTTACGTGGAACGACGGTGTATAACAGTCACAATCATGGCCTTTCGTGATGCCTTTGTGTTGAATGTATTTTCTGAATATTTTCACCCTTATACATAATTCAGGTAAATTTTCAAATATTTTCCTTTAAAATAATTCGACTTTCTATTAGAATACCAAAACTCACTTCCATCTGAAAAAGATTTTTATCAATTGCCTGATACTATCTTTCCTGTCATTCTACATGCCAAAATAGAAGAAAAAACGTTGTCGCAGCAACGTCAGGGCATATAAAGAAATTTATCGCGATGAACACCGTTATATATCTGTTGCCAGGAATATAGCCTACAACCAATGCGATATTTCATGCACTTGAATCAATTTGCAATATTTTCTCGTAAACCTAAGCAGTCTCTCAATAAGAATATCTGTCTTTTTAACGCGAATAATATTTCGATTTATAATAACTCAGCCTGTTAATAATTCCTGGGCATCAATTGGTTTAAATGAAAAGGAATTTTAGTTTCGGCGGCCGGCGTAAAACAGAGCAGAAAGAAATTGAATTCATTCTGTATAAACTCCGTGTTGCAAAATGCCCCTCCTAAATGTCGTAGCCTACAAATTTTTTTTGCTTAAGAAAATGAATGAACGGTAATTAGCCCGAATTATCGGATTAGGTCAAATATGCCTGATGCATTTTATAAGCTCTGTAGTGAAAACCATTCAACAGCCCACAAAATACATTAATAAAAAAGGGAGTCTCATTTCCCATGTTTATGTCACGTGAAAGTATACTAACAATGTTATGGCTAATTTTATGAAAAAAAACTCTAGCTGACAATAAACATCACTGTTAATTTATCAGAAATTGTTAATGGTTGAAGATTCCCTTGAATCATCAGACTTCATTAATCGATAATGGATGACGTGAACTGCGACAAACTAAATGCCGATTAGTAGTCCGACGCGTCCTTCTGTGAGATGAGTTTATAGAAGACTCAGCATCCAACGGCATGTAATACGTGAAACTTGAAATAAAACTCAACAGGTAAACCCTATTTAACATATCCGGCCCTAGATTAATTGTTTCATAATCTTGAGTCTCATGTTCATCACATCGTCCAGAATGTAGCAAATCAAGTGGGAAATGAGAAATCGAAAAAATTTTAGAACCTCTAGTTGCCACATTGAAGTCAGCTGCGTAACCGTTGTAGGGACTGATGTTTAAAAACTTTTTTGCTTGAGGACGTACTTAGTATATTACCAAAACCATGAAGCGCATGATTAAAATTTATATATATGCAAACTGGCAAGCGATTTTAGAAAGGTAAATTATGAATGTGCAACCATTTTTTTTAGATATTATATAATGTTATCGCCGCTTCGGATCCAGATTTTGTTCGACGTCTAGTGGACATTTTTGTGGAACCCATATACCCGGTTCTTTAAAATACCTATGAGCGAAATTTATTTTTTAATAAATTGCCCAGCACTTTCGACATTGTTCACAACTAACCCGGTCACTGTCTAAGCTTTATACTGTTTCTCATCTCGCTGGGGAGTCATTTTAAACATCGCGGGATTAATCAAACTCCGATCACCATCTTTAATTATCCTGTATAGAGTCCCATACGATCTGTCACTATCGCGCAGTAATTGTACTTCTCTCTTACATGCATTCTTTATTTCTTGACGAAATGGAAAAGAAAAAAAATGCCGATAGATTTACACACATTGCCGTATCTCTCTCGAAAACGTGTATTTGATTTTTTTTTCAAAGCGATAAGCTACTTCTTCGATCTATTTTAATTCAATATTGTGCCCAAGGCATTCAAGCAGCAAAACCGTCAAGCCGAATTGATATGCGTTGGTTCCAAGATTTGTATTCCCGAGCGTGCTGGCGCGAAAAAATTAACGTCTACCTATTCATTACTTATATACATATAAAAATATATATATTACGAATCTTCATTTAAATTCACAAAGACGCAAGAGTTTGTCGCCATAGAAGTGCGAGTTACAGCTGATATTGACCTACTACAGTTCAAAATTTCGACTTACCCGCAGGCAGCGAAAGGTTGGTAGGGGGTAAATGGATTAATAGTTTTGAAGTTCGCATTGTTTTAAACAGTTTTTAACGGTTTTTAATCTTTCACATACGCAAATATTTGATGCAGAGAGTATCAAAGGAAATCGATAATCCCGAACGACTACTGCCATGATATGAGCAGACATCATGTATTTTCAACTTTAGGAACCAATGTATTGATTCAACATTAAAATTGTCGATTAAAAAAAATGCGTTTATAAACATGTCGCTATATCATGGTAGAAGCAGAGGACATGAAAATTCCAATTGAATTTTTCAAAAATAAACGAATATCGGTTCCGGTTCCGAATCCTATTCCAGGCTTAACGAAGTATACAATATTTCATGCATTGTGGTTCTACCTATCGACAAGGTAGTGGTCGCGACATATACAGTACAGCAGTGGTTCTCAAAAATATTCCCATATTATATCTCAATTGCAAAATGCAAGGCATTGATGGCGTGTCAATTTATTTTGTGAGTTTGATGTGTACACCAAACTTCGCCATATGTCATACGCCCATTTTATGCCTTGAAAGGCTGGATGTTTCGTTAAGTTCATGACGTCATAACGACGAACGTCAGAACGGAAAAGTTCGAGAGCACATATTGCTTGTCTTGTTAAATTTTAACTGATGATTGAGCTTTCCTCCGATACGTTGATGTGTAATCATAAAGACCTGCCATTGTCACAGTTTTGGATATTGCTTAAAAAAGAATATCGTGAGATCAATGAAAAAGCCATTAAATTACTGCTAATTTTTTGGATAACTTACTTAGGTTAGAAAACCTTTTCTCTGCTATCTCTCATCAAGACGAAACAGAGAAATCGTGTGGAAGTCAACGCTCTACTTCGCCTTGCAGAAACTTTATTAGAATTCGTCGTTTAACAAGTATGATATCAAAGATACAGCTGCAAATTTTTTTAAAATTGAACTGTCTGTTTTTGAATTGCATACTTTTGTCGTAATTACATTCGTTTTTGGGTTGATTTTGAAGGTTCACCGATCGCAAAATTAGTTTGGAAATTTTACCGGTCCGCAAACTGAAAAAGGTTGAGAACCACTGATCTACAGTATGTTTCTCTATTTTCTTACAAACAATTACCAAAAATAATTCTTTTCTGCCAATCGCTTGCTATACCTGCGAAAAGTCATCATCCTCGTTCTGATTATTTTAAGAACAAAAGAAAAACGAGGAAACAAAGATTTGTTCGAAAACCATTCAAAGTGAATAAAAAGACAATTGCTTGAATCTGGCGAACTTGTCTTGAAAGATTTATTAAACACTGTATTCTATACATACTCATTTCTTCGAGACTAAAATTGCTTTAAAATATTCGACCCATTTGTTCTTTTTGTGATTAGTGTCTCGCGTTCACTTTCCCAAATCAAAACAACGTTTCTGTCAACAAACTTGACATCTTTTGTGTGTGTTTTACAACAAATTCTTTTTCAATTGACTGTGCTATCGCAATTGTTCTAATGAAAGGACTATTATATTAACTTCGCTTTCCGATATAAAATATCAAACAAAAATTGTTGCTTAAAATTTGACTGTTTAATACCAGCGACCTGTGTCGGTTACACATACATACATAGAGAACATTGGTATTCTTTTTCGTTCTTGTTGTTTCTTTGCTGAATATTGCGCATGCGGGTGGTGTGCAAAAATGCTTATTGCCATCTTCCACGAGTCATCGCACAAAATTTTGCGCTTGAATATTTTGACACGTTCTTATAACCACGCAGATCAAGGTTTTTATGAAAACGTTTAATGTATGTATTTTCTCTTGGGGCATTGCAAACTTTAGCGGCACTCAAAATGCTATCTATACATGTTTATTGTTAAGTTTAAAAAGTAATTCGACCTTTTACTTATTCGCATTTAGTCGTTATCCAGCGATGG